TTCTACGTTGGCAAGAATCTCACCCAAGATGGGAGTGTTATCGTCGGAGGTACTGGAGAAGAAGTTTCTAGCCATTGGCTTCAACTCTTCCCGGCTCGTGATCATCCTTCTAATTCGACTATCACTGTTGGCGTCACCAAAGATGCTGTGTATCCCGGAGAGCTTATTCAGATTCCGCAAGTGAACCATACGTTTCGGTACATGAGTATGGAGTACTCTGACTTTGAGGGGTTTCCTGCGCCGTTGACAAATGGTGGCTTGAATGAGAAGGGTGTCACGGTTCGTGATGTTTGGGCTGATAATCGGGATGAGCTGCTGGAGATGACGCCGAATCCTCAGCGTGGTGTGCAGTATAGCGATTTTGCTCGTATTGTTATGGAGAGAGCTAGCAGTGCGCGTGAGGGAGTTGAAATCATTGGGGATTTGATGGCGAAGTACGGTGAGGCGACATATGGCGGCAACTCACATCTCATCGCTGATAAGGATGAGGGCTGGGTTGTTTGGGAGATGGCTGGCGGTAAAAAGCTCTGGGCCGCTCAGCGTCTTGGACCAAATGATGTCAAAGTGCTTTACCCCGGATACATCGAGAACTTCCCTACCGACTTCAAAAACAACCCTGATTACGCTGGCTCTGACAATATTGTGTCATTCGCTGTTGAGCAGGGCTGGTGGAATAAGACTTCCGGCAAACCCTTCAACATCTTTGACGTCTATGGGCCTCAGGATCCTCGATACAAGGCGCGTGACGGAGGTTACAAGTTCATGTCTCAGGCTGCTCTGGAAAACGCCACTCTTGCGATGGTTCCCGTGACTGAAGCCAAGATGATGGAGCGAGTTCGAGATCCTCGAATTGCAGATGATGAAGCTGGCTACGGACAAGTCGTCAGTCTTCACGATGGAATCGACCGGGATATGCTACGGATTTGGAACGCCCCCGCCACTTCAGTCGCAGCACCTTTCGTCCCATGGTGGCTTGGCGTACAGTCCGTCCCCCCAGAGTTTGGTGAACATCGATACTTGACGACCGGCGCTTCAAGCAGTTTCCTCAATCCCGATTACCAACTCCAGGAAGCCTCTGAGTTTGCTGGCCGCATCTTCAAGCGAGTGTTGTACTATATGTGCTCAGACCCCAACAAATACCATCCCATTGTCACGGAGATGTTTGAGAACTTTGAGAGCGCATCTCGTGTCCAAGTCGAAGGTTGGGTCGAAAAGACTGCTTTGACTATGATCAAGCAAGGAGAACGAAAGGCGGCCCAGAGTTTGTTGACGTATTACTCTCATACTCGTGCAGCTGAGGCTCTGGAGGTTGGACATACGCTAAACAATGCTTTGGATGGGTATATCAAGTTGACAGGAAAGTGGCGTGGACCCAAGGGTGATCAGATCAATGATAGTGGCGAGGGTAATGAGACGGTCAATTGTCTTGTCGGATTTGACCCAGACAAGCCTAGATATCTCCAAGGTAACAACTGAGAACTCGGAAATAAGTAGCAACATGGAAATAAATGCTCAGTCTTCAAAAGCCTCAAACCAGCGTATTCTGGGTGAATAAAACAACAAATCCATTGCAACCGGCAAAAGTGGACCTATTCCGTCTGTCCCACGCCGCATCACCGACATATCGACCCGCTCCGAATGCATAAAAACGGTGGGTAGTCTCCCCGAGCTCCCCGATATCACCAAGGTTCCTTTCTCGGAAAACAGATCGTGCTGGTCTCGGACCTCGGAAACCCGCCCCGGATTATATAAACCCCGCAGAACCTAGCCTAACTTCCCCAGATTTCGGCGCGCGCCAACCAGATGCCAAACATTACTCTTCAACTCAGATGGAGTCGGAACTGACAACACGGCCCGCCAAGATGTCGAAACGAAGCTGGTCTGAGGCTGAGAATGGTGAGAATCAGTTTCCGCCTCAGATCTCGAGGAAGGTTAAGGCGTGTACGGCGTGTCGAAGACAGAAGGTATGGGATGCAAGTGGTGTGATGGAATGATGCTGATGATGAGTAGATTAAATGTCTGATTGATGAGAATGGACCGCCTTGTCGACGATGTGCGGAGAAAGGACTTGGTTGTGTCTTGGGGAAGAATCTGCAGACAATTCTCGATGAGAAATCACAGTACAGTAATCCTCATCTCTGACCCTTCATCTTATTAATTGCCGTCAGATTCACGCAAGATGTGGTTCAAGACCTCGAACAAATGCACAATTTCCTCAAACAAGTCGCAGGCAGACTCGACCTGGATTTACCACCACTGCGCTCATTCTCCGGATCAGCAGAAGGACCAAAAGATGAATCACCAAGCTTGTCAAACAAAGGCCATCATGTTCCCTCACGCGACAACTCACCGAAGCTCATGCCAGAAGATGATGATGTTCCATATGCGCCTATTCACTCACTGTATACGCTCACGAAATTACGCGCTCTGCGGTCTCCAGATGATATGAATTCACAGCAGAACCCCGGAATGGAAGATGTGATAACAAAACGTCTCATATCACTAGCCGACGCAGAGCGACTTTTCAACTTTTACAGAAAACGCCTGGACCCTTATATCTATCTCATAGGATGTCCTTACGAAACGATGCAAGAATGCCGACAAAAGAGCCAGTTTCTTCTTGTAGCAGTCCTCACAGTAGCTGCTCTCCACGACTCAACGGCAGATTACATCTATCCTGTCATAAGCTCTGAATTCCGCAGACTTTTCGAGACGTCAATATTCGAAAGACGTCTAAGTCGAGATTATCTCCGCGCTTTATGCATCGGCTGTTATTGGCTCAGCGATTTATCATGGATGCTATCAGGCCACGCCATACGACGAGCAGCTGAATTCGATCTCCACAACAGTTACGACAGAGCTATTGAAAAAGCTAGTACCGAGGATGCGCAGTGTGCGAGAATTTGGTACATACTCTGTGTTTGCGATCAGCAGCTTGCGACGCAGTATGGAAGACCGTCTATAGTGCAGGAAGATCCTTCGACGCAGGGCGCTACGGATTTCTTGCATTGTGCTGTTTCGCATGAGGAGGATAGACGGTTGTTGAGTCAAGTGACTGTTGTGAGCATCTTGAGGAGTATTCGGGAGTTGTTTACTGCGAATAAGGGGAAGCCGATTCCAAGATTGCATTTGAACCATATTTCTCATTTTCGGATACAACTTGATCAGTGGTTTGCTTTCTGGACAGATCAAGTACAAGGTAACTCACCTAGCCTTTTTTCTCAACTAGAATATGAGAGCTAATGTGTACCAGAACGCTGGCCTGGCATCGGTGGCTTTCCAAGAAAAGGCATCATCCTCCACTACAACTTCGCCCAACTCTACCTATACTCCCACGTATTCCGCGGTCTCTCCAAAGACGAACACATCCCCCACTACTTCCTCGACTGTGCTCTAAACGGCATAACAGCCGCAACAACAATCATCGACAAATTCGTCAACGACCCCGACGTAGCTCTCGGTATCGTCGGGATGCCATCATACGTTCACTCCATGACAGCATTCGCCTCCATGTTTCTAACAAAAGTCGCGACAAAATACCACGATCTTATCGAACGTGATAAAGTGTACGAACTAATCATGGGATTGGTGCAGCAGTTTCGTTCACAGCCAGCGGGGAAGTGGCATCTGGCGAATCTCATGACTGGTGGGCTTGAGAGGATGGCGCAGACGCTCAAGTTGGAAATTCCAGGGGATATGGGCCCGCCGTTGGGGGTCGAGATGGATCAGAATGTCGATGCGGGTATATCGGGAGTTTCAGGGGTTGATGCTTTCTTTCCTGACTTGCCGGGTGATTTCTTTTTCAACTATGACATGAGTTTTGAGATGTCTGCGCCTTTGTAGGGTCAAGATTTGTATGTACATGTATCATACTGTTTGTGGAAAAGTCCAGATGGACTAGAACGCCAAGCTGCCAACTTCGGTCACAAAAAGCATCATATACTGGATAACTCGACATATGAACTGAGCTGGTCTTAAGCTCGGCTGAGTGATAATAAAGAAGTACTATTAAAAAATAGAAGTTTAAATTTCAGATCAAACCAACCAAGATAACAAAGTCCATGTCTATTCGAAGTGAAATAACAACAATCTTCCACAGTCCACCACAGTAATATAATTACTACTATACGAAATCTGAATCAAATTCCTCGGCATGAACTTCAAGAATCTCTGTCCATTGCGATATATTTACTCCTCCTCATCAAACGATATCCGTATCTCTTTATCTGAACCCACCGAGGCAAGCTCCGGTAGATCTGGCTTGATTCGATAGCAATCTATGAACGTCCGGCCCGTTAGATAGACATGCGTCTCATCTTGAGAAAGTGAGAGGTTTGAGTAGCCTCCCTTACGTGGCTTAGTTTCTAGAAACTTGAGGCCACTTGATGCATCCCAGAGGATGACAGAGGCGATCGGGTATGAAGTGGCCGCGACCAAAGTGTTACTTCTTGAGGCAAACCTCAGCACCGGAAGCTGTGTAGGAAACTGCTCAATAGGTAATTGAAACGAGGATCTAGATATTCCATGCTGGAAAAGGCATCTCGGACTATTAGATGACATGGTGGTCATATCCAAATAGTGTGAAACGAAGTAAAGGCCAGAATAGAACCGTCTGCAGAGAACGCCATTGCCACGACCTGTTCCATTGTTCTGAGATCTCTCGTCTGCGCGGTATCCTCTAGGTCCCAGACCTCCACAGTTGCACCAAAAACGATCGACAAGTACTTATCATTCGCTGAAATCGCCAGTGCCATTAATGGTTGTCGTCGGGTATCGTGAAAACAAAATGGCGTCCAACAACAGGCTCTAACTTCCAGACTTCGACCGAGCTGGAGTTATAAATAGCCACAGTTCTTCCATGGGCCCATGATGCGCTGATCTTACTGCCGCTTACCACAGGCCTCGAGATTGCTGGGCTTGAAGCTCTGTGGAAATTGTAGTCGTCCGAGTAAATCATGAGCTGGGCGTGGAGCAAGAATTTAGGGCCCCGTAAGCCCGACTCCGGGTGTCGGATTTTCCTCAGTGTCCATACGTAAACCATGTTCTTGGTACACAACATGAGAGACTCGCTATCTGATGAGAAGCTCAGTATCTTTACATCATCAGGCGTCCCAATAGTATCAAAATGGACAGCCAGACATCCCTCGTACGTATCATCCGAGAGACACCAGAGGTGGACGCAGGTTTCGTCCTCGGACACAAGATATTGGCCATTTGGGGAGATGGTAACCTTGTTGACGTCCACAAGATCCTTGATAGTACTTACCCCAGCTTGTGGTTCTTGGTACATAACGGCGCTTCGAATCTTTTCTATATCCCGGATCCTGAAACAGTGAGAGTATCTCGAGATAATGCTTTCTCCTACTGGCAGAAACGCCACGACTCGACCATGGTCTTCTCCGAATGCTCTCATCCATTCGGAGTTTTTGGTTTGAAGCGTCAGAATATTTATATCAATTCCGCTCTGCATAAGAAGTCGAAGCCTGTCAGTCGAGTATGCCAGGCTCTGTAAGCTGTGGCTGTCATGAAAGAGACTGTAGACGCATGAGCTGGTCCTGATATCTATCAATTGAATAGATCGTTTTGGCGGGCGTAAATTCCAATCCATTAGCGCAATAGCGACTTGAGAACCGTGTGGTGAAATAGTCAGGCTGTGGACGATTCCTTGCCTGAATCTTAACAAATGGAACGTTTCTCCAGTTCGATAATTCCAGATGTACATGTCAGTGAAGCTATCATCACCAATAAGGTATTCAGTTGCCCTTACGGCAGCTATCCACCTTGATGCATGCCAGCGAGAGAGTATGCTGTCGGTGGAGGAGACCAATTATCTCAGTTGTTCGATCCGGGTTAGTGCACTCATCGAGTGCATCGATTATGATAAGCTTGGTAGTTGAGACCAGATGCAATTCTGACAAAGGGGCCTCCAGAAGGACACTGAACTGTTGGTCAAGGCGCATGCTCTCAATGTCGGGATTCCGAGATGCTGTCAATGACTTTTGCAAAGAGGATTCAAAGTGGGGAGTTGTTGACATGAGCTGGCTTGCGATGGTAGAGAATATTCGAGACGTATTGTTCCGCTCCATATCTCCTCGTTTGAAGAAGTAACCAGCCGCAATCTGACCGGAATTGATCAACTCATCGGCCAATGTCCGAGCCAAAGTTGATTTGCCAGTTTCTGCCGGGCTATGAATCCAGAGTAAGGTTGTCTGGTCTTGATAGTCATTAATCCAATCGTGAATGTGGCACCGTACAGTCGCCTGGGTGCCCTCCAGGCACCTTGGGCTTGTATGAACGTCATCGCTATCAAAGCGTGCCTTACCAGCAGTTGGGAGATTGATTGGAGGCTGGTTAATCTCTCGGATCTCCTGAATATAAGAATTGTGAGTTATTAAACCTCAGCTCGGAAAACGAAGCATACCGTAGCAAGCCAAGAATCGACTCCCAAGCTGCAGCGCAAGTTTGCGTCTCGTCATGGGCTCGTAGACCTTCAAGGGCTAGTTGAAATGTCTCTCTGGGGATTAGCTTGGTCTGGATGTTTGCGGAGTCCAGTCCGGAATGCTATGCAACATTCCAACCAGGCTGTTGATGTTCGAATTGGCATTGATTCCAGAAGATGCCTTCCTCATGAGATCTATCTGTCTCTCTTCCAATTTCTCTGCCTTGTAGTACAGACAAAGCGAATAGCAAAGCGCAAGGCCTTTGGTAAGATCAATCACAATCTCGTCACCGCGTGACAGTGGCCCGACTTCGTCCTTATAAAACAAAGGATGGGCAATTTTGTTATACAAGCTGGCAGGAAGGCTTGTTACTTGAATCTCGAAGATCACATCATTGTAAAAGTGGAGCGGGTTGTCTTCTTCGTATTCTGTCGTGACGTGATGATTCGTACATTCGTATGCTCCAAACCAGACTTTCCATGATCGACCAACTTCGCGCTTCGCAGCAAAAATATTGGGCTTCCTTGTTCTTGTGAAAGGACTCGGTGACGAATAAAGAGGCCGTTTCAAGATCGTGGGGATAGTCAACAACGAGACGAATTCCAGCGAGATCGTGCAGGTCGTCAAGGACGCTGCTGAAGCTCTCATACGGGCCTTTTCCTTCCTTCATTCGAGGTAGCTCTCGGCGCTCCAGGGACTTGGAGATGGATATGCGGGACTTGACGCCGTGTTCGGCGAAAGCAGGTTTGCGACGGTCGCCAAGCTCTTTCTTGCATGCTGCTGCGATCTTTCAACCATTGCTTTGTAATCTACTTCCACTTTTGGCCATATTTGTTGCAGAAAGGCCTCGGTGAAGCCTTGTTCAGCGCTGTTGCTTCCGATCAGGTCGTCAATCTTGGTCCTGAGTGGTAATTGCTCGCCGCAATCAAGAGAGGACCCCCTCTCAGAGGCGCCTCTCATGAAGGAGAAGCCCATTCCAACGACTCGAAAGGAGCATGGAGCGGACAGAATGAATGAGTGACGCCCGAGTGCAGTGGAAAGTGGGCGAAGAGGTCCGAGAGAGAACGAGGCAAAGAGCGGACCTACCGAAGAAAGATTGGCAGGATCGAGGCTTACCGTCGACCATGTGGCTTCGAATTGTCCTACGGCGCTAAAAGCACAAGGGGACTCTTGGTTACACCTGAGAATAAATTGTACGTCCTTCCACCTGTAGAAATCTTGGTCGGCTGGTCAAGGGTCTCGTTACACGGAACTCACAGTTCAAACCTGTGTTAGGCAGAAATGTAAGTCCCAAATGCCTGATCTAGCTCATAAATCCAGTCTTTTCCCACATAAAATTTGATGAGTTCATAGAACTCTACCTTGATGATGAGTAGACTCCCCTATCTCGACTATGTTCGCTGCCAGGCACGAACAAACCCCTGCCTTGGCCCACTGGCTGAGTACCTCGTCGAACCGCGTCGTGGGAAAGCCAAATTGCATCTTTTGGAACTCTCTTCATCCTTAAACACACGATCTCAGTTCATAGAAATCTCACAGGATAATATGTCCCAAGTTTCTCGCGCAGGCCCCTTCATCTCTTCACTAATACTGTTTATAGAGGACATTGGGCCTCATCTGATCTGTCTCCTTGGAGAGATTTTTAACATAGACCCATTGTTCTTTGCAAATCATGCCATCACAGACTTTCAAGATATTGAGAAAGCACCGCTGCCGCCGCCGAAAGAGGATATTTCGACATCCACTACCAGCAAGTGATAGACTTAGGAAGCGATTCAGACATACCTCGAAATATTCGGCGTTTACCTGTGCTTTCTGGGAGGACACTGGGACTCGCCCGGTGCTGCTGTTCCATACTCGTCAAGAAAATGAACGATATGTGGATTTTTAAGCGATTTATCTCATATATGAGAAATACGCTGACTTGTCTCCAGGTCTAGTGCTCGTTGAACCTCCCATGAAACATATAATTGGGATCCGCAAGTACGGGCAAAAGACAGCGTATCCGGCCACACGTTTACACGGTGGGATAGAGGACTCTATGCTACCAGGATCCCAGAAAAATGCATCAAGTGAGATGGATGAATGTGTATGGGATAGTTCTTCGCTCCTTGGCTGTCTGATGCACTACTTCGAAGCCAACCCTTCCCAACTCAACCTTGATAAGCCAACCATTCTCGCATTAGCTTACTATCCAGTACATATCATACTTGGTGAATGGAACCTCTACAACCATTTAATCAGCCGATACTTCAAGTACTACGAGTACTCCATGAACGATATCGCTCATAGGCTCCACAACGACGATATCATCGATCTCCAGCGCTGGCGTCGTCGAAGCAAACAGAGCCAGCACAAGCTGATCGCCCTTGCAGAGTCCATCGACTACTGACTAGACCTGGAATCGGACCAAAAGCGCTGGAAACTGCTTATCAAGGACATTCGCTATATGCAACGACAACTAGAACTTTACAGCCAGTCATTTGATCAAATAGTCACTGTGGCAACGTCGATGATTCAAATATTGGACTCAAGACGCTCGATTCGAGAGGCTATCAACGCGAAGCGCTTGGCTGATATAGCCCTTGTGTTTGTTCCGTTATCTTGGGTTGCGAGTTTGTTCAACATGGGAGGTGACTTTCTGCCCGGAAAGGGGCTGTTCTGGGTCTATTTCGCCGTAGGGCTTCCTCTGGTCGCAGTAGTCTTGCTGATATCAGTATGCCCTCTCCAAGGTACTGCAGGATTCTTGAACTGAGGTCATGCACTTTCTTGAGTCGAGACAAACGTTAGATGTAGGGCATAAGCCCAGCCAACGAAGAGTGCTGCCTGCCACATCTTACAGAATGGCTTTTATGAGGAATTATTAGGGAGCAAGAAAACCTCGGACCTTAAATCGAGGAGCCAGAAATAATCAATCAGTCTAAAGGTCTACTAAGTTTGCCTAAGTCTTTTTGTCATTTAGGATAGAGGTCCTGGATTTCCTTGCCCCCACCTTTGATATATCGGCGGAAATATGGAATGTTTATGCTGAAATAATATAAGAGAACTTCTACCTATGTTGATTCTGAATACTTCTAGTCTATTTCACAGATCTTCATCCGAAAGGTCACCAGGTAAAGGCATATTGGCGCCACCGGTACACAAATTGTCCCAATCCACTGTGCCCATGATCCTAAAAACCGTATCTATCCAGCAACACATCGGCAGGTCCTGATGTATAAGGTCGACTCCAACGCTCTTAAACAGAGTCTCAGGATACTCATCGCAGACATGATCAGCATTGCTTTTAATTTCCCTTAGATGCGGAAAGTCGGCAGCCACATTCTTGGCTAGGCTGAGCAGATCCTTCTGCATAGGACCATCTGGTGTCTCCGTCTGTTCCGAAAATTCGAGAGAAATGATGTTGGGCGGAAGGATATTAACAACAGACTTGACGACAGAATTTCCTCCGCAACACCCGGAGTTTTCCGTGCCATAAAGAAAGTATGTATGGAGGAAGAGTCTCTTGAGTTGGGTGAATTGCTTCAAGCTGGGTATTTTATGATTCCCCCGTAAATCGTGATGTCTCATGTCCAGGCGCAGAGACTCGAGACTGGCGTGAAACCTTGGTTTGTCGAGGAGATTTACAACGCCCACGATGTCAGAGTCGAATGCAGTGTATGAAAATGTGGATAGAGTACCAGTGCAAGCTGATAGAAGGTGGTCTATGACAAGGGCATGAATGGCCTCCTGAGATCGAATGTGAAGGTTTCTTACGCAAGGCATATTCGGAAACTCGCCTGACCCAGAAGTCACCAAAGTCTCAAGCTCCGGCGTCCGAGAAAGCAAGCTTACAAGCGCACGATTGCTTTCAAGGGTCTTGAGCTGAATAGAGTTGATACCCAGGACGTCAAGAGTAGCAGGAGACACGTCGAATTGCCAACGCCAGTCTTTCTCAATACCAATGTGAGCTAAGCTCGGGAGGATGGACACCAGAATGGAAAGAAGTTGGCCTGCGACTATGGGGATAAAGTCTTGCGACCTCATGTATTGAGGTGGAGGTGTCCCTCGAAAAAACGCTCGCTTTATAGCAGACGAGTGAGTATCGTGACCTTTGTGATAAACATCTCGGGCACTACTTCCGAAGGTGCGTGCACAAGTATCGAAAGCTTTTCGGCCTTGATCAAAGTCGAGTGATTCCACTAAGCGGACTTTCAGAAAGACAGTCTTGACGGAGCGAGCCAAGTCCGGACGCGAGGCGACGGTCTGAAGAAATGGTTCGAGACGCCGCTCCCACGGATTAGGAGCATCCCAACTAGTAAAACAGGGATCGAACGAATGATGTAATATCTCTTGGGCAAAGGGTTGAAAATATCGCGAGACCAGGCATAGATTGTACAGGGTTGTATCATCTTGAACTCTCTTTGGCGGCTGGGGAGCTCCAAAAGGCCACTGGTACTCGTTGCAACAGTGAGGACAGAAATATGCAAATATGGAGCGCAAGATTTCGGGAGAAATTTTCGAAAAGTAGGGCGTTGTGGACTTTTGGTGTCGAGTTCTGGCCATCATTTGCAGTGCGGGTTGTGAATGAGACAATGTTGTGAGCTGGGACAGAAGAGGCGGGGCGGAGGTTAATTAAGGTAACTGGGTGTTTAGGCAGCATAAGTGTCATTCTACAGGGCTGTTGGTGCCTATAAAAGGCAGAGCCAATGGTGTTACGGGATGGACAGTTGAAACACTCCCCACTAAAGTCTACTAATGAAATGGCAGTTTTAGAAAGAAATGATTTCATAGGTCAGTCCATCCTTTTGACCTGTTGAGATGCACCATCTTACCCAGCTCCAAGACGGGTGCTCCATTCCCTTGCTCCGCTTATCCATCTCAGACACCAGATTCCATCAAATACCTGATACAGCCGACATCTACTGAACCTCCGACACCGCCATTGTTGCCTGCAAAATATGTTAGAGCTCTGTCTGATAGATAGAATCGATCTCATTGTATACTCACATCCAGCCCAAGCATTTGCAAACGAAAAATCGCAGCGCGACTTTCCACGAGCATCCAACCCTCCCTCACCAAACGGATCGTTAAGCGGAACAGGGGGGTTTTCCATAGTGCACCCCTCGATCCAAGACCAAGTGAACCGGTGATCGTGAGTATCCTCGTCCGTTATCGTCACCCAGTAAGGACCATCGCCTGGTCTCATGCCCCAGTACTCTTTTTCTGCCGCCGAGCATACGAAGCCAATCGCCCCTGCAGCACCCAAGGGAGAAATGTCGGCATGGCCCGGAAAGTCCTTCTCGTCATTACACTGTAGATTGTCGCTCTCGGCCCTCATCCACGGCGTAGTTGCAGGCTTCAGGGCTGTCGTCGTCGCCGTGTCTGAGGACAGGTCAGACTCTTTGGAGGGCTCGCGCCACTCCATTTCTGGGTCGATACGGTCAGACTTTCTGGAGGGCTTGTGCGACTCCATTTCTGGGTCGCCGCTCCAGATGCCCCATCTCTTGAACAGTTCAGCAATGTACTTCATGGTATCTTTTTCTGTGGGAGCTGAATCTAGGTCCTGTCTCCTGAAATTCTTGTTCTCTAGTATGCCAGTGATACGATTTGTAGTGGTTGTTATGCTTTGCTCACAAACACAAGTGCCGACGCGGGTACTGTGAGAAGCGACCGCTAGTTAGATGCAAAAGCTTGCTCGGGAGGACAGTGTGATTTCTTACCTTGTTCCTTGGCCGTCTTCCCTTCTGTAGGATGAGACAGTCAGAGTGCACTTTGGTGGAGTGGTGGTAGCGCACTCCTCCTCTTTTTGTATGTGTGAGACTTGCGTGTCTTGCTGTTTACTGAGAACTTAGGTTAAGTCGTCTCGACGGAGGAGCAGCAGGCAGGCTTTTTATGCTGCGATAAAAATGAGCCAAAGTTTAACCTTAGGGTTGAAAAGAGGCATTCTCGGTCATCATGATCACTAGCTTTTCAGTCTGAAGGTCCATTCTAGGCATCTGTAAGGGCAGAGAGTATATTGACTATATGTGTTAATACGTGTTCTTTCCCTGTGTGTTGGGACTGAAGCTTCTTTTAACCCTTCAACCTTATGACCTTATCACAGTACTCCTCCTCGTCACGTTATATTCTTTATCATCATCCCCGGGATCATCCTTATCATTTTCTATTGGCTTGGGGCTGCGGCTTCGGAAGTAACCTATGAGGGCCCGGGGATGTCGCGAGTTACAGAGTTTTCTTCCTCTGAAGGAGATTGGGTCTGGGAGGCGGCGCGCTGAGTCTCCTCATCAACAGGCGATGCATTCTCATCACACTGCGTTGGAGGGGGGCGTTCTCGGTCACCATGATAACTAAGTTCTGTGTGGTGATTATAAGCTCTTAGCTATAGGTCTAAACTGCATATAACACATCTAGCTCACTATTTAGACATTATACCATAACGCCTAACCAATTGCTACAGCATAAATGCTGATGTTTTATACCAACCTTAACAAAGATCAATCCAACAACGAAAATAAAGGTAAGCAAAGGACACGTGTATTTGGCAGAGTAACCAAACCAATAAGGTAGACTGCCAGCATAGTTTTGCATGTCCCTAAACCTCCTGATATCCATAAAAGGTCATAATCGGAGGTTCGCCACTTCTCTGAGGTCCCAAAGATGGATGATACTAGTGTTTGGATCTCGAGGTTAAGTTCAGTGAACCTGTCGCCCTCGACGTCGAGATCAAATTCCGTTGTGGAGCACAACGAAAGTAAACAAGTGAGTATGGAAGCAAGAGAAAATTGGAGTGGGCCCATGGGCCAAGTAGATGGCCTATACCTTGTCCATTTGTCTGTACTGCTGACATGTTGGCTGCGACCTAACAGAATAGGACCAGGTGTTGCCTAGCATCCCCATGACTTTCTAACTCTGATACGAGATCTGCAGATAATTCCTAAATGTATTCTGGAAATTATGATTTTCGAGTAGTGAGTCTCTTGAATCAATTCTGTGTAATCTCAGCCAATTACCTCAACTTTACATAACACAACTACCTAGCTCAACTGCTCGGTTATGACCAGTACCGGATTTACTGCAATAATCAAGTAGAGGCTAAAACGAAGAGCTTTACTTCCCTAAATATGCTAAATCCGAATCGGCACCTCTAATCTACTTTGCTGGGAGTCTGATTCACATTTAAATAGGCTTTCAAGACAATGCCGCTACAGCTTAACTCTTTTCCGGCCCCGGGCACAAGATCAAAGGTTAAGAAAACCACTCAACGTCCAAAGCTTACAAGACAACCCTTTTAATGGCTTTCTTCTTCTCCAGCTTAGCCAACAAATCCTTAGGCTCTTCATTGTAAGCAGTGAGCACAATGTTCTCACCGACCTCTTCATAGGCAAAGTTGCCCGAGCCGTATATCTCAGAGAGGGCATTGTGTAAGATAACGCCGTCGTTTACTAGACCTCGCGGAATTTTATGCTCCCAGGAATACGTGTTGGTTGCGCTCATCTTGTATGGGTTTTTGTGTGTGCTATATATTACAGTCGCCTTGTTAGTATATAGAAAGCTGAGAAACTGGCACTGCTGGGCTTGGCGGATCTAGTTGTTATTCATCAGGTAGTCAAAACAAAGTTAAGACAGTAAAGATCTAAGTATTTATAGTGACGAGAAGCTCCTGAATCAGAAGGTAGGTCTCCTGCAGAATAATTCTCACTTGATACTTTTGGTTCTGTGGAACAGAAATGAGTTGCCTCGAGATGTCGCACTTGACAAGCCGAAGCAAATCACAGTGGTTATTCTTTATTCTTTTCTATAACTGCAGTGAGTATGATAAGTTGCAATCGCTGTATAAGTGACCTATTTGGGCGTCTTCTCGCTGTTACATTAGTTTGCTATTTTTGGACTCTTTTGTCAGTGAAGGTAAACTCATAATACGCCGGTTCACTGTGAAGCATTCACCATCACTTTCACTTTTATGTGCTAATTATACACGATAATGCAAGGTAACAATAACAGCACAAGGGACTTTAGTGCTTTGTCATCGGGCTCCAGTCGCATTGATGACCAGAGTGGACCTTTGTCGAATAAGAGGCTAAAGACACTGCAGCAACAATTTGAGCATGGACCAATCCTCAATGAGACGACTGGCTTAAGTGCACCAGCAGTTACCTAGCTTGGAAGTTCGCTCGTTGGAAGATGCCCGCTGACAATCAATGGCCAGAGGGTAGCTGCACCTTTCCGCAAAAGGAGGGAGCTGAACACATAATTGTACTCTTATTTGCTACCTGAGCTGAATACATAAGCTCACCGCTTTATGCATATGCACCAATGACAGGATTTTACTCGTATCGGCAGAGGATACATTAAACATGTCCACGGAGTCAGAAGCCGCGAACTCCGATGAGCAAATAACTATAAAGCCAGCTGAACATCTCCTATGTTCCTATCCGCAACACCAAGCATCTTCACCCTACTCCTCAAGCAACTTCGCACAAACTCATCCGACATGCAGTTTATTAATCTCTCCGCCCTCGCCCTTTTAGCTACTTCCGCTCTGGCGGCGGACTGCTTCGGTAACCAGGCAAGATGGCATTGAGAGATTTGAGCAGGCATATTGGGATGCTCGGCAGAAAATGTGCAGCAACTCAGACTGCACTTACCAGCAGGGCTGCACCACCAGGGCTGCACCACCAGGGGCTCTAAGAGCATAAAGGGACTGGCAACTATTACTGTCAATGTCGAACTGAGCCGCAAGAACACTGGTGGCAAGAAGGGATTCAAGGATTGCTGGGTATGTATTCCAAATGATGATTAATTGTTGAATTTTGCTAACCAACTCTGTTTAGGATGCTACTGAGTATGCCATCCAGATTATTTGCAAGGTTTATCTAACAGCCATAGGAATATTATCAACCAGTGCGTCAAGGGGTCTCACCAGCTGAGTGGAACTTGGGAGTACAATGGTCAGCTGTATCAGGTCAACGGATACTATTCTTAAGCTCCGGCAACGTGTTTAACATGATTTGTGAGACAGACAGGGGGGGGGATACCGCCCCTTTTATGATAAATTTGTATGTACACTCTCGTTCTGCTGAGCTACTAAGAAATAACATCCAAAGCTCGCTGCTAGTCGCTACGTCCTGTGTGGTGATTACAGGCTCTCAGCCACAGGTGTCAACTGTAAATGATACATCAAGCTCATAGTTTCTCAAACACCAAAATGAACATAAGGAACCCAATAAGCCGGTACCGGCCCATCCTTATCCCCATCATCATCACAAGGAATAATATCCCTCATTCCTTTCTCATCCCCTTGTACTGCCAGCTCCCTCTTCTTCCGCACACTTTCTAGCCAACTATCTCTCAATATTCTCGTAGCCTTGTGCAACCCTCGACAAACAGAATCATCCGTCATCCCCCCTTCTCTGATAGCTTCATACGTAACTCGCGCGACATCGACGCAATGCTTGTCCCTTACCTTCCATAAAGTCCCGATGACATGTCTGAACCCAGCTAATTGAAATGCACTGATGAGATGTATACTCTCGTCGATGAATTTGTCATCTTGAACTAGGCCGGTGCTACAAGCGGAAAGATACGCCAGGAAGGGCGACTTTTCGTGGAGATTCAGCTTCAATATATCCCCTACTGTCAGAGGATCGCTGGTGTCACTCAGACAGAGATGGCTTTTAGAAGGGTCCTCGCCATTCGTGTGTCCATGTCCTGCAAAGTGAAAGATATTGCAGTTTCGTAAATAGGAGAGTGTATCTTGCTTGGTTGGACCAACTGGGACAGGCCGTACTGCCATACTCTTGCAGATCTCACTAACCACCTTGATCTCTGCCCGTGCCTGTGGAAGATGAGGGTGATTCTCTGTATGCTCCACATCTATTAGAAGAGCTTTCACGGGGCCGGCTGTAACCTCACGTTGTCGACGTCCGTGGAGGAGAGCTTTCAGAGATGGACTATATGACGAGATCACTCTATCCATCACTGTCTTGCCGGACCGCTCTCGATGTCGCCCTGACGCGTGAAGAGGAAACCTACTCAACGGTCCAGTAGGTATCCACCACACATGAGGCCATTCCTGTTGATCTGATGGCGTTTCCCTAAAACCCAGTACCTCAAGTACGAGACTCGTAATAGTATCCCAGAGCCATTCAAGCATATCAGGGGTTCCCAAATCAAATCCCTCTGCACGTTCCATCAGCTCACCATCATCCAGATCTTTAAAAACCATAGATGTTAGACGCCCTCTCTCAATGATTATTCCCTCACATCCCATCCAACTGCTGTTGATGACCACTATGGGACCATAAGTAGCTGCTGTACGTATCTGGTCCGTAGTAAGAGGACCTAGAAAATCCTCAAAACAAGGTTTCTTTTGTATCTCGCCCAGTAGATCATCAAAGTTATTTGCAGCGTTTCGTCGTCGTAAACCTCGGTCCTCCACAGATTCATCGCTGAATTGCGAACCAGTGGAAGATTCAAGTTCTTCACGAAGACGCATAAACCTCTCGGCTAACTCAGGAAACGCTTGTTGAAGCTCCTTTATGTCTGTTCGTATCTCATCCAGCGATGATCCCAGAATACCCCGGCCTTGCTCGAGAATTGACAGTGCCTCAGATGGATCCTTTTCGAGCCTAATGGCAGCTCCTGTCACCGAAGCCGCAAGACCTCTCGCATAACTGAGTAAATGCTGCCTATCAGCGGTTTCGAGTGATCTAGCGGCAGCAATACCAGGTACAAGGTCGATGGCCTCGCGCCCTATATCATAAGCCTCTTGGAGACTCAAGCATAATGGCATGACGGATGTTGCAGCAACTATACGCCTCAAAGTATTGCCTGTAAGATGGCTTACAGCAGATCGATAGTTGCGCACTGCATCCTCCAAGTCACTGGTGACCCATGTTCTACCGAACTTGGCTGCAAAGAGATCTCCGACCGTGGTCCAAAGGTCTGTCCTGAATGGAGAGTCCTCCGGCATCGAGTCCAAGGTCTTTTGGGAGATAGCAATGGCTTCATCGATGTCGCTTAGCCGGCCTTCAGTTCCAAATCTCGTTCTCAACAAAGCGGCCAAGGTACCAATTGCAGAAGGTCGCTCAATAAACGGATTACCCATTGCAGCAATGGCTTTCCTGGCAACCTCTATACCCTCCTCGAGATCTTCAGGTGATCTACACGTGTCATACCGCCTGTCGAGACCCGAAGCAAGCCGTGATAGTATACTCTCGATCTCTGGGTTATTGCTGGGAATAGAAGTCAAAGCTTCTCTCAACAAGGCGATTCCTTGGTTCAAATCCGATACATCCTCTTGATTCCTTGAGAACCTCTTGAGTAGCATAGAACCAAGATTATGCAGCTGGATGTACCTTGACGAATGATCATCCGGAGTTATATCCAGAGCAGTTCTGGCATAGGCAACAGCTTCTTCTAAGTCCACCATCGAGCCTCTTATCATCGATCTTCTTGATAGTGCTATTGCAAGATTACCCAAAACAATACGAAGATTAGGAGAATCTTTCGGTATGTCTTTCAAGCTCTCTCTGCCAACTTCAACAGCCTCTTCAAGGTGAGCCAAGTCCCCGGTTCTGCTGTAGAGAGAGTCAAGGTAATTCGAGTAGTTGCTGAGTTGTTCAGACCAATGAAGATGATCTTTATCAGCTTTCTCAAGATCTCGTTTGACGACATGAATTGCTTCTTCGAGGTCCTTCAGATCGCCTGTCTCGTGGTATAGAATGTATGTAGTAACATTGAGCTTTCGTATTCGATCCAACCGCTCAGGGTCGCCTTGTGACGTCGCAGCCACGGCTTCTCTAGTCAATGTAATTGACTCGCGTAGCTCCCTCAAGTTTCTCGTTTCTTCAAAAAGTTCATACAGCGTTCTTGCTAGTTGAAGTTGTCGAGCTAGTTTGTCTCGTTCGCAATCGTCTGTCGTCGCAGATAGCGAGTCTCTTCGCAGACGACACACAGTTTCGAGGTCCTCTACTCTTCCTAAGTTGCCGTGCATTGCATCGTATAAGTCCGCAAACTTCTCGAGCCATATGGCATGTAAGCTCTGATCTTCTGAGGATGCAATGGCTGTTTCCAAGCCTTCGCAGGCACTTTTAAAGTCGTCCTCGGCCCCGAGCACAGTATATTTCTCCTTCAACATGATTCCGAGATTCGCCAGGTGCGCGGCCCTCATGGAAGATTCGTCGGGGAGCCTTTCCAGCGACCCCTTGATCAAGCAAATAGCTTCGTCGAGATCAACCAGGTTTCTCGTGTGATAAAAGCAGTCTCCTAACTGCAGGGCTAACCAGTACGAAAACCTCTGGTGGTCTAAGGACTCTGCGGGTGACGCCTCGATCGCTTTGCGTTCAAGTTTGATCGCTCCTTGGAGATCGTCAAAATCGTCAATCACTTCCTTGTACTTCATGTACAGAGACCAGGCCAGCGTATGTAATAGTTTTGCATCGTCTTTGACTGACGATTTTAGGGCCTTTTGTGCAGCCTGAATAATGTCTTCCACTAGATCCGGGTCATTCGAGTCACGATAGCTCTGCACTAGCCTTTGCAATTGGTCTTGCTGAGCGATATAGCCACCCTCGGCAACAATGGTCGAATGGCCCCCCCGATATTGAGAGTCAGCAAGTGGTTGCTCCATGCTTCAGGATTCTGGCTCTGGGTACTGAGTGACAAGAGCTGGGTGAGCTTTCAGTAACGTAAGGACATCGAGCAGAAGCTTGCTGGTGCCTAAGTTTGATGCAAGAATAATCACAGGACCAACAGCTGCACTTCACTTCGATTGGTCCATTGCACGAAAGTGCAAGTCGTGATGTGGCTTCGCTGACATTGCATCGCTGCGTCATTTCACTCCCATAGCTTGGTTGGTAGCTCAATTTCTCATTATGAAAATAGGTTTATATAAATCAGGTGAAGGAAACGTGAAAACTAAAAGTCTTCTTGGTATTATTTATACTTACACCTGTAACTTGCTGTTATAATCTCTACTATGTGGGCAAGACTAGTCACCTTCTCGACATCATGGGTGCCACTCTGACATCTCAGTACGCATGGCTATCATCCAATGAACCATGACTAATTCACTTTCAGCTTAAAATCTCTATTAGGAAGCTGGTTAAAAACCAAGGTTTAAAACTCTCACAGATTGCTGATCACTCCTTTAATAGCTTAGCTCTTGTTGGAGCTATCATTGCCGACTAATACCCCACCTTCATTGTCAGCCAGATGATGTCGCGTTACACTCTTATCGAGACTACTCTGCATGTAACCTTGGTTCGAAGTAACCATTATCTAATCGGAGGAAACGGCGCCTTTTATGACGATCGTCATGGCGATCTCGAGCTACAAAAGCTGGCGATGTGCCTCCCCCGAGCACTTAGTTGACGCCCTCAAGCCAATTGCTGACAATGGGTCGTTTTTCAACTTGGGTTGCTCTGTTGAGCCTACTTTCACAAATTCACGGTCATCCATGCGATGTCAAATACCCTCCTCAGACGAAACCAGTGGAGACCAGACAGTTCGGTAAGAACCGTGGCGCCGTTGCCTGTGAGAGTGAGATATGCAGTACCATTGGCATCAACATTCTGAGGCAGGGCGGCAACGCAGCTGATGCAACGGTCGCTACTGTTCTTTGCGTGGGAACAGTTGGTACGTTAATTGTACCCTTCTTGATCGCGCTGCACTGACACAAATCCAGGCATGTATCACTCTGGCATCGGAGGAGGCGGCTTCATGCTCATTCACAAGCCCGATGGCAAGAATGAAACCGTGCCTTACGAATTTGTCGACTTTCGCGAAACGGCGCCTGCAGCAGCTACTGAGAATATGTTTAAGAACAATGTGAACGCTAGCATCTATGGAGGACAGGCGAGGTATAAAATTCCCTCCAGCATTTCGGGTGATAACTAATGACCTTCCAGTGGCGTACCAGGCGAGTTGAGAGGTCTGGAGCACCTGCACAAGAACTATGGTCGTCTGCCATGGTCGAAGCTCGTCCAACCAGCTATTGACGTCGCCCGCTATGGATTCCCAGTCAACAACGATACCCTCAAGTTCATGAAGATGACTTACAGCAAGGCCGAAAACGAAAGCTTTCTGTTCAGCGATCCAGCGTGGGCAATCGACTTCGCTCCTGCTGGAAGACTTCTCAAATTTGGCGAGAAGCTGACACGAAAGAGATATGCTGATACCCTGGAGAACATTGCTTCCAAGGGAGCTGGCGCCTTCTACGAGGGTCCCATTGCAGATGCGACCATCCGGACTTTGAAGCAGAAGCGCGGTATCATGACCACGGATGACCTGAAAAATTATTCCGTGGCCATTCGAGAGCCTTCCAAGATCAACTACCGAGGCGGAAAGATTACCAGCGGATCAGCCCCCTCAAGTGGTGCCGTTGTCGCAGCTGCAATGAATATCCTAGACGGCTATGACTTCCTCGGTGATCCCAGAAGAGTCAATGACAGTGCTTATCTTCTCGATGAAGCATTCAAGTTCGGCTACGGAATGCGAAGTAATCTCGGCGATCCAACCTTTGTCAAAGGTCTAGGAGAATATCAGGTTCAGATGTACTCCAACCATACTGCGCAGGAGATCCGCGCCAAACTAGACGGGCGTGCTCTTCAAGTCAAAGATTACGACCCTAGAGGTCTTGAGAGCTTGGACACCCCCGGCACGTCACATGTGGTGGCCATGGATGACTCTGGACTTGCTATATCCCTTACGACTACGATTAACCTCAACTTTGGTTCCCAAGTCATTGTTCCCGAGACTGGGGTCATTATGAACAACGAGATGAACGATTTCAGTATCCCCGGACAATCAAACGCATTCGGATTTATCCCTAGCGAGGCCAATTTCATCAGACCTGGAAAACGCCCTCTTTCTAGTATAAGCACCACCATTGTCGAGGGGCCTGACGGAAAGGTCTCGCTGGTCACAGGCTCTGCGGGTGGTAGTCGCATCATCACTGCAACTGTCCAGGTGGTCCTAAATGCGCTAGAGAAAAACATGACTGTTCATGAGGCCCTGGCTGCGCCTCGCCTGCATGATCAGCTTGAACCAAGGCAGGTCACCTTTGAATATGCTTACGACAACTCGACAGTTGCGTATTTGAAAGAGATCGGCAACAATGTCACTTGGGTAGCACCTGGACAGAGCACTGCTCAGGCTTTGAGGAGGTTACTGGATGGGACTTTCGAGGCTGCTGGTGAGCCCAGACAGGCGAACTCTGGAGGATTTTCAACTTGAACAAGTCTGAAATTGTATGTGTAGTTTAACATATTATTGCAGCCAGCATCTGTCTACGCCTGCCATAGGAGTCGTGCAACCCAAACCCTCTAAAGTTTCCATACCTCCAAGTTGCGATATCGAGCAACAAGAGGATTCATCTGTCTGAAGCCAATCCGTCCACCACGAATAACTGGTCCAGTCGATCGATCCACATCTTCCCAGGAGAATAATTCCAATCCATTGATCGAGAACTTGACATCACGCTTATCGTGAATAACCTCAACCTTGTAATAAGCACCCAGGGTATCCTCCACATTCGGCAATGGGTCAGCCCCTTGCGCAACAAGATGGAATCCAGGCGACTTTCTCAAATTCGCAAGATGAAAAGCCCTCTCTTCGGGCCACCGACGACGAAAGTACGAAGCGTGCAGCGTTCGAATGTCGCTAGAGTGATATTGCGGGTAAGACCCGTTTCGGGGCTTGAGATCCTTGTCGAAAATGCTTCCGCCGTCTTTGGCTGCGGCTGCACCGAAGAAGATGATAGCCAGGCCGGGTTCCTCGATAGGTGAGAACTCCCATGTGATGCGGATGCGTTCGGGAAAGACTTCTGGGACCCAATAGACAAAGTCTCCCGGGGCAGCTAATTCAAGCGTGTTGTTGGATACGGTGGCCTTGACGGGACCTTCGGCAACCCAATCTGCAATTGCGTCGGTGCTGTTGAAGGTATTTCTGTAGAGAAGCTTCTCTGCCATCGCAGAAGCGGTCAAGAGAGAGTAAAGGAGGAGACTTCGCATCTTGTGGTTTGGTAGAGAAATATATCTAATAACTCTCGAACAAGAGTATTGGGAAATTACCCATGATTATATAGTTTTGTATTTATTTCTTTTGTCATATTAATTCGCGATGTGCTCATACTTTAATTTCCGTCTTCGGGGGGAGATGCACCGAGATGAGCAGATGCGATCCTATCATCTTCAAGGATCTGACAACGGATATGCTACTCCATTTAGTTTAGCAAGCATCATGCAATGCAATTCGATCATTCGGGAGCAAAAGACGTGATTCAACAGTGAGTGCCGATCATTTCTGATGAATTGAGTTTGGGAGAAACCAATCACCAAATTTCCACCAATGGAAGGGTTTCCTGTTCTTGGATATTATTTCGACTCGTGAGAGCTTACGGAAATCAGCTGTAAGAAGTGATAATGAATACGGACCAGTTTCGGACTTTAGCTTTGTTAACAATAGTAGAGAATTGAAAAGACTCCCAAATAAACAAGCTAAGCTATGAATGGAAGAAGGTAAGATCAAGATTGTCGTTAATGAACTCCAAGTCTTGTGGAAGCTATGTTGTTTCCATTAGTAAAAGCCACAGGCAAGCTAATAATTCTGATCCGCATACCATTGAGCTTATAAGATCGGCAACGATATCAGAACCCATATAATTCGTATCTATTGATAGCTGATTCCTACGTGGTTCATCGTCATCACTACGGCTCATCAATACGAGATTAATCAGTTCTTATCAACAAGGTACACTTACCAAGACTCTGGGAATGACTGCTCTTGTCGAATGGCCGCCTGACGTGTCTGCAACAGTGTGCAGAGTTTAATCACCCGCTCTGCTGCTTCTTTGTCCGATTTTGCGGATGACTCTGGCCACAACTTGGACTTGACTAAACCAACTGTCATACTGAGGATATAATATTCGTTTAAACCGTTGAATGTGAGCGAAATTCGCTTTTCAAGAATATGCAAGACTTTCTCAACATTGGCAATTATGAAGGTTGAAATCTCGGGAAAGGTTGTTATCGTGGACTGATCGCAAGCTTCATAGTTATAAGCTGTCATTCATTTCTTTCATAGAAGGCAGAGGGCAATTAGTCTCACCGTGTGATCCAAAATTCAGGCAGATTTCATGGCAGATATTCAATGCAGAAAGTACTAAGCCCGTCCTGCAAGCTTGTTCTGGTAATGTCTCGTCGTTTAGAAGTCGTTGGTAGTAGTCGAGGATTTTCATGGATGCCTCCAACCTGACGCGTCGACAGATAAGAGACTTGGATGAGGAAGTAGTTTGAAGGAGGAACTTGAAATGCAGTAAAAGGATATACTGATTCAGAATGATGCCTAGCATGCTCTTTATGCATGCCGCCTTCTGATGCTGGCGTGGATCAGCCTGGGGGTTGTCCCATGCCGGGATATCTCGAAGTGCCTGTCCTAGCTGCTCCTCGAGTTCTAAGAGCTTGTCGAAATCGGCCTCTTGGCAACATCCATTGATGAAAGCACATATCTTCAGTCTCACAGTCAAAGAGCGGTAAAGAAGTGCTTGGAAAGAAGTGTTTGTCAGCGTAGTAACTGGCAGACCGGTTTCAGAGTCTTGCATAGACTCTTGAAGCTTTTCGTCGTCGACATTAAGTGGTGGTATGATGTTGAAATCCTCTATTCGGACACTTGGAGGCATTCCGCGCTCTACTGATGCCTGGAGGTCGAGTTCAACAATTGTCGCCCACAAGCGCCGACGCATCTCCTGACAAAATGGCGGCATTCTGACTGCGGAGACAACTTCACGGTGATATCCTGCTGCCATAGCCCATCGGACTAATGCACCAGTCGAAGTCCAGAAGTTACCCTCGTTAATAAAGTTTGCACGCTTAGCAATGAGCAGGAGACAATGGCTCGCCAAGATGTCCCAGGAGCGAGGAGGCTGATTCATGGGGGAGTTAAGCCATACCTCCGCTGCTTCAAGCCATCCAACAACGTGATCATGAGTGGTTTTCTGGCCGTATATGTCGATGCATACTTCAGGATGACAACTTGCAGCAGTAGCGGCCACTGAAAGCATTTGTGCGAGAAAGGAAACCGGAGTGCTGAGGCGATCAGTCCAATGACCGTTATAGTTGGTGATGAATGTTGGTATATGCAGCACTCGATGTATTATCTCATATCTATCAATATAAGTTTGAACCAGTACGTCCATGATTGACTTTGTGGGGATCAACTGTCTTAAAGTATCCTCAACCCCAGCGTCAGGCCATGGTGGACGACCCCGTTGTTTGTCGTTAAATGGAGCGTAAATCTCATCGCGAAGGGTATTGATGGAAGGATACTGGGTCTTGATTTTAACGATGTATGGTTGGAGCTCGGTAAACTATTACTACTCAGGGAAATGTTACCTCTTGGATTGAGTGAGAATATACCCGTTGGTAAAGGTTCAGGGGATAGCTATACCCGTAGAACTTGGTGGAATTCCCTTGACCTTCCATGTGTGTCATATCCACTTTCTGATCGAAGGAACTCAACTGCCTGTCAAACGTTTCTGTAAACGAGACAGGCACACTGGCAAACGTCGTGTCGCGAGGTACTCCCGAACGGCTATCGAACAAGCCCTCCACTGCCGAAGGTGATCCGCGGTAAGTACATTCGTCGGCATTTCCGGCCTTTGAGCAGCGACTGCAAGATGGGAGCTCTCTGCCGCACTTGAGCTTCCGTTGATAGCACTGGATGCAGGCCAGTGGGGGACGTCTTTTCTTGACCCCTGGTTTAACCACGCGTTGCGAAGTGGTTGGTAATCGGTTCATTGCAACAGGTATGACGATAAAGAAACGAATTTTGACATTCAGAATGAAACATGAGAAATCGCCGAGCACAACATCTTATGTTCGTTTGTGTGACGTCGGATGTCGGGTTCGGCATATTCGAGGGCTCGGTGATCTCTAGGCTCGGCAATTTGAATGACTACACCTGGAGGCTTGGTCTAACTCGTCCCAGATGACTTTGAATTAACTATCGCTGATGCTTATGTGATACGAAAATTTCCCGTCGATTTTGAGAAACCGGGGTAATGGGGGTTGCCCCGGAGTTTATGTCTGGGGTACAACGTATATAAATAACATACCCAACCGGCACAAGGCTCCTTTACCCATGCCACCTATCTTGCGAATCAACCGGATAACTTAACAGAATTTCACTCAAACTACTCAAAGATGTCACTAGCTAAAGATCACCCTTTGACGGAATCCATCATCTCCTCATTCGGACCCAAAAGCTCACCTAGAGCTCGGGAGATCCTGACAGGGTTGATTCGATATCTTCATGCCTTCTGTCATGAAGTAAATCTCACCACCGAAGAGCTATATATTGCTATTGAGGCTTTGAATAGGTCTGGCCAGATGAGTAACCCTGAGCGAAACGAGACCTTGTTGATCTCAGACTGTCTTGGCGTGGAGGCGTATGCTCTAATATGTTACATCCTTGTACTCGCACATAAAGTCTGACTATTACTCTAGGCTAGTTGATGCTCAGACCCAAAAAATGCTGGAGCAAGACAACGGAACCAACTCTTGTATTCTCGGCCCGTTCTACGTCGCTGATCCTCCTCGATATGAGAATGGGGATACTATTATCCAGAAGTATCTTGGGGGAGAGGTCACGTACTTCCATGGTCGGATTCTGGATGCTGATACAAATTTGCCCGTTGCAGGTACGTCTATTTATTCCTCAAATAGCACTGGGCAAGGTTGGCTGACTAGGGTTTACAGGTGCATCTCTAAACGCCTGGGAGTGTGCAGTCAACGGACTGTATGACCAACAGGATCCTAACCAGCCATCTGGAAACATGCGCGGCATGTTCACCTCGGATGCAGAAGGCAAATATGCATTCTACTGTATCAAGCCGGTCCCTTACCCTGTTCCCTATGATGGTCCTGCTGGGGATATCCTCAAACTTATGGACCGCCACCCGTACCGAGCTGGTCACATCCACTTCATGGTGACCAGGGACTCTTACAACCGTCTGATTACACAGGTTTTCCCTGAGGACGACACTTATCTTGACTCCGATTCGGTGTACGCAGTCAAGTCAGATTTGCTTTTAAAGTTCAAGCCTTATGATTCTGGCTCGCTGAAATGTATGGGGGCTAACGAAGTCGATGTGAAGTGGGAAGTCAACTGGGATTTCAAGATCAAGAAGCAGAAAGCTTAATTGGCTCCTAATCCCGGCGTCATCTATTAATTAGATAGTCAATTATATTTACCTTATATTGAAAAACTCTTCTTATGTGAGTTTTTAATAACACTCGTATGTTTAACTTGACTATATAACGTTTTTACTTGAGCAAGGCACATGGGGAATTTCAAACCGTGGCAATAGACTTGAGGTAGCTGAAACAAGGCATTAGTAGAATAATGAACCCCTTTTTGGTGCGATCTTCTAGGTGACTGCGTGCCTCCAACTTCACTAGCACTGCAACGAAGACAGGCGAGATTATCAAATAATTTATAAAACTTCCAACTAAAGCACTATAGTACGATAAATACCTCATGTTTAGTTATCAAACAATGTCTCTCGGTCAATCTTGTCCAACAGCTTCCCGTCAGTGAACCAAACATCCATCGCCTTAGCCATTCCTTCAACATAGGCTCGAGGAGCATCATCTGACATAGCCTTAACAAGCAGGTCCTGCGACATTTCGTTTGTGTTATCCGCTCGTCCAGTGGCCACCACCTTTTTCTCATAGCGACGGACAGCAAGATCCAAATCATCGGGACTCGCCTGAATTTCGTGGAAAAGGTCGAGAGCGTCCAGCATGGCCAAGTTTGCACCCTCTCCAGCAAACCATGACATGACATGGAGAGAGTCTCCGATCAGAGTCAATCCCGGATGGTGGTCGTAGCGAAGACCCAATGGCATACGATACTGCGCGCGGGGAGTCATGTTCGTGTCGACATTGCGAATGACATCTTGGAGACGCGGATCCCAAGTTGAAAAGAAGTTATCAATCAGGTAGTCGGTCATTTTCCTCGCATCATTCCAGTCGTAGGAGGGGTCCTTTGAGTGCCAGTTCTCTTCGACTCGAAGACAGGGGTAGACTCTCACGCTGTCATCTCCATTGCGCTGGATAAAAATCCCACTGCCTTCAGACAGAAAGAAGGAAGTGCCACGGCCAATGAACTCTCCAAGCTCGGGAAATCTCTTGTCCACGTCGGATATACGACAGTCAATGACCGCGAGACCAGTATACTCAGGTGTTCAATTCGTCAAAAGCGGTCGAACCTTGGACCAGGTTCCATCAGCCCCCACAAGAAGATCAGTCACAACAGGTTCAGGCTGATTCTCAAAAACCAACTTAACCCGGCCACTCTCTTGCGGAACAATGTCCGAGAGTCGGTGATCCCACTTAATATTCTCTGGGTCGAGGGACTCAATAAGAATCTTGCGAAGCTTTGCGCGGTCTATTTCTGGGCGTCCGTCGGCATCAGCGGTTGCTTTGTGGAATAACCAAGTAACAGCTTTTTTGTCGCCAAAACGATAGTCCTGGTCATGATAGCGTGCGTACTTTTTGAACTGCTCCTCAAGACCAGCTTCGAACAAAGCTGCTTGGCCGGACTCTGGATGAAGGTCAAGAGAACCACCTTGGAAACGAGAGCTGGTAGACTTTTCTCGCTCAAAAATGGTAAAGGGGATCGAGTGGTGTTGCAGCAGAGCCGCGAGGCTTAGACCAGATGGTCCTGCTCCAACGATGGCGATGTGCTTGGGCATGATGAGAAGAGTATGGTGATTTATTTAAAGTAGGAATTGTCAGTTTCGTTGCTTTGTGAAGTATTTCATCTGGTAGAAGCGTAATCAAAGAGACTTATATAGACTTGATTTTTGGTCTCCCATTCCGGTCATCGGGCCCACGTATACAAGTTTGACCATCACGTAAGGTGCTTCATTGAGAGATATCACTGAATGGATTGTCACTCGACAAATTTCACCTTCTTCGGCGATGTCTTTCATTTGTGACATGAAACCCGGCATCCGACGATGTCGGCCTTTTCGCCTTCACTTTTTTCAAGACCTCGGCCTTTTTGTCCCGGCAAATTCTCTCCGATATGGACACCGACCCATTGAAAAAGAACAGACTTACTTAAAAGAGCGCATTAGTCAAAAATAACCGCTATGAATGACTTGAAAAGCGAGTATTCTGGTCATCAAAGCTCATCACGATGCAGAAACTCAAGCCCCATATTGTTATTGTCCCAGCATCCTTTGCCCCACCGTCTCTATACTCAGGTCTCGTTCAAAGCCTCGCAGAATATGGATTAGAGTCTACTGTCATCGGTCTCCCTTCTGTTGGATTTCGCGATCCATTGCCAGCTGCCTTGATGGATCAAGACGCTGAGCACATTAGATCAACTACAACAAAACTAGCTGATGATGGCCATGAAATCGTCTTGGTGATGCACTCCTACGGTGGAATATGTGGTACAGAAAGCACCGCCGGAGTTTCAAAAACCGATAGACAAGTAGCTAGGAAACCGGGTGGTATAATACATCTTGTTTATATCAGCTCTCCTGTACCTGAGATCGGGGGGTCCGTCAAGACGATGATGGGCGATAATATGCCCCATTTCATGAAGCTTGAGGTAAGAAACGACGCTTCAAGGATGTAAGGTGATGTTTAACGGTTGAAATAGGGAGACTACCTCATATCTGAGCCCGAAGGCTGCGCGAGCGTCAATTTCTCAGACCTTCCGAAAGCCGAAGCGTCGACGTATGCGAAGCAAATGACAGCGCATTCGGCTGTGAGCTTTGCTGGGCCACTTCAAAACGCAGGATACTTGGATATCCCCGTCGCATATATAGTCTGTGAGAAGGATATCTCTGTACCTCCTGTTGTCCAGAGATCTGTCATTGATATGATTTTCAAAAAGAGCGGTCGGGAGGTCATCACGTTCGCTTGCAACTCTGGACACTTTCCTACTGTCAGTTCCCCAGGCGAGGTATCATCTTTTATAAACAAGGTTGCTACTAATGGCTTTCGAGAGTGGTAGTTAAATATCTCTGAATAAATCAAGACTTGATTCTATGCAAATTGTAACCCTAGTTATCCGATGAGAAGCAATGTTTAGCTTTGGGCGCTGTTGTATTTCCCGATGACTCTATGCTTTCAAGATAGATACACTTCTTAGACCCAGTAAGCAACTACTCATACTTACGTAGATACCGAGCCTGATCCAGTTCATTTGCCTGTGTATCTGCAGTGGTAGTTATGAGGTTACCATGTTCTTCCAAACTATTGGCGGGCACCTTGGCGAAGAGCGTTATGGCCTCCAGTCACCTATCAAAGTGATGATTCCCTGATGGCGGATTGGCTGAGTATTCTTGAATTCAACCTAGTCGGCGAATGTCCAGTTGTCCGGTCCGAATATGCCGTGAATATGCCAGGAGTATGCCGAAGAATACTCCGAGATAAGCCGGAGCTTCCACTAGCCTTGTCAACCATCCTAGAATCTCTCTTTAACATATCTCAACGTGGTATAACTTAAATTGTGTCCAGAATACTCTGACCACTGGCCCTAGAAAGAGCCCAATAGGTAAATTACACAATGGCTGACAACACTAGCGACCTGCTCGCCCCGAGGAACCTCGCGGGCAAGACCGTCATCATAACAGGTGGGGCAAATGGTATAGGAGCCGAGACTGTACGGCTGTTCAACTCACATGGAGCGAATACTGTTATTGCCGACCTTGAACGGACTCGAGCTGAGGCTGAATCAGTTATTCGGTCATTGCAGCAGCCTACCTCTGCCTTATTCATCAGTGTTAACATTCTTATCTGGGATGAAATGAAAGCCCTTTTCTCTCAATGCATAAAACATTTCGGCAGAATCGACATCGTTGTAGCCAACGCTGGTATAATGGAGAGTCAAAGTCTTTTTGATGTTGCAACGGTCGACGAGCAGGGAGAGCTACGCGAATCGACTGAGGGATTTTGCGTAATTGACGTTAACCTCAAAGGGACCATTAACAGTATGTGTTCATTTTACTCTTGATTCCCCCAATCTTTGATATTTCTATGGCTGACCCATCATTTTCTTGAAGCGTTACGACTCGCTCTCCACCACATGCGGCATAACCAACCAATTTCACCTGGTGGTTTGAGAGGATCTGTGGTTCTCGTTACTTCAACATCAGCATACTTTGGAACGACTGGTGTAGGGGCATACATCACATCTAAGCATGGACTCACCGGCCTACTACGAGTGTCACAGAAAGTTGCTCGAGATTTAGGCATCGGAGTCAATGCTGTTGCTCCGTTCTTCACGCCAACGCCTACGTTCAGAGAGTTGGCTGAGAAGTGGAAAGATTCAGGCCTAAAGTCGAATACACCAAGAGACGTCGCACGGGCTATTGCTCTCATCTGTACACAGAGTGAGACGGGAAAATGCTATATGGTACTTCTAACTTTCTTCATCCTTAACTGGTTACTTTGTTCTAACTTGGGTATAGATTGTTGCTCGAAAGTCAGTAGAAGTCGAAGATAGCAGAAACGCGCTTCTTGAACAATGGCTTGGACTTGAGACTACCGAGCTATTACAGTCTGCTAGTATACTCTTCGAGGCTAATGGCTACCCATTGCCCAGCAGGCATGAATAACTGTCTGCAACCTGTGGCTGAAAGCTTATGTCCATCCCGCGATTCAGCATAAATAACTTTAATACTTAAAGTAACTTTATCTATTTTATGTTTATATCTTCAAACCGTTATATGCCAGGAATATCTGTAACATGTTTTGTTTTCCTAGTAAAATTGTCCCTGAGTTTCAGATTCAGGGTAGCTACCAAGCCGTTTTCTGGGGACAGCCGAGCTTGGCAAACTCCAGCATGGTAACACCAACTTGGAGACTCAGTTGTTATCCAATCGGAAGGCAAGATGGCCGAGCGGTCTAAGGCGCTGTGTTCAGGTTCCATAAGAACTAGTGACGATTCGCAGTCTCGAAAGGGGCCTGGGTTCGAATCCCAGTCTTGTCAGATTCTTTTTTGCACATCAGACGATCAAGTTACACAGTATATTCACGACACGAGATACACGCTGTGGTCGTCATGACTTGCTGTTGTGGCTTGTAGCTTCGCATACGTAAACGATACAGGGATGCAGGGATACAGGGCATTAAGAGGCTTGACAGCCACTCTCAATGTTCAGTTCACACTTTGTTATGCCATAAAAACTATCGCTAGTGTTGATAACAGTTAAATTGCAATGTGTCTAATCTCAATAGCTGATGTTTCTTGACCTGGAATGTCGAATAAGATATCCACGTGCAGATGACGATAAAAACGCGCAACAACCATAATTATTGAGTTAAGCGCACACGTGCTTCAAAACAAGAATATATGGGGACGAGTGCTTGGCGCCAATTAATTTCATTCCAACAAGCCCCCTTGCACGCGCGGCGATTTCGGATTTAGCAGTCATACATTGGACAGGGGACTTTATCTTAGTGCAAAACCTTGTTTTCCCCCTCTACACCTTGTAACCCCCAAGGCACTTGGTGCTTCATCTTTGTGAGAGATGCTGATGCCAAGAACCCCCTCTCCTACCCTCGTAGGTGGTCATCCAGCCACAATTCCATGACGAACATGCCAAGTCTGGGTGCTACTTAAGAATCCGGGTGGCCACTTTATGTTTCTTCCATTAAACATCCTCTCTTCAGTCTCTCACCATGATCTTCTCCAGTATATCTCTCCTCTCGCTGTTATCGGGCGCACTGGCCAGTGCTGTCCCCCAAGGAGCGAATACCTGGAAAACTTTACCTTCTATCCCCATTGCTCCCCGGCAAGAACATGGTGTCGTCGCACTCTCGGAAAAGACCCTTGCAATCATCGGTGGGATTGTTCCCAATCGCGAGGCCAATGGGTATGAGACGACTGCTATTATGCAATTCTTCAATACGCGATCGAATTCATGGCGTCGATACGTCACCGAGGCGCCCGTGAAAGTGAATCATCCCAATGTCGCTGCAGTCAATGGCAAGATCTACCTTCTCGGTGGACTTTCAGATATCGACAATGGAGCTTGGCGAGCATTTTCAGATTCCTGGGTCTACAATCCCGATGTCGATGAGTGGACGGAGCTCGACCCGGTTCCTGAGGATGAAGAGAGAGGCAGTGCTGCGATTGGTGTTTATGGAAACATTATCTACATGGCTGGAGGTATGCGCACCTTGGAACCAATTGGGCCAGGCGGAGAACAAGATACCGTCGATTTTGTCTCTGCTTTCAACACCAAGACTTCACAATGGATCGATCTTCCCTCCGCAGCAAAGAAGCTCCCCGAAGGCCGTGATCACGCAACAGCCTCTATCGTCGGAAACAAATTCTACGTTCTCGGCGGTCGCCTCCGCGGCCAACGCAACGTAAAAGACACAGTTTTCATTCTCGATCTGGAGGATCTAGAAGCAGGCTGGACGACCAGCGAAGCGCGCATGCCCACTCCCCGCGGTGGTGCCGTTTCCGGTACAATCGGCACCAAAGTCTACGTTTTAGGCGGAGAAGGAAACACTACTTCAGATTCGGAGGGTATGTTTGACCAAATTGAGGTCTTTGATACAAAGACCGGGAAGTGGGAGGAGCTCGGTACTATGAAGCTGCCAAGACATGGAGGCGCGGCTGTTGCGATTAAGGGTGGCATTTACCTTCCAGGTGGAGGCATAACGGAGGGAGGTTCTCCGGTTGATACCCTGGATGTCTACTGGCCGTAGCCAGACATTCGCTGTTTTTTATGTGTATTTCTAGCGTTTAATGATTAATGACTCTAAACTGTATTCTTCTAAGTGATTCGGGTTCCGAGTGATCTTCATGTACCTCAACGCTTCCGTAAGCGTAAGCATCGAGGTGAGCATAAGCATACTTGTACATCCATACATGCAGAAAAATAGTCAGCTTAACCTTTCTATGATGCTTATGGCTTTTGACTCAGCTTCATATTACACGGAAATTGAACTTAGAGTCTACTAGTTGCTCGATAGACCTCGAAATATCACCCAGTATTCTCCTCTTGTCACAAGGCAACCTTTGTCAGTACAGGTGCCGAATAAGATGCGTAGATGTTTTCAAACTGAATACCGAGAGATCAAACAATGTATCATGCTTTCTCCGATCCTCTGAAAAAAATCAGGCCCATCAACATTGAAGTTGCTGCCAGAGCAAAGTTTACCCACTGAGCAGCTCTTAGGCCCCGCAAGTAATCATCCGATCCTATGAAGTCATCCGTATCGCCAGAGACTGAGGTCTGCACAGCTGTAGCAACCGCCAAACCCAAAGCACGGCCGATATTATTTACTGTCTGTAGAAGGCCGCCGCCGAGAGACTGGTCCTCTTGGGGTAAAGACTTGGCAGTAAGCAGACTAAAGACGGGCCAGACTATCTCAACGCTCATACAGAAGCACATGGCAGGGAAACCCCATGCCCAATAAGTAGTGCTTGGTGGGATAGCTGGTAGAGCGAGTATGAACGGAGATATGATGCTGAATAAGAGGCCTGAAGTCAAGACTATGAAGGATGGGAGATGGTTGAGAGCTGGAAAGACGGCAAATGATACAAGTACTAGAGAAATGAAAGTTAACGTTAGTATAGTTCATGACAGACCGTAGATATGAAGAAAGAGATACTTACAGCCAGAAACACCAGCGGGAAGAAATCGAAGTGTCGTCTGCAACTGGTCTAGTCCCTCATAGTTTTGATAGCTAGCCATTCTGTTAATTGCCTGTATAGAGTTGTAACAAGGGGCTATATATGGGTACTTACAAGTAGGTTACAAACACGAGAAAGCCGTTGAAAGATGCATAGAAGCAACCCACCAACACAAACAGCGCCGAGAATTTCTTTTTCTTGAACATAGACATGCGTATCAACGGTATACGGTCCGAGTCCCTCTCGAGTCGACACTGATAAAAGATGAATCCACCAAATACCAGCAAAGACATGATCAACAGCGGTGGTATCCAAGGTGTAGACCATCCGACAACATTAGCCTGCGTCATGACTACCAGGAGCAGTGTCAGGCTGCAAGAAACTAGTAGGCCTCCAATCCAATCAATATCGGGTCTCTTGCCGCCCTCTCGGCGATTAATTTGCGCCTGAGTTGCCATTTGCATAGATGCGCCAGCTGTGACAGCCAAGCCAGAAACGGTGATGCAAACAGAGGCCGCAGCAGGTATCCAGAACACCCACTTCCAACCAAGAGCAGACCCTACAAAACCGCCCAAAAGACTGCCAACGACCGAACCCAGGGAGGCCATGGCTGACATGGTGATATAAGCCATATTCCTCGATGGACCTGGCGCAAAGGTGGATCCTAAAATGCCGATACCCGAAGGCATAATGGCCGCAGCTGACATGCCTTGAACAGCTCTCAATACGTAGAACGGTATTTCGTAGCTGGACCAAGGGAGACAGAGAGTTGATAAGGTGAAGAGGATAGATCCTGTTAGGAAGCCCAGACGGCGGCCGTACACGTCAGCTAAACGACCCCAGAGGAGCATAACACTGCCTGTGGAGATGTTGTAGATAGAGACGACTAGTTGCTGGCGGGAAGCTGGTATGTTCATTGATTCACCGAGCTCGGGTAAGATGATGACGATTGATTGGGAGTTTAGGACCTGTATTCTTCTGTTAGCTATCAAAAGTTCCTTGCCGCGTTGGAGTGAAGCAGATCGGGGTCATACAGTGAGAAGGGCAGCTAAGGATAGAACTACCACTAGTAGTATCGCTCTGGTTCGTGAGATGGAAGGAAACTGGTGGTTATCTGAGTCTACAACCGCGGGGGCCTGTGCATCGCAATCTTGGCTCCTTTCGGGCTCCGGAATGTTCAACTGGAGTTCGATGTCTGGAGCCCCGGGATGGTTGCTTTTGGCCATTTGTACTCAAGACAAGAGAACTGCTAAATGCAGTGAGCTATGGGCGTTTTAGACTCGCTAGAGTCAGTGAATGTATTGTGTTTGTTCCTTCTTCGTCACTGCTACAGGAATCCCAACCCTGGAACCTAATCACATCATCATTGTTCTCAGCACGCAAGACATATCTTTATATCACGCCATAAATTTTGCCGTCTTCTTTTATTCTGTACAGATAGACTGGAGTTTTAGATCCATAACAAGACACCTACAGCCTAGCTTACCAACGCGCATCTACTCAATTACGTGACGAACGTTTGCACTTTTTGCGGTGTCTTTGATTCAGGTACAAGTTCCCAAAATAATTGTATAGATTGCTGAGTACTGAAACATGGGGTGTAGAATGTAGCTTTTACTGGAAATAACACATCCTGAACTGCTATCCTCGGTCCATTAGCTCATGCTTCTTGAGCAATGAGGTCGACGGCCGCATAAGTATTATCAGGGCTACCTGTGCCAAGAAAGATGTATTGGTCACCAAGCACCCGGTAATAAAGCTGATCGTATACTTCGTTGCTGGACGAAGTTTCGCATGTTGGGAGGCTGAAAGGGTCAAAGAAGTCCATGGTGCACACGGTTTGAGGAACTGTGCATGAGAGCTTGCCACCGACGACCCGGCAGTTCACGTACTCGGATGTCTGGTCGGGACCGGGGGTGCCTGTGCACACTGCAATATTGGCCGGCTCGATCACGCCAGAGCTTTGATAGTATGCGCACAAATAGTATCCGGTGTCTTTATCTTTAACTCGGCCGGTGCTGGGCTCGATGATGTACGTTCTGGGTTTGTAATCGTTGAGAGGGTAGTTGGGGTTAAACATTATTGGGCTGCCCTCAACATCAAGACTTTTGAGAACTGCGCCATTCACAGCGCCGCCGCCACCAACGATTTTGAAGGTTGGAGTGGCCACGGCAGCGGTGGTGGTGCTCTCAGCCTCCGAAGTTGTGGTGGTGATGTCGGCAATTGTCGGGGCGTCCGACGCCGCAGTGGTAGTTGTCTGGGCATTCGATGTCGTCGCGGTGGTTTCTACAACGGAGGTAGTCGTGGTCGCCTCCAAGGTTGTTGTTTTGGAGGAGACATCAGTAGATGTTCCCAGAGTAGTCGTAGTGGACTCGATTGCACTAGTTATGGAAGTCGTCGTTATTGCATTTGACGCTGAAGGGTGATTCCTTGTTAGGCGGCATCTTGCAAGTCGTAACTTATGGCTAATTCTACTTACAGGAAGATCTGGGCTTACAAGGGCCAGCAAACACAGAGTCCGTGACAAAAAGCCCGATAGCCAATAGTAAGGCATTGGATCGCATTTTGCAATATTTATGTTGAGAATTGAATGAAAAGAAGAAAGAGAAAAGAAAGCTGGGAAGCAGTAGAAAGGATATTTAAGTGAAGGCAGCCTTATTTCCACATATCAATAGTTTGATCTATAAATCAATAGCCAAAAGGGCTATAAAAAAACCAGTTAGTGCTGGTCAAGAAGCAATGCGCTATAGCGTGCTGAGCCAATAGGCTTAATGAGACCCCTGAAAATAACCATAGCGTCACTAATCTTTAAATAACGGAACGCCATTAGGGGGTCTAGAATCTTTAATTTTTCAGCTGAGTGATTACTTAATTACACGGCCGAGGAGAAATGAAAGGTTGCAATGAACATGATACATTTATCTCAAATAATGCATTACCTCCGCGGCCAAGACACAATAAGTCTCAAGTCCTCAGTGCCTCGCGCTCAACCCATGAAGCTCTTTGGGGCAGGCCTTGTTGAAAGAAATAACAGTAAAGAAGCTAGAAAGGCATCATTCCTGAGGAGCCCAAGCTCTGTCGTTGATAGCTAGAAGTAGAAGCCCGGACGGCATCACGGGCTTGTGGCCTACAGAGTCAGTCAAGGATGACACCCTCCCCGCCGACAGCAGACATATCTTCTGTCAAGTAATGCAGAAGGTATTACATCAGGGAAGGCAAAGCTGCCGAAAGGAAGAAAGGAACACGAGGTGTTGGTGTCTTGGCTAAGAGGCAGAAAGTGAGCCGGTGCTTGAGCTGCTGGTCAGGCGCAAAGCCATAACGACATGCCTGAGATACTTCCAGTCCATGCCCTGACCCTGGGTGTTGTCCTGGTAGCTATCGGTATCGACCCTCTGGCTACGGCTGTTGATTGTATTTTATCCTGATATGAGACACAACGCCCGGATGAAACCCGTGAGAGCCATGTGAACAATGTCTCAACAGTCCGCTGCCAACCTTGCTGGCTCTTACTCAACCTTGCAACCCTGGTCGACCGACCCAGCTCAACTGTATCGATGAAAACACCTCTGGCACTCGAGATGATTAGTCTGTCACACCTGAATCCCCTTATAGGGTATGATTCTTGACTGTCCAATCCTGGAAGCATATGGGATTCATCGAGTCAGAGTCTTCTGGTAAAACTGGAGTAACACGCCATTCCACGTCTTAACGATGGTAATTATGAGGCAGCCCAGGGCCCTCAGCCCGACCTCAGCACCAACTCAGCTTAGAGCGGCAGGAGCTCAGTTCTAGAAACGGAAATAGATTTTTGGCGTGCTTGAGTTTCGTCACTGAGTTAGTTGGTATTCAACTTCATTTTCCTGATACAAATCAGGCCTCAGCGTCTGATGTAGCCGCATCAAAACTACACGACTCATACTCCCAACGCGCTTCAAAGCCCAGTTTCTCATAGAACCCCCGTATAGCAACAGCGTCAATAAGAATACCCTCCATACCTCTCTCCTTCAGATTCTCCATGGCCTTGACGACGAGTGCTAACCCGACACCCTTCCCTCTTGCTGCCTCATCTACTCCAACCGCAGCGATAAGACCAGTCTTTTCTCCAGAAGGAAGGAGAGGAAGAAATGCGAAGACATCACCTGCAGAAGATGCGAAAGAGCACATAAGAGTCCAGCCGATTTGTTTGTTGGTGTCTGGATCGATGGCGACCATTACTTCGTGGTGTTGGCCTCGTGCTGCGAGAGCTTCGTAGATACCGCCCCAGGTCTGAACGATGTTAGTTTGATGAAGGTAAAATGGCTAAGAGAGTGACTTACGAATAGTTCTTGTTGTTTTTTCATGCATTCTTCATATAGCTCCGGTGACCATGGGGTGAACTTGATGTTTGTCTTTGAGACTCGCTCCATTATCTCAGGCGGTGCAATCTCATCCTTGATGTCCTTATAAAGATCTCGAGTAGTGTTTGTAGTATTATACGACCCTATTGAATTGTTAAATAAACTTTACGTCTTGCTGAAAGGTTCGAACTGACCTCGGTGAGAAAGAAATTGTTTCGTTTCCGGCGAAATACTGGTTGGCACTTGATACCAAAGTCTCGGAAAGATGGACCCCATTGCCAAAGACTTCAACTCTTGACCTGCATCCTTCGCCGCATCTTTCAAACCAGCCTTTCCTTTCTCTAGTAGTGCATTGCCGAGTCCTTTACGACGGTATTCAGGTAAGACTCCGATGGCTGCAATATGCCCGAGGCTTCCGCTCTTAGTATAGAAGGACAGACAGAATCCATGCTCGTGAATCCAATGTTGGCCCTTTATGCCAAACAGAAGCCCTACGAACCGTCCTTGCTCGATGGGCCAGTCTGGAAAGATTGTATGCCACAGCTTCCATGCTTGCTGGATGTCATCATCTGAGCTGGTGAGCTCGCGAATGTCGTGCTTTGAGGAACCCATAGGTCCGACTTCTTTGCTCGTCTGTTCTACCGCCTTTATTACCAGAATAAGAAAATGGGCTTGATGAGGGGGTTTGAGTTCTAATGTGGTGCGATGTAGGTTGTTGGTTAGGAGGATCAGCTAAGGACAAGAAACACCTCAGAACACGTGAGCTTACAGCAAGGTGCGGAGATATGCAAGGCTCCGAGAATCTTGCCAAAGAAGGAAGCTGCAATTGGATGTTCTGAGACTGGCCCTTGTATAATTTTCATAGTATGACAAGAGAATAAACTCTATGAATCTTCTAGGATATATCCTCCCACTTCCCCTCCGCACCAAGGTACAATACTCAAACTACTCTACCAGCCGGTCTACTCACTCCTCACTCTACTGGAGGCACCTCGACTCAACTTAGCCTCATCCTTGGCCCTCGAAATAACATCCTCCCAAATCGGGGGTTTGCATCGAAGATCCTGTCCAGCAGCCTCTGCATCAAACCCAAACTGCAACAGCGCATCTTCACTGCACCATTCGCCGGTCGCCATCAGTCCAACTGGAATTTTACCCTCGGTATCTTTATCAGCAACTTCGCCAGCGTCCTTTCTTCCCTCGGGAATAACATATCCTGCTGGAACCGTAATAGCAGGAAGACCGCAGAAGTTAGCGAGCCAGACATACTCCATGCTTTCGAGAGTATAATTCCCGTCGTTAACGCCATAAGATAACTCTGATTTTCCACCGCGGATAGGTGCACCAGCGCAAGCCGTAGTGGGAGTTATGATAAGCATGCCGGGATATGTCTTCCAAAGATATGAAAGATGCTGCATCAACATCCCTCTCAACTTCTGAGCCAACAGATAATCCGTCGAAGGCGTAGTCCTTCCAAGAGCAAGCAGAATCTTGTTAGCGGGCGTCAAACCCTTCGTATCGTAAAGTAATGTCGAAGCATCAGTCAGAACAGTAAGTGCATGCGCCATCTGGCCCTCAGCAGGGAAGGGAATTTCAATCGGGACGAGGGTGTATCCGTGCTTAGCCGCCAAAGACTCAACCAGCCCGCGAACCAACGACTGAACACTTGGTTTGGCGCGTGAGATCCATGCATCGAATATTCCGAGGACTTTCGTAACAGGTGGTGAAGGTTGAAGAGCTAAAGGCGGGAATTGTGTTGACGGATGAGGTTCAGCGATGGCTTCGTACGCAGCTGCTAACGACTGCATATCAACAGCCAACGGTCCTTGAACAGCACATGTCGGTGAGTGATTAGCACCAGGCCAAGACGCAAGTCTGTTATGTGTAGGCTTCAACCCAAACACTGAGCAAAACGATCCAGGAATTCGAATACTGCCACCGCCATCGCTGCCCAACGCAAGAGGAATAAGTCCAGAACCAACAGCGTAAGCAGGACCAGATGAACTTCCGCCGGTATAATAGCCTGAATTGAATGGATTACGCGGCGTTCCTTGATTGGGGTTGTTTCCGGTCGTATCTGATAAGGTCAGTCGATGTGAAGAATAAGAATAAGAATACGGGATTTACCTAGTCCGAACTCGTGCATGGCGAGTTTGCCAATGATGACGACACCCGCTTCTTCGAGTTTTCGTACGATCCAACTTGTAGTTGATTCTCCGTCCTTAGGAGTTTCGGTGTAATCTCTTGGAGAGCCGAGAGTTGTTGAGTAGCCGTCTAAATCATAGTCGTCTTTGATAGCGGATGGAACGCCATCGAGGGGGCCGAGGGGCTGTTTGTTCTTATAGCGTTCTGTTGAAGCTTCAGCAGCTCTCATGATACGTTCGATATTGAGCTCTCTCCAGCCTTGGGCGTGTCGGCCAGGTGTAGGGCCATCGACTTCAACCAAAGGCAGGATTGCCTTGGCAACGTCAACTGGGGTGAGCTCTCCAGAGAGGTAGAGAGCTCGATAATCAGCTGCTGAGTAGAATTTTGACGGATTTAATGTCTGAGAAGCATTTGCCTGCTGTAAAGCCGAAATCTGTAACCTCTCACCGCGTTCTTTAGCCTCAGCTTCAGATAGCGCAATTGGCACGACAGTTGGATCGTAGCGAGGCTCGAAATGCTCAAGATAAGCCCGGATGTTCCGGAGCGAAGCGAAACCCGCATTAGCCCAAGCAGTCTCACGAATAAACCGAATCCATTCCATCCTACACCATCAGCATCTCACAACTTCTCTCACGTGTATAAAAAACTTACAAAAAAGCAGCAGCAACAAGCAAGGGTCCTCTCAAGACCGGATTCCTATTCCGTTCGACAGCATACGGCACATGAGGTCTGCGATAAGCAAAAAACGTCAGCATATGATTCGCCCATCACGCAGTGCATGCTTACCCTTCCTGAGGCTCAGGATAGTTAAAGAACCGCCTCTCATCATTGAAATTACTCATATTGAAGAATGATGACGATGATACTGAGAAACTGGAGTTAGGTTTGTAAGTTCATGCAGAAATCGGGGAATTTAAACTCTCTCGGATAAGGCGGCCACCGCGGAGACCGATTTAGCGGTGTTAGTCATGCATCTACGTACTCGGAGTCTCGGACGCATTGAAAATACGAGTGACGAATTACATGCCGAGGTTTGGGACCAAGTTGTGTCAGAGGCTTAAAGCAAGCTTTGCTATTGAAACGTATGGCTTAATATAGGCAGCCACCAGCGTATATGCATCCAACCGCTTTAATTATTGAAAACCTTATCGTTGATGGCGATAACCAAAGCCGCATAATCCTGATTATCCAAGTAATCAATGTACACAACGTTAGGGAACGACTTATCACTGACCTCAGGCAGAAGTCGTGTGAAAAGCTCTTTGTTGCAAGTATAAGCCAACTTCTTAATCGGCTTCAAAGACCTTGGTGCAATCTTGACGAACGTAACAACGTCACCATCCCAAGATGGAGCCTGTTGGGTCAATGTCCAAGAAAGCAGGAAAAGACGCTTATCCTTGGCGGACATATGGCCTTTCATCTTCTCAAGCTGGTCATTAACCATAACAACAGCATCATCTTTATTGGAGTACTCATTGCGAACATTCATCTGTTCGTACTTGTAAAATCCCTTGTGCGCATAATCGCCAATGTCGAGATCCCACTGCTCCATGACGCAGATAACAGCTGCCTTGCCGTTGCCGATGAAATCGTCAAGCTTGAGTTGGGTGAGGTTCTTGGCTTTGTTCTTATCCTCAACGATAAACAGGTGGTTCAGCTTGAGAAGCTCTTTCATGAGATTGTGCCATTCCTGCTTGGTAAACTCTCGCCATTCGTCGGTGTCGGTTTGAAGAGAGTGCGAAAAGTTCAGGATGATGAGTTCGCCGTTCTTTTTCGTGAATTCGTTAACAGCAGAAATAATATCCGAGATCGACTCGCCTCGACCGCCGACCTTTCCGGTGTAATGGCCGGTCCACAAATGACCGCCCGAGTACTGAGGCCGAAGATCAAAGTATCGAGCGCCATGAGCAAGCTGTCCCAGAACCGAGACTGACTGGCACAGAACGTATGGATCAATGACACCGCCTGGAACATCAGAGTGAGACACAGTCGACATGCCCGAGTCGTGAGTGCCCAACATGCAGATCTGCGACAGAGGACGATGACCAAGGGTGTTTCTGTTCTGCTGCATCCAATCCGTAGGCGGGTTCGAAGAATGAAAGTTTCCCTGCTTTCCGGAAAGCACGAAGGTGACGCATTCGTCGTGCTGCCATCCCAGTTCGATCTTTGAGCCGCGAGAGTTATTCAGCGTCTCAAGACCGTCGAGCTGAATCCAGATGTTTGCGGGTTTATCGCGAACATGGATTGAAAAGGTAGCGTTGGTACCCTCCAAGCTGTAGGTGACCGATCCACTAGTATCTCCACGCTTCTTAAGAACGCCGTGGTCAAATTCAATGTATGTGCTGGGAACCTTGCCTGAGATGTGGTTAGATATCCATTTATGTCTCAAGTGCAGTCGATTTACCTGCATCGATGGACTCCGGGAAGCTCCAGGCCTCCATCTGATAGCTATTCTGCTGAGTACGCTTCCATCGGTACGGTGTACCGTTGACAAGATTGAGATAGCCGCCTTCACCCATTTTGTCTGTAGATTCGATGACAGTAGATGGTTTAAAGATGTCTAGGGATGATCAAAGCGGAGTAATCTGACTATTTGTATGCCTCAACATTTCTGGGCCTAGACCCTTGTTGTTTCAGCTCACTAGTGCCCAGCTGAAAACGTCTTGGCATTCTGAGGCCACCTTGTCCACAAAGAATCATTGGGACTCAGCCACCGGCAAGCTACGCTTCAAGCTTCGCGCTATTTGAGGGGGAAGATCTTGGGGCATCAATTGCGTCACCAAGATCCGCTTGGAAGAGGGTATAACTAATGCAAGCATTCTCTGAGAAATCTCTCCTCTGTGGTTTGCTGCATATGTTTTTCTATATTCCCTGTCGCTCCAGTGACAGCCAAGATGGAGTATTAGACTAAGAAAGTGTGAAATAGTATGGTATAGGGTAGGGAACTATCATCCCATGTGCAGGGTGAAAATCTCACCACTTTTTACTCGGTCTCGGTTATCTCTATTGCAATTGTAAAAGAGATATCTGTGGAGTATCTATATCTTTGTACTTCGACCCTCAAAAGAACTTCATTGGCACGGTCTTGTTTGACGTTTTGCCAACTAACGCCACCATCAAGCAGTTTTGATTGAATATGAGCCTAAAGAACAACATATAATGAGGAAAATCAATAATCCTATCCATCATGACGACTTTGAGCGCCAATTATGGAGCAACTACAATTGATTTTATCTACTTATCACGTCAAAGATTAATAGCATCAATCTGGGCCCAACAAACCCCTCGTGATCGGACCGTGTTTCTAAAGGCTTGATGTTCTAGCAGTTTGCGTCAGGGACGATGCTATCTGCAACCATTTAACCATGTGTTTCTCGACGACGGCCGTTTGTTGTTGGCCCCCCTTTCATGTTACTCTGATCCCCTGTCACAGCTCACTATCCGCGCATAGAACAACAAATTTCCCCAGTGGGTCTTCATAACCTCGACCTCTTAAAACCTCTTATCCCCTTGTCTCCCGTTAAGACTATTGAATGTGGCGTCGCGTAGCTAGAAAATATCGCCAATAATTGCAGACATGGACCCAATTCAATCCAGGAACTATTGGGTCTAGAGTGGGAGATCAGCAGTAATTATTGTTTAAGACAGAGCCCGTCCCCACGCTGAGACATGCTCTGTTCTGTCTCATCAAGCTGTCTGTCTTTCGTTAATATTCGTTCAGCCGTCATCATGCGCGTCTTGTCTTTTGCCCTGGCCCTTTTCGCGGCTGATATAGTTGTTGAAGCTGGAGTTTGCAAGCCCGCTCGTGAGTACCTATATGCAAGACAACTAATCAATTCTGACAAATTGCTTTAGGAACAACTACGGCCGCAACTTCAATTGTCGAATCATCTACTGCCACCGCTTCCGCTACCTCTGAGGTCTCCCTCACTGAGTCTTTGACCTCTGCGACTGAGACCTTGAGCACCGACTCAAGCGAAATCCTGACGGTTTCTACCACGCTGGCTGAAACTACCACCACCGAGATTGCTTCCACGACCACTGAGGCTGCTTCGACCACCACCGAGGAAGCTTCCACTACAACCACCGCAGGCCCATCTTTCACACCCGGCTCCATCGTCGGCACTGGACCTGTCGCTGACCTCACCCTCCGTGGCAACGGCCAGCGATTCGCCCCTCTATCTTTCGCACCATCTGACTCAACCCAAACCTTGATCTTCAGCCTCGTGAACGGCAAGCTCTCGTTAGGTAACAACGATTACCTATGCTTGACCTACACGTCTCCAGGTGTTCTTGGACGACTTGTTCCGTGCCCCTTCGACAACTTCAGCTTCGCTCCTTTGACCTGCACGCGAGCAGCTAGCGGCACGCTTTCCTGCACCGCGCCGAACGGATCCTGCCAGGCAGGAGTTTGCATGAGACCTAATAATGGAATCCCATTCTCTCAATTCTATGTGGATGATTCTCAGAACGGCTATTTTGGTGACGCCAATGGGAACTTTGGGGCTGATTACACTGCCATTGACGTGATCCTCGCCGAATAACCATAGAGCTAAGGCTATGGCAATATGGAGACCGAAATCGAGAGTCTCCTCTTAAGACCTATTTCTACCTAGAGAAACAAAAAATTATTATTCTTCTTGTATATGTACAAACGCAATACCTTGCAGTTCCTTACACTACACAGCCCTCCCCTTCCTACTCTCCGAAACGACAAAATTTGTGATATAAGGAGAAGATCGAGAAACTAAATTTAACGCCCCTCACGGAAAAATGGCTGTTTGCAGTTTCAGATAGTTCATCTTGCACTCTCTTCGTAGAGTTCTGAAGGTCAAAAATCAACTGCAGTAGCTACCAGAGGAAAGAATGCCAGCATACCCGAGCATTGCATTTCAATTCTCAGACCGCTGCCTTTTTTTAAGCTCATCACAAGTCTGGCTGATATATACTTCTAAGACTAGTTAGTTCCTCAGACTTGGACGGGTGTGGCAAAATACTCACCCGCAGCTGGTCATCTCTTGCTTCTCCTTCTCATTTCTGGTATCAAAGCTGCCATCTCTTCCTCATTGGGACTCGGTATATCCATCTTGAGTGCAAGTAATACGCTATGCAGAATGCATACCAAGCTTATCAGTGACAGCGTTTTCTTGTTCTCCTCGTTTTTACCAGAATTCGTGGCAAAGTGAAACCGTGCGTCAGTACGAGCCGTCGCGCCAGACCAGCGTACGAGATTATGCATGTCATGAAATGGCTGATGGGGTCGACATGAGAGAACCATCTCCTTGAAGTGGGCAAATATGAAACTATGAGTCTAGGTAAATATCCGGATGTTGATAAAGAATCGTGGGCTTGGCCCTTACCTTATTGGTAGTCGAAAAGAATGATCTAGATCTGGGTGTTGGGGAGACTCGTCGAAGGGAGGAATTCCATGATGAATTTCGCGTATTAATTCACAATCTGGTTTTTCAACTCGAGGATCACGTTTCGAATCGTGAATGTGCTGCAAGACGCGTCTAGATTGGAAGACAATTCTACCAAAGTCCAGGGCACGCTGAGAGAGACTGCCGGGCCTTGGGGTCCTATTTGGAGTCTTCAGGATTGTAAAGTTATCAGTAATAGCTCTTACCATGCTATGATCGGGAGGGCAAGCGAGAGGAATCCAGTCATGTTTCCTATGCATTGTATGCAAGGCAACCAAACTGTCAAGTTATTATTTCATTGACTTGTAATCTCGTATACAGTGTGTATCTTACCTGTCTATGAGCATAAGAGACAATCTCCACTTTAACGATATCAGTATATTGGATAAATCAACATCCAGTAGTGACACCATTGTGAAAGCCGAGTTGAGACTGACATGTGCATGCTCAAGCATCCCGTGTCCACATTCGTATAGCGCAATGAGGCCTTGGATCTGCACAATCTCAGCATGGTTTAAAAGTCGAACTTGAAGAACTGCAAACATGGCCTTGAGAGCCACATAGAGTCTCTTGGTCTGTGAGCATGCCATATGATCACAAGGAGGTGTAGCGACAAGAAGAACGGCAAGATGCAAAACTGGCCACGAACAATCTGCAAGCTCAAAATGACATGAATACTCATTTTTGCGAAGATGTTCCACAAGAGGGAATGTCTCAAAGACGGGATCTTTGAGGAGCTCCAGGACAATGCAACCGCGATCGAAAGACTTCTCCAACGCGATCTTCTAGCCGAGCCCTTGCATCGATGTCATTGGAATTATATGTAAGCATGGCCTGCATTAGTTCAGATTGGCCATGCTCCGTCAAATCCCCAGCCGCAGCAGCCTAACTTGAGGAAAGGCTTCGTGGACGGCGGACGCGAGTTGTCTAGTTGAACTAACGAAGCTGATGGCTCTGTCGGCTGCTGATAGTTGCATGAGGCTGGGTTTCTGGTCAATATTAATATTTCGCCGATCGTGGGATCGCGTAAAGCTTACGACGCGCATCGCGAACAAGTTGGAAGGACTCGGTCGCACGTTTGCTTGCGATTGATGCAGCGGGTGCATGATAGCGAGGCCTTTCCGTCGCCTCGGAATCGCGACGCCATGGTTGAACTGGTCATCAGGTTGGGTTTTGATTAGGTTTGTAGACCAGTATTCAGGGTGGGCAGTACTTATGGTTCAATCGCGTTGTATTTTTGTTTTGTTGGCAAAGTTATCTAGTCAGACAAGGTTTGACTTTAGTCATCGGCGACTGCTATCTGCACAGCCGGCTGTGCGGTTATCCCAAAATGTTTATTGGCACATCCCCCTAGGGAGCTTGGAAAGGCAAAATGTGTTGAATTATATGGATGTGGCTATTAAATACTGAGTATGCTGAGCTGCAAATTCAGGTCTAGGACGGAAGACCGAGTTTGTTCTACTAAACAGGATCATAAATATAACATATCTCCAAATGCATCAAACTCAGACCTGACATGAGAGTCCAATCCAGCACTCCGAGCGATTCGATTCGAAAAGACTCCTAAAACAGGGTCGTGGGATTTCTACGCGGTTTTAGATAATACTTACTCAGGCCTATCCACCTCCTAGCGGCTTGTCTTACCCATGGCATTAAAACAGCGATTTCTTCGACGGCCGTGACATCCTCCCGGTCATTTGCTATAATACATAGACTATGCATGCTAGGCATGAGTGAGGTAAGTGATTCCGTAAGTAGCCCGTCGTCTGCATTGGGGCGGAAGACGTCTTTGATCAGTTTCCACGACAATTGACGAAATTCACGGAAAGCTATCCATTGATCTGGCTCAAGAATCTTCCCACGTTGACATGGTATCCTGAGACGAAACTCAAGTGGCTTCTTAGTCATCACAGGTGGCCGCTTTTACGGTCTCCTCGAGCCCCGACTCAGCTCCGGATCAGCGCAGTGCTCACCCCCAAGCTGAGCAGTCCCATACCCTCTTGTCGATCCCATTTCTGGGACCTCAACTCTCAGCCCATTTCTGTCACCTTAACTAACTTCTGAAAACCATGGCAACCCCAAGCGGGAGGGAGCCGTGGTCCTCGGGTCTCATTTTGGACCCGGGAATCCCAAATTTGGCCCCCTTGGACGTCAGCCCGAGGACTGGTGCTGGATCGAACCCTTCGATGCCTCAGAGAGGTCGACTCTCCTTGCAATCTTCCTTGCTCCTTGACCTGATCCTGTTGCGTTAGAAAGCCACTTCCAATCTTCTCACGTCTTTGTATGCCCCTCGCCTCATTCGAGCCCTGGACTTCTTTCTGTCTGGTATTAAAACTCGAATTCCTCTCAAGATGGCTGATTCTACCACTCAGCCGTTCTCAAACCTCTATTGGTATGTATCCCTCGAAGCTTTTTTACAAGAACATTCACACCACCACCCCCTTTAGTCCATTATTTCCATCTTTGAATTAACCTCTCTAAATGGGGAGAGTTAAGAGCGCAGCTGCCGCCCTCCAGTTAGGCTGCTAGAGAAGCATTAAGAAAGAAAGTAATATTGTAAATGGTAAGCTAAGGGTGGAAGCCGTTTAGTGCCCTTCGTGGCCTGCACATGTGGATCTTGAGGGTACTTGCGAGGACAGCGGGAAGCCGTGCTGAATGAAAGTCGTCCCAAGGTCATTATGTGAACGCGGGTGCAGACGGAGCGGGGCGGCTAGGTCGCTAGTCAGCCTGCGCTTTCGGTGACCTATGACACGGGTGAGTATCTTCAAGGGCCGATCCCAATGCGGTAATAATGTAACATCCTTGCATGGTGTCTGTTTGCAGCGGCACAACTATAAGAGTTACTGGCAAGGTATGAAAATACGGCAAGGAGTGCTCTGATCGCCAGTCGCGTCTCACAGTTCCATTGATTACTCGTCCATGTCAAGCACCGTATCTTAAGTTTCTCAACCCACCATCGCCAATTCAAGGACCTCGTCAATATGAACAGTACCGCCATTCGTCCGGTCCGCTCGTGGTTGGGCATCCCCTACGCCAAGGTAGAACGCTTCTGTCGGTCAGTCTTGCTCCCTTTCAACCCGGATCTGCCCTACAGTCAGAAGGGGCCGGCGCCAGTGCAAGCTGGCAATACCGACTGGCTCGAGGCCGACAACGGAATGAGCGAGGATTGTCTGAATCTCAACATTTGGGCCCCCGAGGACGCAGGCAGAGGCAAGCTGCCCGTGATCGTTTACATCTTCGGTGGCGGGTTCGAAGTCGGCGCGAACACGTCGACAACCTCCAACGCCTCGGGTCTGGCTGCAACTGGCCGCGCCGTCGGTGTGTCTCTGAACTACCGTCTCGGACCGCTCGGCTGGTTATCGCTGTCTCAGTACGGCGGCGTCTTTGCCGACGCGACCAACCTCGGCCTGCAGGACATCATCAGCGCGCTGCGATGGATACAGGAGAACATCGCTCGCTTCGGCGGGGACCCGCAGCAAGTCACCGTCGCCGGCCACAGCGCTGGAGCGTACTCGACCATGGGGCTCATCGCAGCCCCGGCCGCCGACGGCCTGTACCGGCGTCTCGCCGCCTTCTCCGGCGGTGCATCCCGCATCGTTCCGGCGTGGTGGGCCGAAGAGCTGGCGATCAAGGTCCTCGCTGAACTGGGCATTGCCGACGACCCCGAACAACTGCTGACTGTAGACCCAACACTTCTGGCTGAGACGCTCATCAAGGTCAGCCCACGGGACATTGGCGACAGACACGGCGTCGACAACACGACCATCGGTGTAGTGAACGATCACTCCCAGCCAGGGGCAGTTCTCACTGACACGCCACTGCGTGTGCTCGCTTCCGGCCGTCGTCGAGATGTCGACATTCTCCTCAGCACTACAACGAACGAGGCCGATTGGTGGGTCATCAATGCGACTGAAAAGTTCGACCCAGGCAGCATCGACAACTTGTTCGATGAGCTTGTTACCAAGTCGCGCATACCACGAAGCCGTGCCAGGAAAATCGTTGCAGCCTACGACGTCGACGGGCGCACTCCAGTCGAGGTCCGCGGGGCTCTTTTCACCGACTACTTCTTCACGCTTCCAGCTGCGCGCGCAGCACTCGCGCATTCCGCCCAGGGCGGCAATGTCCATCTCCTCAGCATCGGCCCCGTCCAAGATGCCCCAGCCGTACACGGCACGGAGATGTACGGCATTGTCGGGCAGCAACGCCCCGGATGCAGTGAGGAGCAAGCCAGGCGGGACACCTTCGTCCGCGACGCACTCCTGGACTTCGCAGGAGGCAATCATGACCGGCTTTGGAAGCCCGTGGCTGGAGAACCTACCACGCACGGCATCGGTAACCCCCCGTACGACCCGACCATCCATGCAGCCGACGTTCTCCGAACCTTTGAAGGCATTGAACGGACATAATCTCCAGCAAGGGGCAAACTATGTTCAGGGCAGGAAAATGGTGATGATGGCCGTGCAATCATTGTTTCAAAACATACTGATAGTATATGGCTACATTACTTCGCTATCAGGTTCCCCTGTGACCACATCCCTATTTTGGGCCCCGGTTCAACCTTCCTGCACCAAGGAATCTGACCTGGGTAAACCCATATCCTGAGAGCTCTGTATCCGATACTGTCACTGCTTAGACTATTTCCCTGACTTTTTCCTTTTTATTTTATTATATTCTTATGATAACCCGACTTGATGCCTATAATTGTTATGTACACAAAGGTTTTACTCCAAGCACTATGTATTTGTGAGGAAAGATTCTTTTAAGGATATTCGCAGCCTCTAGCTAATTTTAAGTAACTTCTAGTAGCTAGCCTGCCTCAACGGTTCAACCGCATGGTGCCATAGTACTCCATGCACGATGGGTAAGGCATAATACACGGATTGGTATGAGGTAGCCATAGTAAACCCCATCCTTTTCTACCAACATCCATGCCCTCATATACTATATGTTGCATTTATTAGCAGTGGCACTAGAAAGGATTAATTCGAAATCTAGTGGCGAGGCGGATTCGGCATCTCTAATTCTACCTTAAGGGTAACCCTTTTATCGACCTGAGATAATTCAGGGCTGTGTAAGAGGTGCACTTGTGATTCCTTTATGCATATCAATTTCTGCACTGAACAAAGTCAATCTGCCTGAGCTAGACAAGGGTTAGCACCATGCGTGAACCCCGCCCCGAGGGCTAGGCTGAAGGGAGAAAAAATGTCATCAAGCGAGCGGAGCCACGATTAAACCACGGGAGATGCAGACTTATCGCCGTTATACCTGACATGTAAAAGCAGTTTAGACTTTTAGACTTCTCGCTGCCCCGGGAGGCGACGAAATTGCACCAAGTAGATGACTAACTGATTCAAGTAATTAAGTCATCTTTATTACACCCAATTGGTTCATTCAGCTTTAACCTTTATTACCCTTGTGGCCTGTACCACGCCTTCCAGCCTAATTGTCTGTCTTTGTTCTATGCATGCAGGGTCCTGCTTCACGGGCTAACATAGAGACATCATGGAGACATCCTTCGTCAGCCGACACATAATGGCATTAATCATCACCGTATTGTCATGAGATTACCAATACCAAATCATACACAAACACTCGGAGATAGTCGAAGCGTTAACGCCGCGATGTTAAGCTTTAGGTGTAGAGCCAACCGAACAACTGAGCAATAGTTTAAATCTATAAGACCCGGCCGAATCGCTTTGTGGCAGAAACAATGAACAACAACCGACTGGTCTCCATCCGACTCGACACTCGAAACCCGATTTGATAATAAGATGGTTTCGCTCACCTTCCCACTCTGCGTGTTTGCGGTACTCAAGTTGGTGTCCCCCGTGGCCACATCTTCAATTCTATTTACTGCCGGCACCATCATCGCTTTCGACCATGAAGCGAACGACCTAAATGTCATCCGCAATGGAAACATTCTCATTGAGCAAGACCGCATTACCGGCATATGGTCGAATGAGAAAAAGCCTTCGGTATCAATCCCTCCCAACACCACAGTTATAGATGCAGCAGGCAAGATCATCAGCCCTGGCTTTATCGATACACACCGTCATGGCTGGCAAACCCTGTTCAAAACCATGTTCTCCAATATAACCCTCCCTGAATATTTCGGCCGCTTTGGAGAGCACGCTTCTGCCGGGCGCATTGATGCTGAGCAGGTATACATCGGCCAGCTCGCCGGCCTTTACGAAGCACTGAATGCAGGCACTACCACTTCGCTGGATCACGCTCACCATACCTGGTCAGACGAGACATCTTGGGCTGGCTTGAATGCCAGTATAGACAGCGGCGCACGTGTGTTCTGGTCATACGCCTTCCACGAAGTTGCCAACTATACCATCGCGCAGCAGATTGTGAACTACCGGGATATCGTAAATGCTGCCCCAGAGAGGGATACAGCTGTTGAACTCGGTATGGCTTTTGATAGCTTTGACAACGGCTCTGTGGACCAAGAAACAATTGCGTCGATTGTCAACTTGGCTAAGTAGGTCTTCATGGCCCTTCAGCCTGCGTGGCTTCACCTTATTTCTGCGGGTCTAACAAGAATTTCACTACAGGGAAATCAATGCCTCGGTACTCACAACCCACAGTGGAGGAGGCGTATATGGAAGTAAGTTGCTCGGTCTCAGTCATATATGCACTAGCTTGTCAGCCGACTAATCGAAGTATAACTTGCAGATGAGAACTCTGCTACCACTTTGCAATCTCTGGGCATCCTCAATACAAGCATCCCCGTCGTGTTTTCGCACGCGTCGTACATCACTTTGCGGGACGTGATGCTATTGCGAAGCACGAATCAGCACATAGCTATCACGCCCGAGTCGGAGATGGGGTTTGGACTCGGACGTCCGTCTAGCAACATGGTCTTGGACCAGGCTGCCCTCGGAGTTGACACGCACGCGTTTCAGTCATCCGATCTGGTGTCTCAAGCGCGCCTTTATCTTCAGAGCACACGCTCAGCGGTCACTGACGAGCTATTTAAAAAGTGGCAGATTCCCAAGTCTACCCCCATGAGCGTCGTGCAGGCTTTTCTTCTTGCCACACGTAACGGGGGCCTCGCCCTTCGCCGACCAGACCTTGGCATTCTCAGTGTAGGTGCCAAGGCTGATGTCGTAGTGTGGGACGGGACCAGCCCCAGTTTGCTAGGCTGGCTTGACCCTGTGGCGGCCATCATTTTGCACTCCAATGTCGGTGATGTGGAGCATGTTCTTGTTGATGGAAAATTCGTGAAGCGCAATCACAGGCTGGTCGTTGGGGACTATGCAAGCGTCCAGTCAAGGTTTTTGGAAGCTGCGAAGCGTGTACAGGACGATTGGCGACATATTCCTCGTCCTGAGTTCCCGGAACGCTCTACCACGGGTGCCCTGTTTGCCGACTCCGACCAAGTGGATATTACGGCTGGAGACGGCACCGGTTACGGTCAATTATATGTTTAAGATTAGCTGTTCAGCTCTTTACTCATCGTTGCCTTTGACAGCTGGTCAAGTAGTGGATGGATATCAATTTTGTACATTCCACCTTCTTTCAATCTACACTGCCCTCGTGTCTACTGGAAAGGTATATAAATTGCCGTTCTTTGCACCAATTATTAGCATGCCCATTAATACATACTAATTTTGTCATTCCTGATGTTTTCCAAGTCTTACCTAGTAATAAATATAAAATACTTAGGAACTCCTCTCCCTAACCGCATTTTATATTCAAAGAGACCCCTTTAAGTTAAGTCAAGAGTAGCAAAAAAGAAACTCTGATGAGACTGGGACTCGAACCCAGGAGGATTGCTCCACCAGGAATTGGTGTTAAGGTTAACCTTAACCTGGCGCCATAACCAACTCGGCCATCTCACCGATGTCATTGAATGAGGGATAATTGAGTTTTTCTGTAATATACACAGTCCAAAAAGCGAAAGGTAGTGTAATAATGTTGTTCTGTCAGAATCTCATCATATTGCATCACGTCTAAATAGATATAAGGAATATTGATTTGAAAAGTGAATGGACAACGGTTGAGGTATTCCATGGCTGACTGCACGGTAGCCATAGATATTATAGTCATTCATCTCAACTATCCTGCGAACTATTGTCCCTTTGCTAAAAATGTGAGAGCACCCAATGCATACCCATCTAACCCAGTCTTGAGTGTCGGCTGTATAACCGGAGCAAATTTGGAAGAATGATTCGCAGCAATGCTCTGCGCAACCGTTCCCTCCTTCTCAGCCTTATCCCAGACCTCTCCATCAACACAACCATACGTGAAAAAGCAATACGGCTTATCAACAGCAGTAGCCAAGATAGAAAAGTCTTCACTAAAAGCAAGTTTCGGCATGTCTCTATCATACTTTCCAGGTCCTTCGCCAAAGTGCGCTGCGAATGACTCTTCGACTCTCTTTGTGATAGCCTCATCATTGATGGTGAGAGGAAATGCTCGAGTCTGCTCAAACTCTGGACTTTTGAGAACATTCGCGCATGAGCATTCTGCTTCGATGACAGTTTTTATGCGCTTCAGAATACGCTCGCGTGTTGCGATGGTAGTAGATCGTGTGTCGACACCAAGAACGGCCGAGTCTGCAATGACGTTCTCAGCGTCGCCAGCGTGAATACTCGTGACGGTTACAACGCTTGACTCTGCTGGGTCAACTTCTCGGCTGACGAGTGTCTGCAGCTTGAGGATAGCGTTCGCTGAAATTGCGATTGGATCAATCGCTGTATGAGGCATACTGGCGTGTGAGCCTTTGCCGTGGATCGTGACTTTGTAGTTATCCGCACTTGTAGCGACAAGACCTCTTCGTGTCCCAATTGTGCCAGCGCGAAGAGGTCTGACATGCGCTCCCAAGACGAAATCTGGGACAGGAACCTCATGCTTGGTGTAAAGACCGTCGTCAACCATGGCCTGTGCACCAGTCCCTCGCTCTTCAGCTGGTTGAAATGCAAGGACCAAAGTTCCGGCCCAAGAATCCCTCGATGAGAAAAGACTCGCTGCAGCGCCTAGCAAAGTCACGATGTGCATATCATGGCCACAGGCGTGCATAACAGGTTTCTCAACTCCGCTCGCAGCATGAATCATGCGTTTTGTGCTGGCATACCCCAGGCCAGTTGTCTCTTCAACAGGTAAAGCATCGATGTCGGCTCGAAGCAGGACAGTGGGGCCTTCGCCGTTGCGGAGAACGGCAGCTAAGCCATGGCCCCCAATGTGACGTTTGATAACTAGATCATCGGGCCCAATTTCCTTAAGTCGTTGGGCGATGGTAGCAGCTGTTTCGACTTCCTGGTTGGAAAGTTCGGGGTTGCGATGGAGGTGTTTGTACAGCTCCTCCAAAGGCTGTAGGTCAGGCCGATGCTGATCTACTAAGTCTGATAAAATTGATTTCGACATTTTGTTCTGGAAATCGTTACAGGAGTGAGACTGAGAGGGATGAGGGAGTCATATAGTGTGGAGGAGTTGTGGATAATTCATGCTGAATCCTCCGGACATTTTCCCGAGTCATGCCATGGATCCAACCGTTGCTTACACCATCGTCGTCATGGCCAGGGCCTCTGTCTAAGGTCAATTTCTAGCACTTCGCACAAATTCATCATAAAATTATGAAGATTAAAAAAAAAACTAAGAATTATTTTAGAGCAGACTGCTTAGTTATTGATGAGGGACCGCTATGAAAACTATTTCGAGATGGTTAAGGTTTCTACCCTGAAGAAATCACCCGGTAACCTCCCGAAGCTCTTCGGGGACAGCTTCCGAGAACCTAGAAACGGGCATCTAGGCGAACTGTAGGCGAATCAACCAGAGTTATAGCAGACAACATTGGAAATAAGCCATGACCTTTGTTGCAATGCCGGTAAAGGCGAAGAGATGAGATTTAGGAAGAAAAAACACAATCAAGTCTGGAGTTGACGCTAAGTATGTACTATGAAAGTTCTGCATCTAATCCAGTTACAGGCTTCTCATTCATAACGAACACCATTCACTGGCCACCTCTTCTTCGCCCTTTTGCTCATAGCGCTGCATACTCAAAAGCAGGCTCATCAGGCTGACAAGTAGTGTTAAGCTTGGGCATCTCTCCATCAACAAAATAGTTCTTGACAATCTCTTGCGTACAGTTCGACGGGTGAGCCATTAATCCATGCTATAAACCCAATTAGCAACAAGCCTTACTAGATGTATCTGGGAAAGGGTATACTCACGCCAACACCTTCATGAACAACGACTCGACTTCCTCGGAACTGAGCAGAAACGCCCCATGCACTACTCAAAGGCGTAACAGGGTCATATCGCCCATTAACGATAAGAAGAGGATTTCTCGTCTTGACATTACGAAGCTTGTTGATATCAATCTGCTCCTTAGCAGAAAACTTCCACTGCGCACAGAAGAGTCTCGCAACTGTTCCAAGCTCCGAAAAAGAACCCTCTGCACGATGAGCTTGATAAATCGAGAACAGATCATCCTGATCCTCAACTCGGAACGAAGAGTCGCTGCATGCAATGCCGTTGGTGACGTATGCAGCTGCAATGTTCCATTCGCTTTCAATTTGGCTTACATTCCTCATTTGGAACATGGCTGTGATGTTACTATTGAAGAGACCTTCAATTCGGTTAATGATGCTGAGATATGTAAAGGGGTTATAGAGCTCCCCAAAGATGAGGTTTTTAAACGTGACGAGTAGTAGGTTTAGATCATCGCTGGGGAGATCTTCTTCGTCGACATCGCTACCGGGGAGAGTTCCGTTCAGGTAGCCCTCGAGCATCTCGCTGAACTGGGCGAGGAGGCTTTGGCCTGTTGTGCTGTTGCCGTGGTAGTCTGCAAGAGAGCAGAGTTCTTTCCCAGCTTCGACACACTCGTCCAGAAGATTGGAAAGGGATCGCTCGGCATCTCTCATACTGGTGGTCCAAGTATTGGCTGCGTAGTCATCCGCTTTCAAGTTTGCATCGAGCAACATGCGGCCAACACGCCTAGGGAACATTGATGCAGTAACTTGCCCCAGGATAGTTCCATAAGAGGTACCCCAGTAGTTGAGCATAGGTCCTTGACCCAACGCATCAACAATAGAGATCATATCCCTCGCAACAAACGGCGTTCCAACAAAACGGCCAGTATCTTGTCGACTCTCATAGCAGTTCTCAGCCAAGGCACCAGCATACTCCCACATTTCATTTCTGACGATATCCCAGGTCTCAGCCTGCGGAATAGTGTTGAACTCTCTGCGACGAAGACCTCCTGGACTTGTGAAATTTCCAGGACCTGTGCCATTACAGATGAACGGGATCGTACGACCAGTGCCTCTGAATCACAGTTAGTATTACATAACACAAAGGTTAGGAAGAGGCTGAGCTTACCGGGGGTCGAATCCAATGACATCATATTGTCCGCCAAGAACTCTGCGATGCATGTCAGCATTGAAATACGATTTTACGAACGTAACTTACCTGACAAATTCGTCTCCCGCCCAAAGGACGGACTCGACGCCTGAACCACCTGGACCACCGGGGTTGTACAAAACGCTGCCCAGATAAGGCTTCTTGGTGGCTTTGGCTTTGATCAGGTCAAGCTTGATGGTCTCGCCATTGCTTGCGGCGGTGTAGTCCAGAGGAACCGAGAGTCTGGCGCAGTCAAAGTCTTTTTGTCGCCTGTTTGCCGCATTGTCTTTGAAATCTAAGTCACATTCGGACCAGTTGAGCTTGGAGCTGTTTGAGTTCTTTATGTCATCTCTGGCGTTCAGAGTAGCGAAGACATCTTTGGGTAAAGATGAGGCCTGTGACACCTGGAGGAGAAGATGGCTGAAAAGAACAGTACGAAACTTCATGGTGGAGAAGTTGTTACAAGAATTCGCTATAGAACATCCCAAAATTTCGAGATATACTTCATTCTATATAAGCAGAATTCTTTGGACTTCAGCCTGATTGTCCTTCATCGTCACAGCACTGCCTTGTTTATTGATCCAAGGCTATGTTTCTCGGCAAAGCCAAGGATTAGTCGTACGCAGAGACGGAACAGCCCAGAGTCCACTACCCAACCAAATCTGCATAATCAAGACGCGTTTATACGTGGCTCATAAAGCTGAGCCTTGTTGGCGGTGGATTTGGCTTGAAAGGGAAAGTGGACTCAGGCGTTGACCAAGAGAATGAGATCTGCCTTGGGGGCCAAATGCTTGGCGCCCAGCTTTGCTTCTCAGCCTACTGAGATCGACATTGATTCTGGGCTACACAAGACGTCATGACAAGAACTTGCCAAGTAAAGGATTCAGAATTGGGATTGAAGGATTAAGGCGCATGATTTAGCCTGATGGATGTGAATACGGTGAGGCAAAGATATTGCACATGACTCATCTCAAGAGACTTGTTATCAACGATGTATTTAAACTTTTATGGTGCTTACTCTGACAGCGGAGAATATTCGATTTACGTATTTGGACCACTTTTCTGTGGCAAGGCGCAGCCTTTCAAGACTTACTCCAGTCGATACGTCGGAAATTTTACGTGACTAAAGCTTCTACATATCTATGAGATTTCCAGAGTTTACGATCTTTAGACCATATCATCAGACCAAAGGACTAGGACTTATCTAGAGAGAGTAAGAGTCTAGGTAAACAAGTTAGCATTCATAAAAGTCTTGTGGAGAGTTTATTATGAAAGAACTATCGAGCTTTGATCGCCCTCTCGCTCGCATACATCAAGTCCATGTAGCCTCTCCAATTCATTATAAAATGTCTGCCATAAAGTTACTCTATCAACTTGACTCTGCCATATATCTTGGTTGCCAACCTCTCCAATTTCTTCCCTTCAATGCGAGACATATTAATACCGCGATCCTGGCACTCTAACACTATAAGATCGATAGGCTCGGCTTCAAGCACACAGTAGGATACGTAATTCCCCTCCCCATGTGCTTCAACCTCCTTCAACTCGCCCCCTGCTGATGGTCCTGGAAAGGAACATGGAAGTCCGTAACCGAAAGACAGCAGGCCTTGACCGACAATATCGTAATCATTTTCTCCCGGACTGCGGCTCAACACAAGTAGTTCACGAATTCCTGTTACTTCGATTATCTTGTCGCCTACCTGAGCGTCACTGCAGAGTAAAGCACCAATCTCAGAGCCAGCAAACAGTTCTCTCGTCCCCTCAGGAGCCCCTTCAAGTTCAGGTTTTATATCACTCATAAATTCAAAGGGAAAACAACCGTTACGAGAAAGATTAGCAGAAAGCTGACCGTGGCTGTTCAGAAATATTGTCGTGACCCTGGCCTCCAATTTGAACGATAGGGGCGGGTACTGGCCCTGTCCAAGGGGCTGAGGCGGGTTTCCCCTCCTAGCTTCCACCAGGGGCCTAAAGAGCTTGTGATCGTGATAAACCTCGAGTGCGTTGAGAACGTCCCAGATCCCTGTACTAGGCGATTTCATGGTGCGAATGAATAACTGAGCTAGATCTAAAATAGGCGAGGGCTCATACATAGGCTGAACAGGTGTAGTTCCCTTTGGCAATTCGATCAGGGGTAGTAATCCATAGACTCTATCCTCTAGCCTTGCACATCGGAAAGGTGTTGACCTATGAAGTAGCATTCTGGCGGGTATAGGCACTGCTGCATGTGAACCCAAGACGAATCGACAACAATATAAGCCAAGTCCCATACTGGAACATTGTCCTTTCAGATCCATAATCAATTCTGGGCAAGTAACGCGGCAGATAAAGTCGCAGATATTAATCTCGAACCTTGAAAAGCCATCGCAGCCGCAGAGAATTTCAAGTTTACCATCGCTTCTAGTTGACGCCACGACTTTCTGGATAATCCAAACCCGTCTCCAATAGCTCCGATTGGCAAACGCGGAGAAAGCATGAACGATCCGGATGGGAAAGTCATGCCTTGACGCCGGCGAATTTTGAAGGTACATTTGTAGAATTTCTTCGACTTTTGGCAGTGGATCATCACCAAAGAGATTTGTGGAGTTTGGCGATGTAAATTCCTCCCGGTGGCAGAAAAGTTCTGGATTGAGCGTCATGAGACTATCCAAGAAATTGCAAATCATTTGGCTGCTATCTTGATGAGGACCAACACAAGCCAATACCTTGGATGCTTTGGTAAATATATCGCCCATCATGGCCACTTGATAACTCTTCTCGTCATTGTCATCTTGATTTGTGCATATCGAATCAATCCAAATGACGATAGGCTTTCCAGGAAGTGAAGGATACCTATCGCTAGCATGCGTCAAAGCGTAATGGCAGTTTTTGGTCACCATCGTCGGTCGGCCATTGATTATGATCTCTTCGGTGAGACCGCTATCTCCCCATGTGTATGAGATGGAATAGTAATCGGGGTCTTGAGTTATTTGGTGAATACTTAGGGACAGCTCCAGAGGCGTATCAGGCTGGGAGATGACTTCAACCAGGCGAATCTGTTCGGCGGGGTCATCCAAGGGCTGGTGTTTGAAAGCGGGCTGGCTCATTTTCTTTGAAGTCAGAGCGGGATTTCAGGAGGTACAAAGCCTGAGCTGCGCGTGAACAGAGGGATAGCGGAAAAGGGTTCACTAGGTCACAGAAAGCGAGGCAGTGAAGAGAAATGCTAAGGGAAATAAGAGTGTCGCTTAATCGGAAGGAGTATTTGTTCAAGCTTTACGGGTTCTGTAATTCGTTATTCGTGGTAAGTGTTACTTTAAAACATTGCGGTCATTATGTTGACTCGATCAGACACTCGCTTACTCTGTGCTTGTATGAAATGTATATTCTCTCTTAACACCCGTGCGTTACGTGCTCAATCCCCGCTTGCACCTCACCACACCTTTACAGTCTGGACTGCTCTATATCTCGCCCGGAGTCGGCTATATTATCGAGGTTCAAATTGGTGGCCGATGGTCAGACTGTATTTTCAAGAAATGGATAAAAAAGCGCGGATATAGACCACCCGAAGACCGACTCCGCAGCTGCTTGCCATTCCTGGGTCTTCTTCTACCTGCTTCCATGGTCACTTATGGTTGGATGATTGACAAGCGTCTCAGTGGTATACCTGTTCCTGTTATACGTATGTTTTTCCAAGGTATTGCACAATTGGCCACATTCCCTAGCCTTAACGCATACATCTTGGATGTGATGCATCATCGAAGTGGCGAGGCTTCAGGTATGTACTTCTCCCTTTCGGCTGTGGTACCAGTTATACCAAAGCGACATCGAATATGGGCAGTTTGTAGCCAACATATTTATCCCTTGCCCTCCTATTGATAAATCAACAACCTCACTGGTGCGTCTGATCAATGATCTCAATTCAAGGATTTGCAGTCAGGTGGCATCTATCCAGGAGTTTGTCTAGACCTGTCCTTTTGGCGAGAGAGTTAGTATCGAACAAACATTTAGGGACGAGCAGTTCTATATCATGCAGCCGCTTTTTAAAGCGATAACTATCATTCTCTTAGCTGACGAATTCGATGTCCGAATGGTCGATGTTGGCAAAATGCCAGCTCTTCTCACCCTACCAGGCGAGGAAAACGGACTGAGTCGACCACTATCTTTCGATTCTATCAAGAATAGAGTGGAGAAGATTGTTTCCAAAACAACAGCCCAAGTACGTTTGAACGTGGCGGTTGAATTTGTGCTCGCTCAACAAGAGCGAGGAGCTGCTTTCTTTGGCCCGTAACCCGATCCTGTCGAGTCAACAAAGGAGCTAGAGTACGGGACATGCTGTAACATGCGGGAAGTACGAGAATTCGCCAATCAACTGGGCTGGACTGGCGAACCTCTTCAGGGCCCAAGCTCGACGTGGCTTGATCCAGAGATTCATACAGAATGGCTTGGAAATGCTGCCAAAGAAGATAAGAACATTTATGAAAGGATGGAGAAAAGTCAGAGATGGAGTATTCTTCTTCGGACTGCTGGACTAGAACATACCCCGCCCAAACTTATAAAACGTCGAAATAGCATTTGACTGTCCTTCGTCTTGGTCGTTTTCTGAGCGGAGACGGGTGGACATCCGCTTCAAAGCTTCAGATGTACACGTCAAGGTTATTGTATCAGTAAGACGATTCGCTAGACAGTCATATGATAGCCAGCAGACTAACACTACCGATAATAGAAAAGAGCCGTCCGATGCTGGAGTTACTAGTGCAATTACAGGAATTTCCGTTCTAGAGATGCTACTAATAGTTGGCTATGTCACAAATAGGGTGGCAAAATCTTTTGCAAATCTCCGTTTGATTGTAATTACTACGTTAATCTATAAAGCTTTTACAAGATTTAGACTAAAGATAGTAAGTTATGGCTTAATAGGCCAACATCGTGATCAGTTTCTATTGCACTTCGAGTAGATTATGTACATCAAACTTCAAGAACAGAACGCGACCTGTCTTTGTCCCAATAATTATCGTAGATCCAGAAACCTCAATACCATTCTCCGAAGGCCGGAATGCTGGTGGTAGCCAGAAAACCCTTCTCTTGTTCCATAGTAGTCAGGACCTGTCGTTACTAATCCCATATCCTGCCAAATGCCCGGTTAGGGAAATTTCGCAATGATCTATAGCCGTGAAATATTCATGAGTTGCGACTGTGCCAAAATTTGTATGGATCTGTTGAGTACTCGCGTCAAAACTTAGTCGCCTTGGCAGACAGCCAAAATTTACGTTTAGACGTCCAATTATTTGACCGGTTGAGGAGTTTCTAAACGTCAAATATGTATGTTCATATGAAAGCAAAACCGATTCGTTCTGAGTCAGAGAGACATGGTTTATAGCGAAGGGCAGTGCGAACTCGTAGAGCAGTTCCCCTATGTCAGTCAATATCGCCTTTGCCCCCCTTTGGTGATAATCAAATGTTCGTAGCACCAGAAACTTTGCGTCTGAAGAAACGGCCAATATTTCCTGAGCACTAATTGGCGGTATAATACTAAAAATATGGTCGGCTGAAGCTATGCTGAACTTGGACAGGAGCAATTCCTGTCTGTCAAGTATACCCCAACCCTGGTTGATTGTCTCAGATGAGAGGACAAGAAGAAATCGGGAATCGGGAGAGACCGCTACATCATAAACAAGCCCTGTGAGAGCCAGTTCATGAGTAACGGGGAATATATCGATTGCTATAATCGTGATATTCCTATCCCGAACTGAGACAATATAATGATCGTCGGGGGCAACGGACACTGCAGATCCTTCGAAGTCGCCATTAAAGTTTGCAGAATGGATTTTTGTCTGGGAACTGATGATACACTGGCCTGTTCTCACATCCCAAACTCGAAAGTGGCCATCCAAGGACGTGATAGTGTTGTCATAACCGCCATCTCTCTTGTAAACAGATGTGGTCCTGGACACGAACAGATACTTTTTATCTTTCGTGAATTGGAAGAGCTCTGGGTATCCATAATCATCGGAGGTTCGCTTCTCAAGCCCTTCATCAAACTCATGAATGCAATCGTATGTATCCATATCCCCAGACTCTCACAACTCCATAGTAAGAAGAGGAGGCTGCAAGACTGCGATCCAACGATAGCACCACTGACTCAATCGGATCCGACCTTTTGCTTGATCTTTTGTCCATTTCGCTCACATCATTCGCCCAGACGCTGATGGTTTTGGTACATCCAGCCGAACCTAGCAACGTCAAGTCTGGAGAGAGAGATATATCAGACCATTCCTGGACATTTTCGAACAGGGTTAGGCATTCTCCTGTTTCAACCCTCCAAGTTCTTACAGATCCATCCTTGCAGATAGACGCCAAAGTCGTGTGATTGGGGGAAAACTGAGTATGCTCAATATGTCCCTGGCAGTCGATCGTGCAGACTACTCCAGAGTCGAGCCACCTGATTTCGAATTGCCCATTGTTGTCTGTAGGTCCGTTTTCCCCGATTTCAAATCGCCAGCTTTTGTCAGAAAAGGCGCCAGCCGCCATAATTGAAGAGTCTCCCGTCACGGCAACTGAAGCAGATTTGTCTCGGATTGAGTCACGATGAAAAACGGTTCGAAAAAGGGGTGTCATCTTCTGATATCGGATGCATTCGAAAGTCTTGGTTTCCCACACTGCGTACTTGCCGGTAAAGCTTGACACTATTGTGAGGATAGAGGAATCGGGGGAGAATTCTATACGGTAGGGCGATAAGAGATTTTGCATTCCATACCTATGGTGATGACGAAAAAACGCACCACCGGTGATTCCGGTGATTCGTTTGCAACGCGCGAGGCGATTTTCTTGAGGAGATCCAGCCTTGTCCAGACGTAAAACAACCGCCGTTCCTGTATCTTTTATTAAAGCAAGTAGTTTAGAGTCTGGCGAAATTTGGAAAGGTTGCATGCCGCCTTGCAAGGGGAGTGGCCCAATAGATTCTTCAGTATTCGCGTGCCAAAGTTTCAAGAAACGAACGTAGCGATGATTATCACTTCTACCATCAGACTCGTCCTCTTCGCTACTTCCAGTAGTAGACTCATCTGTGTCGCTCCTAGTATCAGCCTCCTCTCCCTGGATGCTGGTGTTAGACTCCCCTTCATCTCTCACAGCATTAAACTCCAATTCATCAGAATAGGTCACGATGGTGGCGGCTATCCATAATCCGTCATATGACAGCTTGAATGGCTTCCAACTGCCCCCTCCTTCGCTAGCAATGACTCGAATGCATTCTCCGGTGTCTAGGCGCCAGATGCGCATTGTCCTGCCATCGGAAGAGCAAGAAACCAGATGCGAGTTGGATAACGAGAAGCAGCAATGGCTAACTTCTGTTTTATGACCTTCTAATATGTACTGAGCTTTATCTGACGCCTTGTTCGGTTCGGGGCCATGCCGCAGCCATGGAGGCAATCTTTTCGGAATCGTTTGATCTAACTGACTACCAGATGGTGTGGAGCACAGCAGGGAAGAGTAAAGCTGAAGAGGGTGTTGATCAATAATTGTTGAGTTCATTTGAAGAAAGCTGTGGATCTTGCGCAAAAGCTGGCCATACGTCTTGTTTTGTTCGTTCTGTACTACTATTAGCTCTATTGTTGAGACATATCGCAAACATGCGCACCTTGATACTAGTTTGTAATATCCTGATTGCCTGGAAGCTTTCCTTGAATCTCCCTATAAGGCTCAAGGCCTCCAGCCAGTGGAATAGATGCTTCTGCAGGAACGCGAAAACTTCCTCAAGATTGAGCAAAGAGCTCTCGATCTTCTGAAAGTGGTTGACCCAGTGGCGGCAGGCATATTGCAATTCATCAGAAATGCAAGAGGCCACCTGTGCAGAAGGAATCTCAGTCCGTTGAGCTCCTGGCCACACTAGATTGCAGATATCTTCCTTCAAGCTGACATCCATCACTCGTAAGGAGTTTTTGAAAGGCCCAAGATGGATACGCTGCTCGTCTACCCAGAACTCATTCTTTTGATTCTGATTAGGATCAGTGAGATAGCCTCGGAGTGAGATATGCAACAACCGCACAGGTTCGTGTAGATTTGATGGTATGTTCAATATCGAATGGAGTGCAATTAGTCGACTATGCACAACGCTGACTGGAAGCTCAAGCAATTTAGACAGGGCCATGATCGAGAGGGGGCTTGCCAGGATAACAATGCTGCCGACGATGTGACACGTTTGCTCGACAATCCGCCTACGTTCCTCTCCAGAGACACCAGTGACTATTGACCGCAGAACTGGCCCGTAGATTTGTCCGAGATGAGTCCCATAGTTGTTATCGCTGAGTTGCAAGTACCTGTACAGCCGTTCGGAGGGGCTATCGACCTTGTAGTCCGAAACGAATCGACAAACGGTAGCAGCAAAACTGAAAAGAGGTACTGCCATCTCAGTGAGCTTATTTATGGCATCTTCTCCAGGCCAGCTTGGTGGTAGCTTTAGCTCTTTGGGTACAACGCTGTTGAAATCAACCCGGATCCTTTCGAATTCATTAACCAGAAATGTCATTATATCGTGCTTGATTGTGTCTACCGGCATATCGTGAAGAACCAAGGCTCGATAGGTGTCCACGGCTTTTTCGAAACCCAGACGAATCGGAAGATCTGGCCTACTCGTTATAAGAATTCGAAGACAATGTTGGATAGAGCTGGCACGAGAGAGAATATCGATCAAGGATCTAATCTCGCCCTCTCCTTCGCATTCATCCAGGGCGTCGATAACAATTATGAGCGGAAATATCTCTGTGCTGGCCTTGGTCAGCTCTTTCAGCGGAGCCTCAATGAGTTCAGCAAACTGTTTCGCTACAGGCTTGCCGACTATGTCAGGATGAGAATCGATCGCGTTCTTGACGAACTGCGCGAACCCTGGGACAGTTCTGGCCAGCTGGCGGGCTATACTAGGCATAACCTTAGCCAAGCTTTCGCGGTCTGCTTCTCCTCTCTTGAAAAAGAAGCTGGCTCCGAGATCGCCGCACTCGGCTCTCAATTTAGCAACAGTGCGTGCAATAGTCGACTTCCCTGTTCCTGCCATGCCGTTGAGCCAGAGTATTGGCTTCGATGTATCGTCTTCAACTCAGTTAGAAAGGTCTTTGAGGAGGTCAACTCTCGTATTGGCCAAGCAAATTGAATTGTATGCCTCGGCCTGAGAATCGAAACGGGCACCTTCTGCATTAGGCAACCGGTCAAGGACGATATTTGAGTCGACATTCTGAACTGAGGCGCTGCATCATATAGATTAGCATTGAATATTAACACATGTCGTTTTCTAGTTTACCTCAATGTGTCTATCTTCTCTTCAACTGCTCATTTGTGTAAGTGATATATAGTTCAATTGGTGGAATACTACTGACGTGACTTCACTGCCTCGATAACCTTTCGAGTCGCTTGAACTTGTGTAGCCGGGACATGTTCCAGAAGTTCAACAGCAAAGGCAGCAGCCGTAGCGGCCGCATATCGTTGCCATCGGTCGTTCTTATGAGAGTCTGTATAGTGGCAGATACCACGGACCACCAGACATGGGAACCGATCCATCAGCCCTGCAGCTTCCATTTCGACACACAGAAACTGCTGCCGATCCGATAGCTTGTCACGGGTAGCGGCATCCTTGATAAGCGAGTCCCCAGAGGCAATAATACCATAGTGAATTTCGGGATCGGTCGACTCCCGCTCTTCGCGCTCTACCTCCCATTCAGGGTCGCACTTAGCACAGGTGAGACCGCCAACATGACTGTATTCTGACTTGTAAAGCCGGTCGTTCTCTGCACCCGGGTGAGTATAGTTCCTCTTTCCCTTTGTCATGTAACGATCGTTCGCATCCCACATTGCTTGGAGCAAATCGGGAATCTTGGATGGCATCATTTCATGTCGTGCTTGTAAACTTGCTAGTGCGTGGAGCAGTACTGGAGGGGGCTTGTCAAGGGAACCCTTCTGTTCCCAGACGCCCTCTGCTTTTGCCTTTCCGAAGTCGTATTGAACTACCCCTCCAGTCGTTCCGTCGGGTTGGCTGACAACAACATCACCGAGTCGAATATCCTGATCCTCATCAAGCTTCGAGATGCCTCCTCCTATCCCAACTAATAATCCGATTCGAATATGGGGCAGTGAACAAATCAAGTCCGATGCAGTAGTTGCTGCGGATATGGTACCGTAGACTCCTGCTTGGAGTGAGGCAATGACGATGTTGTGTTCACCAATCCGGCCCCAGCTGTACGAGTTGTTATCGGTTTCATGCTGAACGAACCCGTCGGGCTCATCGTGTATCTCGTGGAGCAAAGCAGTTGCTGCTGCTCGTTCAATGGGTAAAGCAGCAATCCATGCGATAGTGTAAAGCTCGGAGCTTCCGAGCCGAGGCTTCATGTCTAACAAGAGGCACTGCCTATTTGGGCACGGTTTCGAGATACTGCCAGCTCGCTAGACGAAGGTAAAATGCGGGGTATTTCTATATCGGTGAAGACAGATGACCCAGATCTGCATCCTTGCAAGGTGGCGGCCACTGCTTCTCTGAGCGGCTAGGCGCGCGTCAGTAAGGTAAAACAACTGTTTCGGCCTTCAAGCCTCACCTTCCTGGGTGTTCTGCATACAATATATTGGAGCCGCCTGATGATGAGCCAATTGCCTCGGGGCTATCCAAGATACGGCAGGACAGTTGGTTTCCACATGAGATCTTGGCGGAAGCAAACAGTGAGAATAAGTGAGCAGCTGAAAGATTATCTAAATGTCCAGGCGTGCTTATTAGTTGTGGATATAAACCACTGATGCGGCTACATATGAGTTTGGGGGCCGAAAGTTGAGGCATGCTGTAAGACTTTTGATTTTCGTGGTCGAGGAAGAGAAATGCGTCTGCTCCCTCGTTTCCTCTCTGCAAAGCCCAATATATCTTTCTTAACATCCTATAATTGTCACAGCAGGCAACTATGGCCAACACAACCAAGAGGTGTTGGTAGGCCGGCAGAACAGCAGTTGCGACAGAGGATCTCTAGATCTCTCATGGTCTTGCTTAGTTACTCTATTGCTTTGCAGCAGGGTCTCTAGCTATCCATTTGTCGATAAGCTCAATATTCCTTGTATCATTGTGCCAAGGCCAGACTATTTGTTTGGTATCTCTATAGGGCAGCACACTAGTGCCCATGTGAGCTATATGTGTTATGTAGTTGAGACCTGTGGCTGAGGGCTCATAACCACTACACAGAACTTGGTGAAAGATATCATGTGTCTGAGAGCCCAACCTAAGGAGGTTTATCTCACTTTGAATCCTTATCTGCCGTTTCTTCCCTGTGGTACATGACTGTAGTCTTCTTGTAAGGCTGGACTAAATTTAGGTTGGAAGATGGGCCCTCGACTCCAAATCTTAGCTACACATTATAAGTATTGCAAAACTTCTACTAAAATAACCTAATTTCATCCTAAAAAGGCCCAAAGCTCTTCTTCTTCACTCCCTGGCCCACCTCATGTCTCCCCTCCTTAATCGAGTCCCGACTGCAGCTCGACCTTCCATAACTTCTTGTCCAAGTACTCCAGCTGCTCAATTCGATACGTATCATCCTCAACATGAATAACTGAAGAGTTATCAATATGAAAGACCATGTTCTTCCCTCCGTCCCACTCATACTCCGGCCACTGAACACTACTCATGCCTTCAAAGTTCGGGTCCAGCTTGCTCGCAAAGCTAATCCACATCCTCGACATCATAACAGCCAACTCATCAAACGATCCTGCTCTAGGCTCCGTTGCGTTCAATTGAGCCAATCTTTCAGTATTGCGGAAGACGAATGGGAGATCAACAGAGTGTCCAGCTCCTTGGACTGCTGGCCGATCTCCTGAAACGACATCGAAGTGATAGCTGTACGCGGTGGCGTTACTCTTTGCCCATTTTCTGTTCCAAGCTCGTTTGGGGGCATGCATAGCTCTATCACCGCCAAAAGCCACGGCACGTTTCCACTGGGATCCGTATGAAGCCAATTCACCTGAGGGACGGCCTTCGAATGTTGCAGGAAGACCAATGCGAGGAATATCTGGGTACAGAGCTGAGATGGCTTCGATGGTGGCATTGCTCGCCCCTTCTTTGCGCAGATATGCTTCCCACTCCTGTGTTGTGTTGATACCACGCTGGGCGAAGAAGTCTCCGTCGTCTGATGCGACTCCATTGATGATAGGCACAGGGACGAACTTATTCTGTCGAACCAGCTCTGAGCGACTATAACGAATGAAGTCACCGTCAACAACATCGAGCCAAACCGGGAACGAGACATTTCCGACAATCTCAGCGAGTTCTAGCGATGGCACCTTTCGCAGACATTGCAGTGAGTCCTTCGCGAAATCACAATTTGTCTTCTTGAGGAGTGCCTTGTATCCCTTCTCAAAGGTCGGTGCGTCTTTGACCTCTACCTCTCCAAAGGCCGTGGGGTATCCAGTACCACTCTCGAGAATAGCGGCTCTGAACAGCCCATCATCTCGGCCGCCGAAGGCTGTTAATTGAGACGCAACACTTCGTGCTCCTCCACTCTGGCCCCATATAGTGACCTTTTGGGGGTCGCCTCCAAACGCGGCGATATTCTCTTGGACCCATTGCAGAGCAAGTCTTTGGTCTCGGAAGCCATTGTTTCCCACGCCTTCGGCTTTGACAGCAGAACTCCAAAGGTAGCCCCATGCGCCGAGACGGTAGTTGATTGAGACGCCGATAATGGGCGATCCTAGTTTGACAGACTCGTCGATGATGTAGCTGAGGTTGGAGGAGGGATCACCACTAAATCCTCCGACAAGGCCGCCGCCGTGGATCCAGACGAGAACAGGAAGCTTCTTATCTGCAGCTACAACAGCCGGGCGAACGACGTTAAGGTGTAGACAATCATCGGAGCCACCTGAGAGCGGACCAGATGGATATCCATATTGGTAACATCTTGACTGGTACTCGGTCGCATTGCGTACTCCGTCCCAGGTTGAGTTCAAGGGCTGAGGATGTCTGAAGCGCAGATCGTTCAGCGGCGCTTGTGCGTATCGCATACCAAGGAACAAGTCCTGGTTATACGCAGAGTTATGAGTCCCATAGTAGGAGCCATTCTTAAGTTCAACAACAGGGCTGTTCGATGGCACTGAAGCAGCGCCCACGGCTCCTACCAAGGAAAATAAAAGAGAAGAGCCCAACATCGTTACCAACGTCTGCACAGACTGCGGATCCCTCTCACCGGTCCAAACAGGATATATATACTCTCCACTTCAAAGCACTTACACCAAAGCTGCCAAAAGACGGCCATCGGCGCCGAGCTTTTTGGCAAACGGTACTCGGCGCCGCGACCGAATATGGGGTCTCCCCACACTCTTGACTCTGGGGTTGCGGGGAAGATCCCTGAATAGCTTCAAAATTCTGCAGGTCTAGCATGATTTGGGACGAACTACCCGGGCGTACTTCGGGACTTGAGGGTAAATGACGGTTGCCGTGTCTTGGTTTGAGGGATTGTGGGCCAGATGATGCATTTGACAGGTGTTGAGAGGGCTTGGGGTGGTATTGAGACGGGGAAACATTCGCCGATGTTCATCTTGTGTCGTGGAAGACGGATATTTCGGGGAACTTCTACCCTGGTGGGTGTTACTAACAAAAGTCCGCAAGATGAGCGCCAGCGATGAATGTGAATGAGGTGTAATTGAGCCACCTTTACGAGGGATGCTGATGAAGTTGATGAGTATCCTATGCAGAAACCATGCCTACCTATCTATGAACTCCAACAAAAGCACACCGCAGCACCACGCTGAACAAATACAAACAACCGCCAACCAAAACCCTCCCTATTAACCCATCCATCATCTCCTCTCCCTTAATCCCTTCGTCCTCAACGTAAACTTAGCATCACCCTCTCCAAAAGGCAACGCAACCCCATCATCCAGATTCTCACGCCCATCATCTTTATTATGTCCATTACTCTTAATAATCGCATCCCGTAACGCATCCCCATGCTGATTAACTTCGCTATCCACGCTCCCCCTCCGACTCTCCGTAACACTACTTGAATCGCCGTCGAATTGCGCCGACATGGTAGACATGCGTCCTTTTATCCTTCCAGCCCACAATCCACGAACACCGCCCTTTTTGCGCTCTGGTACTTGGTCGCTACCGGCGCTGCAGACGTAGAGAAGATATTTGAGGTTCGGGAGGGTATGGCGAATGTCGACGACGCGGAGACCTTGGGATGAGCAGAGGGCTTCGATGTCTTTGTTGAGGAGAAACCATGCGTATTCGAAACGCCATTGACCTGCTGTTGAGCCTCCTCTGGGAAGATATAGTGGGAATTCTCGACGTGATACTGTTCTGTCGGATAATTGAGAAATATCGTCACGCGCATATGATCTTGAGCCGAACCAATCGAGAGGGTATGGTAATGGATGAGCTAGATAGAACTGCAGGTGTTTCGTGAGCAGGGTGACGATCCCCAGACCAGCAGATAAGAGGTCCTCAGAGATATTCCTCGCAGTAGCCGCATCATATATCGAGTTCGGTAGTGGTATGTTGCATATCTGAAACGAGAGCGGCGGCGCATTAGGAATCGGCGTAATAGGGAATATGTCTGTAAGGTCGGCGCAAATACGTCTTCGCTGCCCCCGAATCTGCTGCTGCGTCTGCTCAAGAAGCTCCTCTGAAGCAGTCAACTGCTCTCTACTGCTCTCCATGTCCTTCTCAGCTTCATTCTGAAGCTCTCTCCCCTTAACAATAGCTTCGCGCCGACTCTGTATCGACTCCTGCAAATCATCCCGCTTCTTTTGCGTCTGTTTATTTGACCGTTTCTGCGCAGTAACATATTTATCCGCCATCGCAACAGCTTCCCGCGCCATCTGCGATTCATCAGGCGGACTTTCGTCTAATATACGGTTTATCTCTTCCATTAATCTCTGTTGTGTTTCCATCGCGTCTTCGATTGAACTTTCGAGGTTGGCTAGCTTCATGAGCGCATTGTATGACGAAGTGGCTACTTGCGGCGCTTGCTTCGGTTCGGATATCTTGTTGGGGAAATCGAATGAGTATACGCCGTCTTCTAGATGGAATATTAAGGCATTAGGTGGAAAGTTTCGGTCCATTAGAGTGCCTATGAAGTTGAGGCGGCGCAGGTCGATTGTTTCTTCGAGGAGAAAGATCCATGATTCGGCTTTCGGTCGTCGCGCCCAGATCCGTAGTATCATAGAGTGACATCGTGAAATGGCGGATGCGCAATTTTCGAGACTGAAGAATTTGAAGTTGAAGCTCTGTAAACAGTCAGATCTCGCTATGTCTCGCAATGGACAGCTCTCTTACCGTAGCTCGCTCGCGCACCTCGCTGATGTAGACAGGCTCAGCATCCCCATCCACATGCAACGAGTAAAACACATCCCCCACAGCTTCCTCATACAACGTCTCCAAATTCTTCTGCCTCGCCACAAGATTAACATGCGCCCAGCTCAAACTCGTCCTACGCTTCTGCACCGGCCTCAGCGCATCCGGCCTAACGCTATCCTTCCTCAAGCTCTCCGACGACCTAGACGGATGCAATTGGCTCGATTCTTTAACCACTGATAACTTGCTCGTAGCTAGATCCGCGTCGTCGGCTGTTCTAAGACTCGTGGGCGCGAAGGATAAGTTGCGAAGCCATATTCCGCGAAGGTGACGAAGCTTGCGGTTTTGCGGGAGAAGGCGAGGACGGCGGGGTTCGGAGAGGGTTGACATTTTGGTAGTGGCATGCTGCGATTGCGCAGCTTGGGATATTGGCGATTATGACATTTGTGGAAGCTTTGGAGATAAATGTGAAAATGTGTGTGAAACGTCATCAGTTACGAGATGAGAGCTTGGAGCTTAGCTGGAATCGAGTCGCGATAGTTGCATACCCGCTTTAGTGATATCACAACTGACTTAACCTGGACTTGACGCCAATTGTTCTTTTGGTTGAGGAGTATAAGCTCTTCTCGCAATACAATGCATTGTGATTCTCTTAGCGAATACTTATAGGTGGTAATTCATCACTCCCACCATGGTGGCAATTCGCATCTGGTTCTAGTCTAATGCACCCCGGATTTGTGAAGCAAGTGAGACATCGTGCCGAAAGAAAGAGGTCATCTACCACCATTTAACCTTCAATGACTCCAAATCCTGTGTCTGCCCCAGTAGATTGATCAGCGGCAAAAACAACTTCTCCCCATTGTCTCTCGAAGCATTGATCTTCTTAAGATCATCCCATGTCTTCCAATACCAGCCTTCACACTTCTTTGGTTCAAGGATCTAGTCATGTTAGCCTAATACCCTATACAATATGAACTCAAACCAACCTGGGGTTCCGCATTCTGATCGACCATCTCGCAGTACACAAAAATAGTGATGTAGTGCTTCTTCTCTGTTTGAAACACGTCGTTTGTAGTAGCGACGTGTTTGATAGCGCGGATCTTGAGGCCTGTCTCTTCAAGGGTTTCTCGCTCTGCGCAGGCGAGGAAGCTCTCGCCGTAGTCTAGATGACCACCTGGGAGTTGGATTGTTCCTTTATGCTATTAGTTTCAGGCTGGAGTCGTGTTGATGGACATTGTTTACCGGCTCCGTGACTTCCTATTCTCTTTCCAGTGAGGAACTTGCCATCGCGGTTGTAGATAAGGGCGGCGACGCCAACGCGGGGGTGGGGTTCTGTAGACATTCTGGTGCGAGTTTCAGATATAAAATGCCAGTGTTGTTGGTTAGCGAGTTCGCGATATTGTTTCGAGAAAAAGGCAAGGGTAAGGCTTCAGTTTTGTGTTGATTAGAAGAACGCCCAGCCAGGCGCAGTTGCGCAGCTAAGTTGATGAGTCATCGCGAAAGCCTAATCATTGTGGTGAGGTGTGTAACGATGGCGGGCAGTGACGATACAACTGGAAAATCAGAGGATCATCCGAAGGGATGGGATGAATTTCACTGCATAGCCTCGCGCAAAAGAATGTCATTGTATTGCGCGCATCCTCGAAGTGTACCCATGCACCATAGCTTCATACTATGAACCAACAACGCTTGGTGGACAACTTGGGAACAGGACAAGACCACGTTGCGACAGTTGTTTCTCTCGTAAAAGTTTATTGAATATCCCATCCAAGCCTCTTTTGAACGCCCATATAGTTCCTACGCTATGAAACAAAGATCTAATCATGTTGCTTGCTAACAATTCCTCATCAATTCATATCCACATCCATACCATAGATCCTAGCAATCCACCATAATCTTAGCATGCAAATCAGGCACGCAAAAGCGCGCGCTTAATAAGAATGAGTTCCAAGGAGAGTCTTCACGATACACAAGGAGGCAACCGTAAGCGATGTCAAGATCCAGTGACGGCTCCCTCAATGGTGCCAATGTCGTCCAGTCGCTTCCCAATGGAAGCCTCCCATCTCTGTCGCGCCATCACCCGCCAAGATCGACCATTCGCCACGGTTGCACGAGGTTTCAAGTACCTCTACCCAGCAAATCGAGGCAAACAGGCCAGGACATCTACGCTGCTCTCGCAGGTCCTGCGAAAAAGGTCTCGCCAAGCTCCTCAGACAGTCACGGGAAAGGCTGCGACGGCGCAAACAATCCATACAGTGCATCCTGCGAGATATCCTTCTCCTGATCATTCAAAAAGTCCAGCAAACCCGGTGAGTGACCAAACGCCGGATCAAAGTGATCCATATGCGGGATGTAATCCGATGCAGTAGCAGAAACATAAGCACCTGTTGGCGTAGAAGTATTATTAGGCGCAATGGCAGATGCAGCGGGTGCCATGGCAAGAGGGAAGAAGAAACTTTCATCGAGACCAGCGGGTTGAGGTTGCTCTGTACCAGTGGAACCACTCTCTTTGATACTGGTCTGGAACTCGCGGACCATGTCTTGAAGAACGCTGAGGGGTTTCTTGAGACCGAAGTTGCATCCGACTTGGAGTTCGCTGAGACATGTCCAGAAGAAGGAGATGGGTTCTGTGAATTGACCTCGCTCGTGGCGTTCTTGGCGAAGAATGACGATGACAGCTGAGTAGACTGCGTATGAGAGCAGGAAGGGTGCACGACGGAGGGTGAAGGATTCGCGATATCGGCGGACGAGCTTCTGGATCATTAGAGCGCTTTGGATGCATGCTTCTTCACCGCGGCGCTTGGCGGTTTCGTCGGTGTGGCGGCGAAGGTGACCTTCCTCAAGAAACGCGCGGTGTAGCAGAATGGTGAGAGCATGGAATGTCGTACTGGAGTACCCTGGTCAGTATTCTGATCTTCACATAGGGTAGCTGGGAAAGACTCACTGTGGGGTAATTTGATGTGGTGGAGGTGTGATGGTGAGAGTATCGTCAGGATCGAAGCATAAGTGGCTAGGAAGACTAGCCTGCCACTTCTCAAGCTCCCTCTCAATGGACTCCTTCTTGTTAAGAAGATACTCTGTCGTGTACTTGACACATTGAATGCCATAGAGGTCATTGATTCTTGTAGAGATTTGCAATATCCTCACAAGACTGCTGAAGGTGGAAACAGCGTGGGCAGGTTGGCGACCATATGGTGGGGGAGCTGAAGCTGGTGACTTGGGGTCGATATAAGGTTCCCATTCTTCGAGCTCTTCGAAGGTATCGAGGAGCTGGAGAGGAACTCTAGCTTGGGCAGATGCAAACATGCAGGGACGGCCGAGATATAGGGCTTGAGTGGCATCGGTAGTGAAAGCAGCCCAGTAAAGACGTTTGCGCATCTCCTGCTCTAGATCCGTCCGTAGCACACGCTGCTCGTTGACACCGCCTGTGCTCTCATAATCAGGGCCAAGCATAAGATGGCATCCCAAATCGATGATCATGCGATGCGCTGTTCCTGACAAACTCCAACCTGCACTGGGTTTGCCTTGGGATACCAGCGATACACTAGTAAGCAGTAGTGCAAGAGCAGAGGGAATGCTGGGCTTGTCGAGTTCGTCTATCAGAAGTTCTCGGAATCGATCATAGAAGCGTCTTCCAACACTTTGAGGATCATCGGGATCGGCGCGGAGGGATGGACGGTCACTATATAGGGAAGTCGAGTAGAAAATAGCGTTGAGTAGAAGCTTGTTCGCAAAAGGGCCACCACCACTAGCAAGACTGTCCATAATCGCAGGTCGATATGAAATAAGGTATGCATAATGTTGTCGGTTAAAGTGTAGATCGAGAAGATGCTTAGCAAGTTCTGGGTCTACTCCATCCAAGTCCATCAGGTCTCGCGGGTTTCGGAACATGCGCGCTTCTCGTTGCCGTTGAAGCGCAGCATTGCTTATAAGTCGAGCTTTCGAAGCTGATATAGCATCGTCGCCTTTTCGTGTCATCTTGTTGATATTCTCTCGGTGCTGTGCGCGCGACGTGGGGTTCATGATACTGGCTAGACCGTGGACCGCAGAGACATAGCCGTTCTCGTGGAAGACACCAGCTACTCGTGCCTCACTTGGTGATAGACCTGTACCGTCACCATTACCGTCGTTGCTTATAGGACGAGGAACTAGTTTGACAGGCGCTAGTTCTGTAGAATCAAGTTGTGTTTGTGTCGTCCGTGAGAGAATCGTGTTGAAGCTATCAAGTCGAGGTTTCGTCTCATCCGTCGGACCAACGCTACTCCTCGGCGGCGAAGAAAGAAAACTAGCGCCCATTTCCTGCGCAGCCGTGGAAGCAGTCGGTGTCGGAAGCGGACTCGCAATAGCAGCAGTCGAAGCAAGACGGCTCAATCCATGCGTAGTATAATCCTGCGAAGCGCGGGACGGGTGATCCGTATCCATTAGTTCCGCCGTCCACGCAGACTGCATCTCGGACGTAAGGATGCCGGCGGCCTTCATGTGATCGAGCATGGCGGCGACTGTCGCCTCGAGGCTTTGCACGCGCGCGCGGGACGGTCGAGGTTCTCGGCGGGCATCGTGAGGGTATACGCAGGGAAGACTGTTGGTGCTGCACTCTACGCATTGGGGGCGCGTGCCGTCGCAACGGACTTTCTTCTGGCGACATGGCGTGCAGGTCTTGCAGAGAGCGCCGCCGGACGAAGGGCGCGAAGAACTCTTGGAGTCCTTGCCCGATTGACGTTTGACGATCTTGTTTGGACCCGTCATTGTCATGGTTTTGGTGGATTTGAGGAAAGTGGAATGACGGCGCAAATTATCATGAAAAAAGAGTCGCTGAGCGAAATGTTAGGTTCGTCTCGGCTCAGGTGAGCGGCATCGGTGGCCGGGTGTTCGGTGAGTCGAGGGTGTTCCCGCGGGGAGCATCGGGCGATATTTCAAGGTCAACGGCCCACTGCGTGTTAGCGCCGGACCACTAGAAGCAGGGCCCTGAAGCCGCTAGCCACAATCTTCCCCAGGTCCAGCCCGGATCCACCCGATCAAGTCCTCGGATGCGGTTAATATCGTAAATGTGAGTGGTCAGCGATAGCATGGGTGTGATAGAGGATGCCATCCTCGGAAATACAAAGTTTGAGGGTTGCGGTTATCTAAAGTTGATCTATTCATCTGAAGATTTAAAAAGAGAAATGATAACCTGAGTTGAGAGTCAATTTGGCGGGTTTAGCTCGGGACCTCGGTATTGAACTTAGACTTAACCACCAGCATATGTGACAGCGAGATCCTCCACGATTTACTGGAACCCCGCGTTTGTCTATTCCGCAAAGAGCTGCAGATGCATGAGCTCGGAGACATGGCAATTGGACGGTCGGACGGATGATTCACATGTTCCTTGCTAGCAACAACCACGTACTACCTAGATGGGCTGATATCATGAGAATGAGCAGGACTGTCAGTCTGTTGCAGCTCATCCGTTATTTCCCATCTTGCATTGTATTGTTCAACCAATCGTAATGGCATACCAGCGTACAAAGGTGATCAGCAGCAGAGGGACACTTCATCGGAAATTGAAATTGTGTAAGCTAAGCAGCATTTCATCCATTGAACCAACATGTGAAATCATGCGGAATGCCTAGGCTCCTTACTCAATGGCTAGAACCAGAAGGTGGAAGTCTGCCATGTAGTTAGGTAGTTGATGAGCTTCCTTTCATCCCTGACCTAAACACGCCTCTTTGACCAACCACTTACAGCTTCCCCAGATTTCACAATGACTCACAAACCTAAATTCACATCCTCACACGGCAGATAGATCTCATTATAGTAATCGTCGTCTCAAGCTACAGAGTTTCGCAGATACGTCGGGGATGTGATGGCAGTGCAGCATCCATGTGAATCCCGAACCTCCGTGAGAATGCTTAGAACCTACCTTACTCACGTCGGCTCGACTAGCTATCTGAGCTACCTCTGGCAAAGCTGTCCCAAAACGGTAATGAAAGACAACGTGGCATGGTGAATTTCTTCGGTAGTGACCATGCTCGAGAAGGCTTATTCGAATGGTCTGGCATTTGACATGGCCCATAACTGCTGTTCATGAGATGCACCATGTCTTTGTTGTAGCAGCACGAGTTCCAGGTTCTGTTCTTTTGGACTTTTTTGTTGATTCCGTTCTAGTGCGACAGCTATAGTATAACGCACTCGCTGACAGCTGGTTGAATTTCCTGCTCGTTAACCACCGGCCCCTTCGATAGAGATTCAACCGCTGGGTCCAGAATTACTTGCACTTCCTCCGCTGTCTCCCTTGCCTCCATCGCGAACAGTCGTTCTCTTATCGACATAGCCTGCCCCATAAAGTCCGCCCCAACAGAATCCTTCTCATAATCAACCAAGTATTCCACCATCTCATCATTCCTATAGCCATCTGTAGCTGCTGCCCATACCATAGTGAGAAAGTCCGGCACAAAGATAGCTCCGTACGGTCGAGCACTTTCACATTGCTCGACTAAAGCAATACACTCATCCACGCAATCGTGTGAATTCCCCACTAGTGTCAAATCTGTATCCCAGATTTGCAACGTGTGTCCAATCACCGCAGTCATGGCGAGTAGAATTCCATATGCTACTCTGTATGAACTACAGACTCTTATCGACATTGCTGGTGCGTTTGGTGCCGCTGTTGATATTGTTGCTAGTGCGATGAGTTGTCGAACCTTGGGCATCTCGAATTGCATGACGTCGTATATACATCTTAGTTGATGAAGGTTCTTCTTTGGTGAGTGCATCAAGATAGATACTTCTGCCATGGTTCCAGATTCTAGGCTTAGGAAGCTTCCTTGGTGGTACTTGACTGGTCGTGGAGTGCCGATCATCTGGCACGCTTCCCAGAACCAGGGACCTAGCTCAAACTGGGGATTCAAGAAACTTGCCATAACCTAAATTATCGTCAACTTTGGGAAATATATAAGGGAAGTGGTTGAAGTACGGCTAGTTGTGTAAGTCCCACCATGTAGTCGTTCAAGTCGTCAAGCTGCTTTTTCATAACAGCTTCGCGAAATAACACTGATATTACTTCTCGATGTTGTTCGATCGATTTACGATCTACCCAGTACTGAAGAATGTCAGCTTTAGCGAGGGTATATGGTTGCATTGAAATTTACTTACATGGCAAACAAACATGATTGAAACAACCTGCATCTTCATGATGATCTTCTCCTTCGGATCAAGTATAGCGTTTCTGGTTGCTGTTAAAGCCTCTCCATATCTCGTCAGAGCATCAACTCTCGATTCCTGGCATCGATGTGATTTATACAAAGAAACCATTGCGTTTACACAAGAGTCGAGTGCCGGACTACAACCAATCTGTGCAACGATTTCCGGAATAAGTTTGCCGCCAAATGCTCGGATATCGAATCTGGCATCCTCAGTCCGAAGGATGTGAACTAACGAAGATGATAGCTGGGTCTGTTCGTTGCTGGGACGCCATTTGATAAGATTTTGACCGTCGTTCTGGAAAGAATGAAATTTCCATCTCTTTACTCCGTTTCCGACGCATGGTACGCCAACTCGTTTACATCTCCCGCAAGTTGGTTTAGCTTGGTCGCACTTTTGCTGTTAACACTGGAAATACCATGAGACATATTTTTATGCTTACTTTCTTCTTCTGTCTGCGGCATCCGTCGCATCCGCGACTTGATGGTGTTCCTGGCATAATGGCGCTAATGTGTAGGATGTAATGCGCAGGATAAGGCGAGGACAGTTCAGCTGTTAATAAACCATGACATCTCGAAATAAGGTATCCACAGTGGCCGAGCTTCGGTGATGAGCGGTGCTGGGTGATGTTGAGTTCGGCTGCGCCTTGGGAGGCCATGCAGCCTTGTATGGCAGGGATCGTCGGCTGACCACCCGTCAGAACAGGGGTTTGAGGATCAGTGCAACACTTTGTCAGGGCTCTGAAATAAACATTGATTAGCGGCAAAGCTGTTGATCTGATATCTTTCAAGGTCTGACATGACTTAATCATAAACCTTTCTATGTGGCATGCGTAATTTCTCGCATTAAATATCCAGAGAAGGTAACTTACTTTGTTCGCTTTGAGACCAGGTCAATTCTCAACACAACGGATTTCCTTAGCCGTAGCGCTGGGCTTACGCTAGCATTACGAGGGGCAGCCAGTAAACAAAATACAACGGTCCATAACGTGAGCCCATCCGAGGAAGAAAACAGAAATTCTCCATGTCGCATTATCAAATCACCAAGGTCTCTATTCTACCTATAACCTCTGTAACACAGAACTGTTTAGACATCCTGCGTAATACGAAGAACATGTCTTAGCCGATTAACCTGACCTATTATCCAGCTGACCTGCCCATCGCGAAGTACGGTTCGCATGTTTTTGAGTATACTCAGCACCGCCGTTAATATACCGTACATCATGTACAATCCAGACGTCATAACTTGTTGCGCGTGCTTGGTCGTATTCTCAGGAACCGTGCAACTGCGGTCGCTCCCATGTGAAGGTTGTCGAACCACGGACGGCACGAGCACGGTGTGAGACCATAATCCACCTGCCGTCACGTCACCGGTAAGAAACGGCACACTGGCGCATATCTCGTCAACAAGGATCTGTGCTCTGGCCATGAGTGTAGATGTCAGGCCTGGCTGGTGGCTATCTTGCATGTCTTCCTGGTATGGGATGTCGGCAAGACAAGAGCCGATGAGTGAGAGACATCCCAGCTCGGTGGCTCGGTGACGATTGACTGAGTTGGCTATGGAGATATTTGCATAAACTGTCGGAGCCACGTGCTCGTATGTACCAGCGACCTGGGTTGATGTGGCGAGAGTGTAGGCTGGGATAGATATCGGCCTCCAAGTTGATGGCAGGGCGGTCTGCCAGAGTGCACATTGGCTTGCAATATCAATAGCATGGGCTATAATAACTTGCAAATTCTGGCTGCCGTCGGTGCTATTGTTCATCAAGTTGGTCTTGTTCAAGTCTGGGACTTTAGACTTGGTCGTTACCATAAGCTTAAGCTGTGATAGTCTGAATGCCAGTGTGTCGGCTTCCACCGCCGGCCCTTTCGGCCTATCCACGTTACCATGGTCCCAAATATCAACAACTGCTTCGATGGCGGCGAGTTCGTTAACACTGTGCCAGGTGTGGTGAAGTAGCCTATTCCTGGTGGCAATGACGAGGCGCCACGATAACTCGTCTCTAAAGTTCAAGGACCCTCGGTGCTTCAGCAAGGCGATGGAGCCAAGAACATGCGTACGTGACTGCAAAGAGAATTTCTCCTCTCTTCCAAATACGCCTTTTGCGCTCTCGTACGCCTCGAGAATAAGTGTCGTCATTAGGAGCGAGTCCGATTTGCTCTGCGCCGGTGCGGCGAGGGCTTGTTTGGTCTGCATCACTGCATCTGCGTAGACATTACTTGCCATCCAGCTTTCGCCGCCGTGTGAAAAATGCAGATGGGTGACCTGAAGCGCAAGAGCCGCCGTTGCCCTGTTCAGGGGAGAAGATATATTTGACTTGGCATACATGTCAGGGAGAAAGCTGAAGAAACTGCATGTTTCTTCGACATTCTGACACAAACTGTAATGGAGGAAGAAAAAGTTCAAGGCGTTAGACTCAGGGTCTGACAGAATGCTTCTCGGCGGAAAGATTTGCATCGGGCCAGAGTTGAGTGTTGGCGGTGCGCCCATAGTGTCAGTCATGCGACTTTGACGGGAATGCCGTCTCCAGGTTTTTACTGTTTCGTCTCTATGAGCTTTGTCAAAAGTGTCCCTATACCCTGGGCATGTGCTACCCCGAGTAGAGCAGTTCAGACACGCCGGTTGCCTTTGGTCACACTGCCCATGAGGTGGTCAATATAAGCCAAATCAGGGACACCTTTGCGACTCACCTTGACTCTCCGGTCCCGGCACCTACGGCACCCCTTACTCGGGCCGTTATAGACCATTTTATTTTCTTATTACGAATCGACAAAGTTGCCATCGAAATGAATCGTGGATGGGTCTGTTGAAATGGTCGTTGCGAACAGGCAAACAGGAAGTCTTGGCCCGAACTCCGAAGCTCTCAACACCCTCTCTGCGGGATTAGTCAGATACTTGACTAGATGGATAGTGGGTGAGTGCAACGCTGTGCAAGGGCATCCTAGACTGGGTTAGCACAATATTTGGCTTACAGGGCAAGGATCCTTCAGAGACTCAGCCACCCTCTTCCATCATGCGATGCCGATTGCTGCGCATTGACTAAACTATTCTCAGAGGATGCTTGCGATCACGAACATTCCGAGTCCCAAAAGCATCAAGGGTGACGGTAGGAATGCTCAACGGATACGTGATTGGGGATTCTCGAGCCAACGGCTCATTTTATATGTTCTCATTCCTCAAAGACTTTCAAGCCAAGTCGCTCAGAAAGGGCTATAAAAAGGCTACAATACCTTCCAGTGATGGCATACCACCTGAAATTATCCATCAGCCAGAGCTCAAACCCTATTATACATTCGGAACAAAAACACAACTCGTTGGACCATGCATTTTCATCGGATTATTACCTCATTGGCATTCATCGCTAGAGGGTCGGTTTCAGCAACCCTCGAAAGCCACACATGCCATGAACATCGGGTTCTCGCAGGTGAATCTGTCGATGGACCGGTCACTATGGGCGCAGATCCCCTGACTCACTTCGACTCCCCCATGGTCAGTGTGTTTAATGACACCGCGAGTGAGAACTGGTCGTTTGATGCCGCTTCCATTGATGGCAAGGCCAGCATCGTCCTCTATCTCACCCGAGGCACAGTCGCCACCGTAGTCGGTGCACAACGTGGCCTCATTTCTATCTCTTGGGCCAACGGAACTCGGTACATGGAGAACGTCTTCGTCAACATTTCTACGTTGACGACATGCCCAAAAACTACATCTGGGCTGTGGACGACCAAAGCTGGGGACATAAGCTGGGGCTTCACTGCGTCTAATGACTTCAAGCAATCCATCGTTAAAATCAAGTCACCTACTATCAACGGGGCGTTCAAGCTCAAATCGCGAGGACCGCCAATCTATCCCGGAGGGCAGGTGTATCCCGATCCTAGGGCCAGTGTGCTCTTTGCCCCGGAAATGTATTGGCAAGAGCAATTTCCAGTTGCCGACGCCGAGGTGCACCTAAACATTCGCGGCACACCTTTCAACTTGTATGGCGTCGGAGGCCGGGACAAGAATTGGAACTCCAGGCCTTGGGCCGTGATCAGCGGGAACTGGGACATGGTGCGAGCTATTGCCGGACCGTATGGCATGATGCTATGGAACTTCACATCGAGTGTGGACGGCCAGTCCTACTTCAGCGCCACTATAATGGAGGACGACAAAGTCATTTTCCGCACGACAAACCAGAACGCCTCATGCTCAGAGGACTGGGGCACCGTAAAACTGACCAACACGGGGCCGCTACATTTATCCTCTGCTGCTGGAACTGAATCTCTATTGCCCGAGTCACGTCATACTGGGTATCTCATCGACTTGGTATCTCCTAAGACAAGTCAACACTGGCGGTTTACTATCAACTTTTCGCAGACGACATTCTGGTTTCCTGCAAGCAAGAGTCTGACTGTTGGTCAATTCTCAGGAAAAGTCTCTGGCGGTTTATTAGGTGAGACGCAATATAAGGGGGTGGCATCTGGTTCACTTCAGGAGTCTGTTCTCCAGAACTAGTCTTATACTACACGAGGCCACAAAATGGTTAAGAATGTTCAAGACTAGCTCATATTACGTAGGATTTTCTGACATGTCTATCACGGCGGAACCATGCGGACTCATAAAAGCCAACCTATGAAGCGCGAACACTATAGTTGTGTATGTCGGCCCAGGCCGGTTCGACTCGAGTCGACCAGACTCCCAGAAGTAGCCCATATATAAATACCTTCATTTAGCACACTAGATATAAGATGGCTACCCAGAATTCAATACAACTTGTTTACCTCATCTACATTGAGCACATTACCAGATGTAACACCGTTGTTTATTGCTCAGAACCGTTAGCTCCCAGATCTCTCTCCTTTTACTTCAAGGGAGCCAGGAAATCTCCTTCATCCTTGGATGTTCGGCATCTTGATAACAAAGGAAGGTGATATTAGTTCTCATCATCTGACCTTGCTGACGGTTGAAGCTCTAGTTAATTGACCTAGAAGACAAAGTCGCTCTGGTTCACGGTCCTAGTCAGTTAGCATAGGAGAAAAGGGAACCCCGCCTCTAAAATCGTCAATGAGAGTGCCTTTTTGGAAGAGAATAAACTCATAATTGTGAAAGTTTATGGGAGCTTCTTTGGCCCAAAGTTGCTACATTTTGCTTTTCAAAATTTGTTCAGTGGCGGATGGCTTGCTTTGCGTCTATAAACTTTAGGCCTTTGGAATAAGGAGGTTTGAAACCACCAACTCTCAGCAGCCGTCACCAAATTGTACAAGATCTTGGAAAACTTTGAAAGCATGAACGGTAGCTTGTGCGGTATTTAATGGATATCCTACCCTTCAGTCTAACCTACTGTTTTCTCCCCCTTCAACCATTTCTTGGCCCCCACGGAACAGCTCAAAACTCAACTGTGCAATAATTAACGCATTACCGACAAGACACTCGCATTTCTGCGTCTCGCAGAAATCATCAAGCTCAAAATTGATATGGAAATATGGATTTCTTAGATATGTCCAAGGCTGATGTTTTAGCCTGGGCCCAGCAATCCTTACCAACCCCAATAGACAAAATTACCGTTGATGCTGCTGTGGCCCACACTGATCATCATGGCACAAGTTTTATCTTGCTACTCAAACGATCCGGTCAAAAGGCTTACTACCCCAATGACTTTGAGATACCAGGGGGGAAAGTTGACGATACAGACGCATCGATACGCGATGCGATCGCGAGAGAAGTCGCAGAAGAGACAGATCTCACTATTACCAATATTCTCACTCCGCTGGCACCTTTAACTTACACAACTGAGAAAATAATTGGGGAAGGACCTCTTATTCACACGATACGAAAGAATGTTCTGCAACTGAGCTACTTGGTCCAAGTGCAGGAAGCTGGGCACGACTTTGTGGTCAACTCAGATGAGCATTCTGAAGGTCTCTAGGTGGCTGTCGACAAGCTGTCAGCAGTCTAAATGACAGACCGGATGCGTAAGCTTGTCTCAGAGGCTTTTCATGCTTCTTCGTAGTGACGGTCAAGGGCATTTCAACGATCCTCTTAAATGAAGCTACGAGACGACATTCTCACCGATGGACGACGCGCGCCTTATTGCATATCGCAACACGAGCTAAAGCGATGGTTTTTATGTAATGGTTTGCTAGATGGACGTCTGCTCTTTCTGAGGAAGGTACCTACCTTTTCTCCATATCCCAACAAGAAATGAACCAGAGGCCCTCACAAATTCTTCCTCACCTTTTCTTTTCCTTCTTTTCCCGCTCTTCCTTACACGTTGCGCACTCTCCAGAGCTGGGTCTATCTATATGCTCAACCTTTGGTTTGCATTTAAGGACATCTCGTAGAGCGCAGGAGGTTTCAACAACGGGCTCAAACGAAGCTTGAAGACCGCATTTGCAAAGGTGGATTACACGTGTTTTTGTGCACATCGTGGCGGGAGTTGCGGTAACAGGGACTTTTCTTAGAGACTTGCCGGGGAGATACCTACAAGTGTATGGGAAAGCTGTTGTTTGTTTGTGGAGGAGGTGGCGTTTGAACCGAGCGGCTTTATAGACGTGCTGGTCATAGGTTCACGTTAGCAATAAAGCGTTCAAAGTGATTCTACCAAATATATTGTCTCTTGTATTGTGTTCATAGAAGTGACCTTCGAGCCGTAAATCCACAAGCAGCATTTCGCCGGTTCACAGTTCTTCGAATAGAAGTAGTAAAAGAATTCAGTGATTCAAGCTAGCGACTACCTAACAGCCTTTACCGCTCCCTTCTCTTCTTCTTCTTCTTGGCTTCCTCCGCCTCTTTTTTCAGCCTCTTTCTTTCACATTCCTTGCACTCTTTGTCCGAGTTCCGAACCTGCCGTTCCTCATTTCTCCAGCCCTTGCAATGTGCTAAGGTGCATGGATAATCGAAGTACTCTCGCCCTGCCTTCTTCCCACACTTACACCAGTTCTGGAAAATCCTCTCTACGCACATATCGATGTTACACTAAGGGGAGCTTTTGTCCTTTGCATACAGGGTTGTTGCGGTGGTCGAGTTCACGTTTCCACATATCCTTTTTATAGCTGTGCCAGTCAGTAATCACGTCACTGATGAAGCGTTTAGAGTAATTCTCGTATGTAATTATCACTCTTCTTGTATTTGGAAGTTTCAACAATCACCTTCGAATTCAAGAGGAATCAGCATTGAGTCACCTATTTTCCAGTTGCTCACATAGACGTAGACAAGAAAGGTCAAGCCATAAGGTTTCAGTGATTCAGACAGACTAGGACCTATTTTATAGTCTTCCTAGCTTCCTCTTTCTTTTATTTCTCGGCCTCCTCCCCCTCCTTCTCCTCAAGATTCTTCTTCTCGCACTCCTTACATTTCTTCTCTGAATTCCACTCCTGAATTTCCTGGTCTTCAGTGCCCTTGCAATCTGACGTGCCTTTTGCCGTACATGAAGAGTGTATTGGTCCCTCTAGTTCTACCTCCTCTCCACACTTGCACCAGTGCCGGAAACTTTGATTTGTGCACATGTTGAGATCGAAATGAGTTATTTTTCGTGGTGGATAGGTGTTAAGAGGGCCTTTCGAGAATTGAGTTCAAGTTTCGTGGGATGTGTAGAGACGGATCTTGTTTGGCAGTTGCAAAGTTGTGCTGGACCGGGGGGTGCTTATATCTCAAGACCCGTAACCGAAAAGGGGGGCGAATACTACATGCCTAAGACTCTGAACCACGCAGCGATGACGACTCACCCTGATTAGGGTACAAGAACTGTTGGAGAAGTCTAATTCTTTCGCCATTCACATGACTTCGACTCTTGACAATCGTCGCTGATGGACTGCGCAATGCTGTTTCTGTGAAGATTGACATGGCCATGAGTGAATAATGTGGCTAAGTTCCTTGTGATGACTACAAGCTCTCAGTCATAGCCTCAACTACAAATAATACATCTATCTTACAATTTAGATATTACACCACAATGCCATAACAGTTACTGCAGTAGTACAAAAAGATAAAACCTAGAATATAACCCTTTTGCCTCCCCTGGGAGTCAAGAAAACTTGGGATCTCTATCCTAAGTGAAAAAGAAGACTTAGCTAAACCTAGTATAAATTTAGTAGACCTTAGACTAGGTATCTTTGGTACCTTGCCTTAAAGTCCTAAGTTCCCTTGATCCCGAAGCCCTCTTCCCTCCTGTACAAGGACCGAGTGGCGGGTAATCTTCCTCACAACGAATCGCGAGTTTGAAGAATTCGAGAAAAATCAGGGCAATAAGTGCCTATGCGTACATAGAGCTTCAAAGCGATGTACCCTTCTACTGGAAGGAGGCTAAAGATCAGACAGGAAAAAGGGGGCAGTCAGTCAAGCTGTTTGATTCTTAGTGACCTAGAGATTCGTTTTCAGCCTCATCGTTACCTTGATCTCTCTTACTATCATTTCTAGAAGTTGGCATGTATTACTCGGCTTCCATCATTTGCTCTCCAGTTTGAGTATGACCTTGCGAGAGCGCGGCGCTTGGGTCGTTGACTCTCGCAGGCCCCTGTACAGTGGTGTTCTCATCGTATGAAGCCATGGCGACGTGCAGCGATGACTTTGAATAGTGAGGTGGAGGAGGAGTTGAAAGGAGAAGAAGAGAGAAGAGAGAAGAAAGAATTTTAGGTGACCAATTCCATGGACTTCTAGAATTGCCAGTCCAGTGATTCACGGTTGAATAAATAAGGTAGGCAGCAGCGCATAGTTACTTAGCATAATGGGATTAATGAATGAAAGTCCTGCATTCTTGAAAAACAATTAATACGTATATTGCATTGTGATTTCCCATTGCATTGCAACAAAAGAAAAACGACAAATACATGTTCGACTCTTCCCGTGATGATTCCACACTTAACGTATAAATGTACCCGTGTTTCTCTATCTCGTTCCCTGTAAACATCAAAGCATGTATGCTTCATATTGGCCATCCAGACCTCAAATGTTAAGTGTGTCGAGCTGCATGGGGCAATTGTTCACTGTTGACTCCTGTCCATATAGCTTCGATTTAATGACAGTTACGTCGCCTGGGCCATTGTAGTCGTCCTGCACCTGAGTATAAATCTCCTCCTCTTCTTCTGCAATCAAACGTTCAAAGGAAACAGATTTGTAGTTTATCTTGAGTCCCAAGTGTGGGTTGGATGGGCTGAGCGGAAGATCTTCGTTTGCCAATTCGATTGGGACGTGGATGTCGATAATATGATCCTTGAGAAGTGGATAGTATGAGTTCAAAAAGAGGCAAGAAAAGTTAAGACTTCAGTCCTAAGCGACGAAAAGATTTAGGTAAATTAGCATAAAATTAGGGAGCTCTTAGTAAGTTTACTATGGCATCCTTTTCCTCCTGTATAAGGCTGAAGTATCTACGGATGTTGAAAGAAGAGAAGGAGTAGAATTAACCATGCCCAACCACAAAAATCTATACTAACGTGGATTATACCAATACCTCATTAGCTAATCCATATTACTCCCGACTGGTATCCTGCAAAATTGCTATGCTACTCATCAGAGCCATAACAGTCCAGTGATATCCCATGGAGCCCGTAGTTGCTCTGCCTAGAAACTGAAACCCTCCCGACCTTTGGACAGATACTGATACTGACGAAACATTGTCTTCGTGTATCATTGCAACAACTTCGGAGCTTCGAGAGCGGTGTGAGCCTGACTTGCTCGTGCGGCCCAGTGATACAAGCTCCCAAACCAAGCTGTAAGTGCTGCTCTGAGCTTCTGCTGAGACACGCCACTCAAAGGACTCTGTTCTACGACCTCCACCATGCTCAACCCTCATCGAGAAACTGTATCGAGGATTTGACCGTGAACGATGATATGTCATAGTGACTTGGTTGGAAGGAGTGTTGCAACTGGGTATTCCAGGGAGTTGAAAGATGAAACCGTCGCCGGATCTGATTGCAGACGATATGGGGTCTCCAGCAACGCTGGACCCAGGGAAGAGATAAGTCGGTCCTTGCCAACCTCGAGGCATACAGGCTGCATAGAGTGTATAAGAGCCTGTTTCAGAGATAAACAGGGCCATTGTAGAGGGTGATGGAGTCCAGGTCAGTTGCATAATCTGAGGGAACCCTATCTCAACGACTTGGTCTGAGATTTCGGATGGGCCCGCTGAACTTGAAGAGCTGCTGGTATTGTATATGTCCTCAAGATTTGCAACGAAGGCAGGAAATATCATGATGAAAATTACAAAAGTGACTCAAGGGGAAATATTGGTTCAATCTGGGCGCTTCGTCTTGTGTTCCGGTGAAGAAAGTTTGACACCGAGCTGAGTCTCTTTAGTTTACGAGACACACCAAAGTCTGAAGAAAATAGTTTATATACCCAATGGATTTCTATTCAAACAGATGATAAACATATGAAGAGTTTCCTTCCCCTGACCCCCAATCCATCAAAGCAAGCTCTTCCATGACCCAACACTGAGAGATTGCTGCCTCCGACAGATTCAACCCTTTTCAGTACAAATGAGCCGCCCTTCCTGTAACACCCTTTATATGAATGGCGATTCGCTGTCCTAGATCTCATAAGGCTGATAACTCGTCTCGTCACAAGAACGATCTTCACAAATATTTTCCTCAGCGGGAAGATGGTAGCGGTACCCCTGCATCAATTTCTCTTACACATTCTTGCCAAGACGCCCTCTAGACCCTTAGAACCGGGGCGCTGGGACAAGAGGATCTCATGTAAGCAGATCATCAGCTTAAACGGCTTTTTCATGCGATCCTTGTGCCTGGGAGCTGAACACCAAAGGGTCCTGTACAGCAGCCAATTGTTACTGTGGTCGGCAGATCAGAAAGTTTGTGGCTGTGCTACAGCGCTGCATATGGTACGAAGTGGGAATTGGTGTTACATCGATCGGAAAGGCCCTGGCGGCTGTGGCGTTGAACTAAGCTGATGCCATCGAAGGCGGGCAATTCGGTTGGTTGGAGGTGATGCAGGGATGTCGCTGGACTTGCCGAAAGAGGCTGGCTTCTGTTTCAGGGGCGAATTTGTGTAAGTGATCGCGTGATGAGGCTGAGGACTAGCTTGGCATATTGAAATACGGAGTACGTGTCGCCATGGGCTGTGTCGAGTTTTCTCGGCCACCGAAGGATTGGGGTCTGGACTTGGAGTGTAGGCCAATGGAGCACTAATCTGCCTCGTCGCTGCATTGCACCATTTTGGGAAGATAAAGAAAAGAACACCCCACGTGATGATCTTTTCGTGAAGAGTGACATGTACTACGAAACTGGACTTTTGGTTGGGAGTGATGTGGAGGCAATCGCAAATCGCGAACATCGTCTAGATAATCCCCAAATGCGTGAATGAGTCTATGGCCACAAATGTGAAGAGTTTAGGATTGTTTTGCAGTTGAGACCTGTCGTTGAGAGTTTATAATCACCACGCAGGACTTGGCTTCCTACAGGTCTCTTGGTTCACCTATCCTAAATCCTTCAGTCATTGGAGTGAAGACAGGAGCAACACCGTGTTACATCAACAAATCTTCATCTTCAAAAATCATGTCGACCGACATATCGTCTATCTCATTTGCCCACTGATCATAGCTGTACTCTAAATCCATCTTATCAACTTCAGGCCTAGGGCACTGGTAGCAGGTACCACCGACTGTGCATTCAAACCTTTCTTGGCCAAGCATCTCCGCGATAAATCTTCCTAGGCGAAGGAAAATCCACAAGAAGTGGACTTCAGTTTTGTAGCCAGCCCAGGTCTTGACACAATCAACCCTCAGGTTATCAAATGCAAAGTTTCGGAACTCTCGCATTTGAAGCCATTGCATAATTTCGTAAGGGTGGGGAGCTTGGAGATTGTTCACCATATCGAGAAGTCTTGTGCGGATTACTCCGTCTTCGATTGTGGGCTTCTTGATGGAGGAAAGGAAGGCAAAGGTTTCAGCGTCGAAAGTGGTCATGACGAAGGCTGGCGGAATTAATTGTGTGGTTGGAAAAGAAAGTTTCTTCGTGGGACTTCCGCACCCGATTATATCCAAAAAGCTGAAGTGCCTGTTGCTGATGAAGCCGAGTTCAGCGTGGTGATTATAAGCTCTCAGCCAGAAGTGCCGATGAAATATGTGCTTCTTGTGAAAGGCCTCGCCTCGTAATGCAGGTGTTGATGGACTGGCTGAGACGTCGCAAGATGGGAAGCCAGCAGATTGATGGCGTAGAAGTTTAGAATGCAAGATGGTGGAAAGACATGAAAGAGAGAGAAGTAGAGTATCAACCCTCTTTGAGAGATGGTAGAGTAGTGAATCACTGCCAGCTTAGAGCCAAGATACAGCAGCATCAAACGGGTTGAATCACTGTCAATACAGCACCAAACACGTGTATCTGCTGTGATTCTTTTTGTTTTTGTCAAAATGTCGTTGACTATCCTTGTTTGCAATATTCGCTCGCTATCTTGTTTGAATAATAATAAAATTCTTCAACTGTTCTTTTGTTTGAAGGTGATATATGATCTCAGTCGGAGCGATGAGGAACTTGACTTAGAATGATGAAGGAGAAGCACAGGCCTGGAATCTGGTATTACAGAGCCTCTTTGACAGTATATTTCAAATGCAAAGAGGTGACGTGTCAAGTGAATTTTGTTATAGCCTGCTACATGGTTTGTGAACCACATTGTAAAAGCTTATGTTCGGTCGTCGTGAGTCAACCTTTGTGCGTTTTCAAACCTTCAGTGATCTGAAGTTTCCCACTGCCTTGAATTGTAATGGCAATTGGAGTTTTTCTTTAGAAAACCGCCCGCTTAGCGCTCATAGCACAAACAGTTCTCCTAATGAACAGCTTGCCGCATGAACGACGGAAATTAACAGGTGATTTCACTTCATTCACAGAACAAGAGTAAACCATGACACCCGGTGCAATTTTGTTCCTAAATACTGAACTTTCACTCTCATTCTCAGGCGTCACAACCCAATAGTGAATGATCAAGCTGAATAGGCCATTGCATATCATCCTATCAAGTTGCTCAGCGATAAGCCTGAAGCCCTTGCTCGTGATAGACGACCTTTTGGATAGATTGTTAATCGAATTCAAAAACCTGTGCAGGTTTTCCTATTAAACAGATCAAGTTCCAAATTGCCTTGGTGCTTAATCGCATTGAACATATCTCTTTATCTCGATACTTAGCTTCTATTCGGCGAGCCTGCAACGAACTGTGAACTAGTGTACCTACTAAGTTCTGTGTGGTGAACAAAAGCTCTCAGCCACAGGTCTGAACTGCAAATAAAACATCTCTAGTGTACGTACAATATCAGTTGTTCGGTCCGTGGCAGTCATACAGACAGTTCAGCGATTGCATCCGCGAAAATATATAAAAAGGCAAAGTATTTCACATAAACCTGGTCCTACTAAGCTTCTTAGCATCTCCGCATCACTATCTCACCCAACACATAGCGAAACTCACAAACAGCAAACGACATACCTTACCAGTCAACGGCTCACCCAAAACAATCACCATATTTCTAGCAAGCAGCTCAACTTCTTCTAAACCATACTTTTTATCTTTACTACTACAGACTCTGCCAGCCATGGATTCTGCAGTTTTCCGACGTGTTATCAGGAAGCTGGATCGATTCTCGGAGGCTTTGGACGAAGCACTTCTCAACTTCTCTGAGATGGACGACTCCACAGCCCCCAAGGAGTTCAAGCAGCGCATGTTTGGTTGGCTGTCCGATGACAAGCGTGACATTGATGCTCTTTTGGTGCGCCCGGAAACCAATGATAACACAAGCAAGCATGATTTGCTAGCTCGTCTCGCATACTGCTACTCGTTCGGCCCTGAGAAAAAGTTCCAGGACCTCCTTCTAGCTAACCATCAGAAGATCGGAGTCTTTATCTCCGACAAGCACGTCCGTGTTCACATCGCCAAATGGGAGACCACTCTTCTCCGTGGCTTTCTTCGCTGGGTTATTGTTGAAGCTCACAAACCCTCGGGTGACGCCCAGTCGGTCCTGCAGCTCGAGACCTCAGTCAGTAAAAAATGGCTTTCCGCTGATGATGCAGAGGAGTATGTGGTGCCCGAATCCGAGGGTGATATGAAACTGGTCCTCATCCGTCTGAAAAACCTGCCCAAATTGATGGACCTTTGGGGTAAACGTGTTGTTGCTGATGAAGGTGAAGAGAAGTTGGTGAAATCATGTCAGTGCAGCAAGCCAGACTTTGGCGAGTCTTTGACCATTGGGCTTTTTGTTCTGGCGTGGAAGGTTGCTGGTCGGTATGAGGACAAGTGGATGGACGCCCAGGGCTATGCTATCCCTGATGTTCCTGAGTTGGATTAGTTTACTTGCTGGACAAGTAACGGTCGCACAGGAACGAGTGGTGCTGGTGGGAATGAGTAGGAATGCAGACTGGTAGGGATCCAGGCCGGGATGGATGATGGCAAGTACGCTTGGAACGTTAAGGAGCTTAGGGTGGAGCTTTATTCTACAGGTAGCGGAATCTTAGAAAGACATGCTGGTCATGTCTGGTATTCTGTAAATTTTGGTCCATTCGCCTCATGTGAATCGTAGCTGAAACACTGACGATGTTAAAGAGAACCTATCCAATATGCCGACGTGACTAATAGCAATCAGACGAGGTATCCCTTTGAGCTCAGAGAAGCATATTTAAAACTGGCTTCTGATTGTGTGATGCTCCGTTCTAGATGACTGACTTTTTCTTTCACTGATGAAAAAATGGCCGTCGTGATGTTTCTGCCTGTGTCAGAAGTCAACAAAGTTGCAGTGACGCATACCAGACGTCTTTACCAACGACGACTTATCTGACAGTAGCTTGTCATCGCTTCGCCGTACCCCCTTCGCTTAGAGCTCCAAACGACCCCCCAACATCAGCACGCGTCGGTCCGATGCCACACGATAACTCCGTGTCCCGGAAAGTGGGGGCAGCCCGAATAGTGGGTCCTCCCGTTCAGCCTTAGCAACCTTGGCAACCTTATCATAGGTAAAGTTACGACTACAAGACGATAAATGAACATCGTCTCTCATCGAGTCAAGAAATCACTCACAGAAAAGCCATGATAAAGGGCTTTGTGCTGAAAAATTGCAAGTGAACAACTGCCGAACATCGCAACTGATCCTTCTCTTCTTGGCGCGAGGGCTGTGCTTACAATCCCTGTCGCCAACATCTGTCAAAAACTTGGCACAGTTTGAGGATCAGCCCAAAAAGGCGCAGGGCTTTTCTGGTTCGGGAATGCGATGTAACGGTAAGGCTGGGACTCATTTCCCCTTAATTCTCGTCTGTTTTCGTGGTTACCGCGGGTACGGGTGTTGGGTCGTGAGTTGGGAATAGCTTCAACCTCCACAGAGGCAGAATTGGTATCATTTCTACAATTAAACTACTTCAAGGTGTATCAATCGAATCATTCGTTATTCTTGCCATCCTCCAACGCCCCACTGTGACTTGTCTAGTTGTCTAGCTCCGCGTATGCGTACCAATCGTCCTTAAAACCCCATTGACTGCCCTATCATCAAATTAGCATCAGATCATTATTAAATTGGATCAGGAAAAAAACCTTTGACTTGGTATTATTTTTCAGCCAACAGTTCGCGTTTAAGCCGTCCAGCTCGTCCTTCATGCGCTTCGAAAAGACGATGCTGGCGCATTTCACTCCGTTGCCGGTTTCGGCGTCCTTGTCGATCATATTGCCGCAAGCTTCCATACAGTCTTCAATCGTATACGCATAAATAGGCGCGTAATCGGCAACAATACCTCCTCCCTCAGCTGGAGTGCCTTGTGCTGCGTTGACGCCACACCACCATTGGAACTCGTAGCCTTTGTTGGTCTTGTACCGTGTCTCGTCTTTCTTTGAGTCGGGGCATTTTAGCTCCAGAAGGCTAACTGTGTCAGCAGCTCTTGGTACATAGGGAGCTGTGTCGTTGACTGATGTGCTGTTGTCGGGTGTCGGGCATGAGGTTGCGGTTGGTTCTGCTGTCGCGGCGGGAGCGGTACCAGATGCCGAGTCGGTTGAGCAATCACTACTATTGGGACATGTGAGTAAGTATAATTAAGCACTTTTAAAGCTTGAACTTACGATTTATTTGCCAAAGCAGCGCCCAATCCTCCCCCTACACCTGCGCCGACAACGATAGCCGTACATAGAGCGACAAGCGCAGCGAAAGTCCAAACTCCAAGCCCAAAAGGAATCCTCACTCCATCTGACGATGCCTGCTGAGGGTGATGATACCCGGGAGGGATATAATAATTGCCGTTATCGTAACCGGGAGCTACTTCTGGAGCTTTAGCAGCTTGTTCAGCGTCCGTATTGACCTGAAGGCCTTCACTGTCCGGAAGATGCTGTTGTTGACTCATTGCGTAACTCAAGACAATTAAAAACCGCTACCGAAACAATGAATGAAAAAGAAGAACCAAGAGACAGGGAAAAGGAGCGGATCAGTCAGGCAGGATTTAATGGGGGGCGCAGCTTGGAGCCTTTATAACGACGATCCTTTTCGCTAAGTGGTTTCAAAATGGTATTACGGGCTACGATCTGTAAGCTGACCGCATCCAATCCGCAAATCATGGTTCATGTTGGCCCCCATGTTCTCGTTGTCGTAGCATGGCTAATAATATCCCTGCGACGTGAGTGGGTTAAAATACTGTTGGGGTTTGGACTGTGAATTTGGAGTAAAGCTTAGGATCTGGGCAGGGGTAACAAGCTTTTTAATCCATGAATCGGATAGCGTCTTGAAAATCAGGTTTGGTGAGGTGATGAAAATGTCGTGGGCAAAATACTCGGTACTTGAGCTTTCAGCCCTGTGTTGGGCCCATTTTAAGGCGCCGTGTTTGGTGACATTCAAGGTGGCATTTAGTGGCTCTAGCTTCTCAGGCTAGCATCAATACAACCCGCAAAGTTCGCGATGCAACTGAAACGGCATGAGTTTTGTCTGGGCGTCAAGGGCAGCAATTTCGAGAGAATAAGTAGCTGCGGGGGACTCAGCTTACTGCCCACTGCTGAGGTATCTTATAGCCCAGCCAGCCATCAACAATTTTCCGATGCAGTGGTGTCGTCAGTAATGGTGTTGTATGTTGTACGGAGTACTATCCTGAACCTTCAAGGCCTCATTTCAGTACATGATTGGCCAAACTCGCCATCCACTCGAGTTGCTACCTCAGACAAAAGTATTACGCGTGTTATTGTATAGTACGGGCCTTTTCCCTTCCCATATTTGTGGCCTGTTACATGTAATCGTTTTACCCAGAAAAAGAAATCACGGGATCTCTTCTCTTATTAGGATTTTGCACGAGTCTACTTGATTGCTGAGTTCGGAAATAACACTTTGCGCATGAGGTGCGATGACAAAGAACCTTGTATCCTTCCAAGCTCCACGGAACCACTGTGCCTATGAGAGATTATACAATCTTCATTTGGGAAAAAGGCAACGTGATTGTGATTGCTTTACGACATCACCACTCAACTTCTTTGTTCGTCGACTGACAAAGCCCCTCACAAAACTCAACCTCTTCCTGAATTCCACTCCTTGCAGCAACACGAGTCGCTGGCCAAATCTCCTTGCCATCCTTTTGCTCCTCTTTCCGATGTTGAACAACCGCTTCTTTGAGTAGTCTTTGAAAGTACAACACACCTTTCTCGCTGAACGAGTTCAAATCTCCTGTGATATAGACACCTGCGTTGAGGTTCTTCTGGGCCGCGTTGCAAAGATCTTTATCTTCAGATTCAACTTGCTTGAAGAACTGGTCAATTTCTTCAAACTCTTCGTTTGTGGCGTCTTTGTGGCGATAGACTTCGTATTGCATTGATGTTGTAGTTGCTGATGATGGGACAACACGCATGAGATAAAAGTATTTGGTTCTTTTACGAGTTAGTTGTGGTTTAGTCATTAGTAGCAGAGGTAACTTACGTCATTGTAACTGATGCATTCGGGAAGAAAAAGGTTGGTGCAACATCGAGACCAGAATCTTTTCCTGGTTTGTCTTGCACGTAATGCTGGATCTGGCCGCCCTTGGTCTCGACTTTGTAAGTCTTCAGATCAGAGGTAGCAGCAATACCAGGATGAGCAACTGAGCAGTGATAGCACTACGGTCGATGTCAGTACAAGCAACAAGTAAATGACGCCTGGTATGGTATACCTCGTTGTAGTTATCAACCAGGGTCTTCCAGTTATAGTTCCCATTCATGTCCCAGGCATGATCGAAAGAATAATCATCCATATTGAAGTTATCAAGTCTTGGTTGCTTATCGGCACCGCTGAAATCGGCCTTCCATGGTACTGGGGTTTTATTGCCGTCAAGGTTGACCCATACGAAACCCCTGTCGTCGACATGGACGTGAACTTTGAATAAGCTGTTGCTTTCGGCGTCGAAAGTGTCCATGTTTTCAAATCGTGGAGCTTTGGCAAGTTTTCCACTGAGGCCATATGACCAACCTAGTAATGACGTTAGCTGTCGAAGTCTCTGTTCTTTAATCTGAGTGCTACTTACCATGATACTGGCAAGCAAGAATCTTAGCATTGCCCTCGTCTTTAGTGATAACTGGGTATGCCCTATGACGACAGATATTATGGAAGCCATTCAAGTTCCCCTCTTTATCGAGACAAAGGAAGAAAGAGAAGCCCGCCTCTTGATATTTAACGTAGTCTCCCGTCTTGTTGAAGCGACTTTTATGAGTAACCAAGAGCCATCGCTTGGAGAATACGGCTCGTCTCTCCAATTCATACATAGCAGGTTCTCGGTACCAAGATGCTGGCAAAGCACGAGGTACATCGGTTACGGCTGGAGCAGCCCTGCTCTGCGACAGGAATTGGAACATGGTGAAGTGTTGGTTTCTCAATAATATTGATTTTACTTCCAAGATTTAATGCATAGACAGAATGGAGGATGGACATATTTATTATATGGTATTGCTGAAAGGTATGATGGCTTTATGTGCCATCAAGACTGTCACGAAGTTGAAATCATGAACACACACCTTAATGCTCGATAACCAACATAACGGGTAACTTATACAATATTGGTAGACATAACCGACTCTATCTCGCACTTTCAGGCTATTCTAGGTTTAGTGGTTTCTTCAATAAAGGTGGTGGCTCACACCTCGTACATTCTATCCCATCCCGTTTTAGCGCCATTCTCCTCATTCAGCCATCTGGTATTGAGTTTGTTGTTAGTTCAAGCTTTGGCTCACGTGAACTTGATATCTGAGATATACTTATCGGAAATTACGGAATATGATAGCTATAACTTGAATGGATTTCCGTTTGAGGGGGAGATAATAAGAGGTTCATGTTCCATATATTGGGCATTGTCGTTTGCCATTGACCTCATCAAACATGTCGTCGCATTCTGATATTGAGAAGAAGCCAGCCATGACAAACGTGGATCAGAATCATGAACACTTACAAGAGCTGGGGTATACGCCTGAGCTCAAGGTATGTTATTTGTTCTAGTGTTCCGCCACTGATGTTGATAAGAGACAGCGTAACTTCTCGCTTGTTTCTATGCTGGCAACATGTGTGTCACTTATGGCTACATGGGAAGCTCTTTGCAGGTAAGTTTTCCAGTTTGCCATCGCGAGGTTGTCTAACATGACTTTCTATCAGCACGATGGCTACTGGTTTGATTAGTGGAGGTCCCGTATCATTGATATATGGAGCTATTGTAGCTGCGATCGGCTCAATTTGTTCTGCCCTCTCTCTGGCCGAATTGGCTTCTGCGTATGTCCAAAATGAGCATCAAAAAGTATACCTCAGCTTACCACTAACACTTATTGACTTTCAGTTATCCTACAGCAGGTGGTCAATATCACTTCGTTGCCCATCTGTCTGGCCAGTACGCATCAAAGATCAGCAGTTACTTCGCTGGTTTCATCACGTAAGAGCCCCAACCCCATCTTATGGCTTGTACTAACCCCTGCAATCAGCACATTTGGTTGGATCACAGTCACAGGTAGTGCACCTTTCCTCGCAGGTACCATGATCCAAGGCCTGCTTGTTCTCAACTACCCCGAAACATACGTTTACGAGCGATGGCACGGGACAATTCTATACTGGGCTGTGCTCATCGTAGCAGCCATCGTCTGCATCTTCTGCAGCCATATCCTTCCCCTGGTGGAGAAGATCTCCATGACTCTCCATATTGCTCTGTTCTTTGTCATTCTTATCGTTATGTGTGCCGTCTCGCCTACCAAGAACTCTGCATCATACGTGTTCACAACCTTCGAGAATAACTCAGGCTGGGCTAGCGATGGCGCCGCTTGGTGCATCGGTATGCTTAGTTCTTGTTATGTCTTGATTGGATATGACGGAGCAACTCATCTCAGTGAGGAGATGAAGAACCCAGAAGTTGGTATCCCATATGCTATGGTTGGTAGTGTTGTTCTTAATAGCTTTCTGGGTTTCTGTTTCCTGATTGCTCTGTTGTTCTGTATGGGCGACATCACTGCAGCTTTACAGACAACAACTGGATTCCCAATTATTGAGATCTTTTACAACATCACAAGAAGTCACGCAGGGGCTTCAGCAATGTCGGCTTCAGTTGTTCTTATGGCTAGTCTAGCTACTATCCCATTGCTTGCATCAGCGGCACGCGTCATGTGGGCTTTTGCGAGAGACCAAGGTATAAAATCCCTCGATAACATTGCAGAACTTTACTAATAGACACCTCTAGGCCTGCCATTCTCCAAGACTCTCTCTAGAGTCGAAAAGAAACGTGGTATACCGACCATAGCTATCCTCGTTACGTTAGTCATCTTGATGCTTCTTGGACTGATCAACATTGGCTCAACGACAGCGTTCAACGCCATCCTCTCCCTGGCAGTAGTTGGTCTCCAGATATCGTACCTAGTACCGATTCTACTTCTTATCTGGCGTCGTTTTAAGTCCCCTGAGTTACTGGCTTGGGGACCTTTCCGGCTTGGTAAGGCGGGTCTTGTTATTAATGTCATCGCCACCATGTACTTGGTTTTCACAAGTGTCTTCTCACTATTCCCGCCTTATCAGCCTGTCACACCCCAGAACATGAATTACGCGTCACTTGTCTTGGGAGCAACTCTCATCTTTGGGCTTGTGTATTGGTTGTTGTTTGCGAGGAAGACATATGCGGGAGCTTTGAACGAGATGGAAGGGGTAGTAGCGAATGCTACCGAGGTAGTAAAGGAGTAAGCATTAGGTCGTTGTTGAGAGTTTCTTGTGGTAGTGAAAGACAAGTCAGCCTATGACTTTGATAATTAGAAATTGGAATTACCTGCCTCTCCTCGAAGTGTAAAACGCCGTGAGCCACAGCATCCTAAATGACTCTAACTTCCTATACCTTCGTGAAACACATCTTTCGGGGAACGTATTTGGCACCAAGCGTCACTCCAGAGAGTGTAGGATGTTCAAAGATGTTTAAAGATGTCAAATAGTGCTGAGGGATGGTGCAGTAAGGGAGTATTGATGAAGGAGTCGGCAATCTTGAGGTCTAGGGTACCACGTGATCATGCCGACCTTCGGATCCACATGAGCTCACGCTCTTGTTTGGCGATAGCCAAACACCAATTCAAGACATCCCTCTTCAACAGGGAGACCGATATCGCATTTAACAACCGACGTCGAATAACGAGAATGCCATTGATGGCCCATTGAGTTGACCTCAATGGCGTCGCAATCGGCTATAGCAGACCCCCGCAACAATGTATAACCGCGACTCAAGGATAATGCGCAAGCTTCTCGGCAAGGCTGCGACCGAGACCCCCGCAGGCGATTCAGCCAACCTTTCTATAACAAGCGCACCTGCTTCTACAATCTCAGCCTCGTTTCGACCGCCGAAGGCACAAGATGCCGTATACCGAGCTGGTGTTCCGATATTGGCCCTCGATGTTTCCCCCGATCGAAGAGCCGCCGTGCTAGCGGGTGGACATATCCTGAAGACAGTGGTACTGGACGATCCCCATAACTTCAACTTCAACTTTCGCGAGGGTGTGGACCTGAGAGCTGTGATTACTGCGCAGCCTGCTGGGTTGAAGGGCAACCAGGCGGCGGATCAGCTCAGCATTCGCGATGTTAAATGGCACGGTGGTTCGACAATCTTCACGGCTTGCGCGAATGGCAAGATCTTCGCTTATGATGTTGCACGAGTCGGATCTGGCGCGGCCGAGCCACTGGAATACATGCAGATGCAGGAAGATTCTCGTCAGGTTAACACTCTGGACGTTAACCCTCACCTCAAGAGCTGGCTTCTTTCAGGCAGTCAAGATGGCATGGCGCGCGTTTTCGATACAGCGGCACCTCTCCAAGGACGATCCGGCGGCATCACCTTTCGGCAACGATTCGCACCTCTGAAATGTATCGACTCGGTTCGGCAGGTTAAATGGTCTCCAAAGGTTGGGCACGAAATGGCATGCTGTACCGAGGGTGGCGTTGTGCTCAAATGGGATGTACGTCAACCAGCAAGGCCATTGCTGAGGATCAATGCGCACGAAAAGGCGTGTGCTTCTATCGCATGGCACCCAGATGGAAACCACCTTATCAGTGCTGGCCGAGATACGAAACTCCATGTATGGGATCTTTCGAGTTCAGCCGACAAACGACAAAAGCCGAAATGGTCTGTTACCACACCTGCACCTATTTGGACTATCGCATGGCGACCCGGCCTCTGGTCAGCTACAGCGCAGAACAAGCGCGTAGCTCAAATAGCAGTGTCTTACGATGATAGCAGCTCTCGTCGATATGGTACTTCGGCAGTACACATCTGGGACCTGGCTCGACCGACCATGGCATACAAAGAAATTGAAAGATTCGACGCTTCGCCGGCTGCTCTGTTCTGGCAAGATCAGGACATGCTTTGGACGGTTGGTCAAGACGGACTGTTTGCGCAAAACGATGTCGCATATGCGCCCAAGGTCATTGATCGCCAGTCTACCTCGTCAATGGCATTTTCACCGAAAGGCGATGTTATGATGTTCCTTGATGAGCGATCTCATGAAAGTAGTCGACCGCGGCCTCCTGTCACACCCCATGCCGAGATCGTGCCCCGTGGGCCTTATGGGTCAAGTCCCAATGCCCCCATGCTCAGCATTAGTCGCAGCGATTCGGAGGAGGATGTGGTGGGTAGCTTTCTGGGTCCCAGACGACGATTGAGTCGAAGGAAAGCAGGTCGATCCACCAATCTGAGCACAACGCCACCTTCTAGATCTAGCCTTGATGATAACAAGCAATTTCTAGCGCTCGATCAAGCCATCAACGTTACCGGTGTCTTCAAGACCCAGCAAACAATGGCTTTCGGCCGACTGCCTGCTGTGAAAACAACACAAATCTACCAATATCTCTCAGGATTATACCTCGAGACGCTCCAGCAGGAGCTCCCATACGTTAAAGACGGCAAGCCGCTCAATGACCGAGTTGGCGTTATCCTAGAACATTACGCTCGCGCAGCCGAAAGTGTTTCGTACTTCCGATTAGCCCAGACCTGGCGCGTTCTCGCCTACACGGTCGGCCTACTCCTCGATCGTCGCGCTCAATACCACCTCGACGTCCGCCTCGGACGGTTCCAGAAGGTGAAGATAGAAGAGAGAAAGGGAAGTGGAATGCTAAAGCCCGTTGACTTTTATACTGCTAGTCGAACCCCCGGCGATGAAACGCCCAGACGTCCTTCTGGAAAGTCAGGGCTCGGCAGCCGCTCTCTGAGCACTCGATCTCTCCTTGCGATGGGATTTGAGAGCACGTCAAACGTCCCAACTCCGCTTGCGCGACCGGCTGATGCCACAGATAATACAAAAGAGCATGCACAACAGGTTGGCAAGAGACTTGCGGCCGTCACGGAGCCTGATGAACTTAGTCTTGGGCCTGGCATAAATGACAGGTTCGAAGACACCCCCAGAAAGCGGCCCGACTCGGTCCCCGTCTCTGATGTCAGCCATGAAAGCGAGAGCTCACAGATATCTAGCACTGAAGGATACGACTTTTACGACGCCGAGGTCTTGCTCAAGGCCCTCGATGTTCCTCCACCCAAGAAGAAAGAGCCTCTATCGTTGGATTCTACGATTCCAGAAGTTCAGAGGGTGACGCGCCATGACTCCGACGAGAGCTTCGCTCAGATGTTCTCGACATCTGATGCGACTAAGAAACCTTCGGCTTCGACACCGAGAGGCACTGGACCTTGGCGATCGAGTCTTGCGAGACATGCTTCGGACATGGACAAAGATAACGAGTACCCAAGTCACATACGTGGCGAAGAGGTTCACGCAGATACACCATCGGATTCACCCCAGCCGCGCCCACATAATAAGAAAACGCCGACTGACTCCCCGGAGGACGTTTTCTTAATATCTCAAACCACAATAGGGACCGACGACTCGTTCCCCTCGCAAACATCAGAGCCCTTCCAATCGAGCCCTCCACCTCCCAAGATTGTAGAGCAGTCACTTCCAGCAAAGGAAGACTCCCCGCAGCCACAAGCACTTGTTCCAGCAAGCCACCCCAACCGATCCAGCAGTCCCGCCAAGGACTTGTTCCCTGCACAAAAAGACCTGCGGCCTTATATTGTAGAGACAGACTTTCTCCCATGGGAGGATGACCCTCTGTATCCTTTCCCGACTGCTGTGTCTGGCGATGGCCCGGTTGTTTCACCACTCGATCCCTACACTTCCATCACAGAGGCCTTGCACTACGAGTCGCGAACCTCTGCGCTCAATGCTTCCGCCATCGTTCTCCTTCTTAAGCCTTTAGTACCAGATTTCGTGATCGACTATCACCAAGCGAACGCAGTCCTGCGACAGCACCATTCACGACTGATGCAAATGGGTCTCTTCATCGAGGCATCGCTTCTACGGAACTTATGTGTCAAGGGATGGCCAGAAGGTTTGCCTCAATGGGGTGAGAACTACACGGCGATTTTCACACCAGCTCAACAGAATGGAAAGGTCAGCTTCCTCTGCTCTGCGTGCAAGAAGCCAAGGGAACTTGATCCCAAAGATGGACCGGAAGCCATTTGGACTTGTGAGCGATGTCGCACTACCATGGCACCCTGCGCTGTCTGTGATCATCGAGAGCCAACACATGCCGAATTCGCGTCTGTGGAACTACCAACCGCCATGGGCTCTCCAGATACCTGGCTCTCACAATGGTGGTACTGTCCCGGCTGTGCACATGGCGGTCACGCATCTTGTCTTCAAGCATGGCACGCCGTTCTTGATCAGCCAGACTCCAGCGGTTCAACTACCTTCAGCGATGGCTGCTGTCCTCTCGATGGCTGTGGACACGCCTGTCTTCCCGGTCGATACCGCGGTGAGACCAGCACAGCACGATCTGATGAAATCGGTCGCGCGACTGTAGAGAAGACTCGAGCGAGAGATGAGCGTGGAGCAAGCAGTAGTAGACGATCAAGTCCTCGTGCAGGTATGGACCGCTCTGTGAAGAGTGATGGCAATGATATACCGCAGAGTAGAGCTGTTGGGATGGCGAGGGATGCGCTGAATAAAGGAAGTGGAGGGATTTTGAGCTCGAGTCCTGGAAGGGCTGTTGTGACAGGGGAGAGGGAGAGGAGGAAGAGTGTTAAGTTCGCTGGGACTGACTGATAGAGCTACGGTGAATATTGTTGTGCCTTGGTTGTTACTTTTAGCATGGCGTTTGGGTGTGGAGTTATCTGGACGGAGTGCAATTTGGCCAGGGGCAGAGAGCGTGGCGTTTTAGCTGCAAGATGGTTGTAGGATGTCCTCTGTAGAAGATGTGCATAGTTGAGCGATGTAAGGGATTATTAAGAAAGGATATCTAACAGTATAGTTTAGCAAATAACTAACTTCTCATTATAAAGTGTCATCTTAAGCGGCAGTGAGGGCATTAAAGTTTGCTGTCTATATACGTGAGATGTGTTTGCACTTGTGTTGGGGCTTGGAGGCTTCTTTTGACCCCTTAACCTTACACGTACACGAGAACAACAGAGGTTGGACGACATACCATCTTCCTATACCCTGGCTCAAAGACCGTTTTTAAGTCATTTTATTTAGACTCATAGGGGAATTATCGCGCTTCCGAACGATCCAGTCTCCTTTTCAACGACTCATCACCATATAACTCTTCCCGGTGAATCCTGTTCCCCTCCCGAACTTCATACACTACCCACGAATATCGTCGACAAACATGGGAATCTCCGACTCACAGTCACCTACAAACAATTTAAGCACAGGTACGTATTACCTCAACCATTCTCCGGTCTTTAGTCATGCTGGACCTGCTCCAGCAATACCCGACAACCGTCCCATCATTGTGTCGGGTCCCTCTGGCGTGGGCAAGAGTACACTGAACCAAAGGCTGAAGGATAATCACCCGGCCATCTTCTCCTCGGCTGTCTCGCACACAACACGTAAGCCGCGACCTGGCGAGTCTGAGGGAGTAGCCTACTTCTTTCGCTCCCCGCCCGAGTTTCAAGCTATGATCATGCAAAATCAGTTCATCGAACACACTTATTTCAGCGACAACTACTATGGCACAAGCAAGCAAGCCATGACCACGTTGATGAATGAGGGGCTGACCCCCATCTTGGATATTGAGATGCAAGGCGTCAAGGCAATACAATCTTCAGGCTTGGAAGCTCGCTAGGTCTTCCTCAAGCCTCTAAGTCTCGAAATACTCGAAATGAGACTTCGAGCTCGCGGAACAGAAGATGAGGCGAGCATCTCGAAGCGTTTGGCGCAAGCCCAGCTCGAGCTTGAGTTTGCAGAGACTGGAGTTCACGATATCATTATTGTCAATGATGATCTTGAAGTGTATCGGCAGCTTGAGGACTTTACTTTTCAACCTTCAAACAAGTACTAATTGGGTAGCTCCTCTTGATTAATAATTGGCATCTATTCACATATACACCGCAAGGTTTAATGCCAACTCTGTGACGAAATGACCTTCTATTTACCATTCAGGACATCACGAGCGATAAATATACGCTATTAATGTTAAAGTATATTATTGTGCTACTCAAGTATCTCAATGGTGCTACTATCTGCCTAACTCCTGATGTGTAAAGTTGACTTTCGATTTGTCATGCAATAACTTACAAAGACGTTCATGTCATGCCAACCAATTGAGCGGCGCCACGCACTAAACAGTATCCCTTTTGATGAGAAATGCGAGGTTTGTCGAAGAGAGCAAATGTAGGGGAAAAGGCACAGCGTGGTGCTCTTTCGGATCATGGCGCGATGATTCGTCATTTCATTCTGCCATAGAAGACTAGGAAGAATTCAAGATGGCGGGATAAAGGATGAAGCGAGGATCATAAGTCCCCGGGGTGGCCAAAATTGATCTTGTGATTGCAGGGAAGTTCATGAACTTATTGTTGCACGACAAAGCAATTGTCAGTGATAGGTTGGAGAGGGCATATAAGGAACTCGAGGAAGTCTATTAGGTATTTACCTAAGTTATGGACAATTTACCTAATTTATGGCTCACTTTTCGTCCCTAATCCATCTGCCCATCCAGCGTCGATTGATCTCCTTCGCTTCTTCCACCATCCCAAGCTCTAGCAACAGCTGAATAGTACCCCTAGCCGCGGAAAATATAGCTGAGCTAATCCAAGCTTGAGTCGGCGCAGTGTGCTCACCGATAAAAATAGTGTTATGTTCAGTCTGATGATACGCTGGGATGTAGAGGTTATGCTGCTCAACATCAGGGCGACACCACGACGTTGCGGTATGTTCATCTTGTAACCAGCACAATCTCTCATAATCTCCAGTGTAAAGCTCGCGCGCTTGTTCCCCGTGAAGACTCACGATTGCGTCGAGAACAGCTTGGACGTGCTCTTCATCAGAAAAACTAACATATCGATCACTCCAGTCTCCACCACGATAGTGTGTTATAAGCCCAGGTCGGGACTCATTCAAGCCGTAGACAGGATAGTATAAAGCGCCGATGGGTCTGCTCTCAGGTACAGAGTATCCGCCAAAGATAGCTCGTTCACCCTTCTCCCAGAAACGCTCGGAGAAGAGGAGGGAGACTTTGCAGGCGGATTTGAAGCGAACCCCTGCTTCACTGATTGCGCGGCCGAGGACGGATGAGAATGAGGGGAGGTTCATGAAGCGGGTCATTGTGAATGGAACTGCCATGATTGTGTAGTCATATTCCTTAGACTCAAACGTTCGGTTCTTGACGCTGGGGTACCATGAGAGTCTTGTTCGAGTTTGACCATCTTCGCCCTTAATAGACTCAAGCTTTTTGATCTTGCGATTGAGAACTAATCGGTCGGAAACATGAGGGATGAAGGCATCCGTGAGTCGATTAAATCCTCCATCAACGCACTTCCACTCCGTCTCGCCCAACGAGTCTTTAGTCCCATCTAGTGCAAGATTCGAGTTGTGCACCATTTCATCCCAGAGGACATCATAGTCAGATGCTGTCCAAATAGCATCTGTGACGTTCTCACTGGCATGGAAAGATTCCCTCATCATGCACTGCTCACTCCAGTCGTCGTAGCCCTGGTTCATGACGAGCTTGTGGGAGCGCCAGACATCGGCTTGAATTGCTTTGAGCATAGTCTCGTTTTTGAGGATCTCGTTCATGCGATGCTTGGTCTCGTTGTACTCGGCTGATACCATAGCTGGCGGTCTCGCGAGGCTTGAGTTTACAATAATGTCCGCTCTTGTTGGGATTCTGCCATCCGGATGGCGACCAGTTCCCCAAGCAATAAGCTCATTAGGATGATGTTGAATCCAAGGAATAAAGTCAATTTTCCACTTTGAGTCATTGCCATTCATCTCGTTAAGAGTCTCAGCCAATTGGAAAGTCAACCGATGCTCCGTATACTCATGTGTAGAGTTATCGCTCTTGTAAGTAACGGTATACGGCAACCTCATCGGGCCCATCTCAGCAAACTCCTGCGTACCACCGACGAACTTGGTTCTGAAACGCCCGCCGACTCTGTCGCTAGCTTCGATGATCTCCCAGTTGTGAAGACCTACGCTGTCTAGCATAAGAGCGGTGGTGAGTCCAGACACCCCGCCTCCGACAATGGCGATGGAGGCATTGTGGGCTTTGGAGATTGAGGTGCAGTTGAGCTTTGCGACGTCGTCGAACCAGGCTCCGATTGAGTCAAAGTTTTGCATCTGAGCCTTGTTGGTACAGGAATGGGTTTCTTGGTGAGCCGTTGGTGGTAATGTGCTGCCATGTACTGTGCTGAAAAATGGCAGTAGGAGAACTGAGGCCCCCCAGAGCCTACCGACCGGGTTGACCATATTGAAGATTTTGGAGAGGTCCTGAGAAAATAACAAGAGGTTAAGGTCTGGATGGGCTGCGATGTCCATCGAGCTATAAGTAATCCCACTTTGGGCTATACGCCTTGATCACCGACATTGAGAACTGTACAGCTACGACAATTCATATCGACCTTGATGGCATCAAATCCATAGTGAAAGACCTGAGATCAGAATAGGTGCCTTGAAGAAGGATATGCAGTCCCATAGAATATGCACGGCAGTTGCATAAGTGGAAGCCAATGGGCCCTGATCTGCATTGAAAAGACCCTGATGGCTTGGCGCCAACCCCATCAAGGGCACCGACGCCGGACACAGCACCTAGGATCACCGAAAAGTTGATAGGACTGATGGAAACTATAAAGTAAAACTCATTTAACGGTGTCGTAGTGCAGCAGAACTACTGTCTTGCAGCCGTGGAGCTTTCCCTCCGGGTTCATGGAGTAGACAGCTGGGGAATGACAGAAAGCCCAACACTTCGATCCTAAGTGATAGCAGTATTTAGGGTGATTTAGGACAATTTAGGGTAATTTAGGATAGACTTGGAAAGCTTTCTGACCGGATATCTCTCGCCCCAGACATCAAAGAGGTTGCCGATAAGTCAAGAAACACGATTGTATTTAATTGATCAAGGAGCTAAATGTCTATTTCTGTATATAACGAAAATGTTCAATCTAGTTTAACCGTAAAATAAACTCTAACCCGGCCATGTATCTCTACCAATCAACTTTAGACTCTCGGTCCCCAAAGCCTCGCCCTCTCCGCCTCAAACCCAGCCTTATCCTCCACAGTAGACTTCAAGAACCCAATCTCCTTCCAAATATGGATATACTTCCTCACCACTGTTTCCGAAACAGGTCCAACGGCCGACAAAGATTTCGAGTGCTCAAGCGAATGCTTCACATCGAGAACGAGACCACCGCAGGCCATGCGCAGGTATGTGTCTTCGAGGAAGTCTGCGAGTAGAGCAGCGGGGTTATCCTGCTGAGGAGCCTTGCGCACCATGTCGAGCCATTGTTTGAAGGGGACTTTGTTGGGAATGCGAAGGGCGTCGGAGAGGATGTTGTTGACGTCGCGCCATTGTTGACCAATGGGGTTGTCGATGTGGTAGATTGGGTAGGGAGTGCGGTCGGAGAGGATGAGATCGGTGAGAGTGTCGGCGATGTCGTTGACTGGAGTCCAGTTGAGACTGCCATCGACGTCGGGAAGAGCATTCAGAGTCTGGGAGGACTTGATGAGGAAGCCGAAGTGCTCCATGGGGTTCCAGTAACCACTTGTCTTGGATCCAGCGATCTGACCAAGACGCACGACCATGGGACGGAAACGATCAGTGTACTTGTGAAGAGTCTCATCAAGCATCCTCTCACAGCCCCATTTCGCTTCAGCGTACCCATTGCCCAACAGTGAGTCAATGGTAGTTCTCTCCTCAGGCACAACGATCTTGCCAGTCTGACCAGCAGCCAAACCCCACTGTCCAACAACACCAATTGACGAAATCATCTGAAAGCTGAACTTGAAGTCTGCAGGACGACTCGAAGCACACTTACTCCCAAGATCAAGAAGATTGCGGAACACCTGGAACTGCGACTCAAAGCCCGAAAGTGGACGCTTCGCACTCATGGGCCAAGCATTGTGAATGATGTGCGTGACAAACTGGATCAAACACGCGTACTCGCTATCCTTTACTCCAAGCTTGGGCTTCGAGGTATCAGCTTGGAAGATTCGCACCTTGGACTTGAGATGTTCTGGGAAGCGAATGCCCTTGTCTCTCATAGCCTTGTACTGACGAGTTGTAGGGTCTTCTCTGTTGGGGCGATTTAGACACACGATGGTGCGGACTTCTTCAAGTTGCGCGAGGGCGTAGACGAGATGGCTTCCCAAACCACCTGATGCGCCTGTGACGAGGACGACGCTTTCGTTTTTACCCAGAGGAGGACCATCGGCGGTTGAAGTGGGTGCTTTGAAGCCAGCGGTGTACTTGTTGACAAGTTCAGTAATTGCTTGTTCGCGCGCGGCGAGGTTGGAAGTGTCGCTGTGGGTGATGACTGTTTCTTGCGCGACAGCTTCAGAGACTACAGGTGCAGGAATGGCAGCAGGTTTAGTAACTGGAGTTGCCAAACCCATCTCTCTCGCCAACATAGTCTTCAGATCACCAACAGTTTGACACTCCAAGAACAATTGCTCATGCGCAATATCCAGACCAAAACTATCCTGGAACCGACTCGCAATAACAAGTGACAGAAGAGAATCAACGCCACAGTCAGCAAAATTCGTCTCATCATCCAGGTCAGATCTTGCAACACCACTCTCTTCAGAAATAATCTCAAGAGCGCGCTCAAACTCAACTTCAGCTGATTCAGCGAACTCTTCCTGTAGCTCTGGAGTAGCGCTTCCAGTGGTAGTCGTATCACGACCAGAGTCACTAGCTGCAGACGATGAACTTCCAGAAACATCTTCGTCTGCGTCGAGGAAGGTCCTCAGATCTTTGACGGTGGGATGTTCGAAGAACAGGGCGTTGAAGTCAAGATCTATGTCGAGTTCTTCTTGGAAACGAGCGGAGATGGTGAGACCGAGAAGGGAATCTATGCCGACGTCGGAGAAGGTTGTGCCGTCGGTGAAGTCGGAGACGTCAATTCCGCTTTCTTCTGAGATGATGCGGATTGCTGTGGAGAACTTTGGTGGTTCGACCTTTGCGGTTTGTTTGTTCTGTGTTGCTTTGGGAGCGGATTCTTTAGGTTGTGAAGGAGTGTTTCGGTGCTTGTCTTGAGTTTGGCGTTGAGGTTGGCCCTTCTTGCCGCTCTCGATTGACAGGATGACTTTGAGGACTCTTCGAGGAACACCCTGGATCTAAGAACTATCAGTACCTCACCAAAACACCATCATATGTGTATAGGGACTTACCGCGATCTGACCAAAGAATGCGACAACTCTATCCTGGTCAAAGATCGTCACATCACCATACCAGAGCTTATCCTCTCCAGCACGCATCTGAGTATAAGTAGTGTACTCCTTCTCAAAGTCCAAAGGCTCGAAAAGCTCAAGAGATCCCCAGCCATGGTTCATGTAAACGTCAACATCAATGTCAGTGTGATCATTGCAATTCATAGCAAAACCACAAGACTGAGTAAGAGCGTCGATGACGGCGGGATGGGTGTGGAAGTCACCGTCGCGCTTGACGGTGCCGAAGCTGATCTTGCTGGATGCTTCGAGGGTTTCACTGTTGAGGACTACTTCGTCGATGGCTCGGTAGTCATCGTGGAAGCGTGCGAGGGGGCGGATCATGCGGTAGGCCATGGGGCGATTGAAGCGTGCGCTTTCACCAGTGGTGATTTGGTTGCGAAGATTCTGCATCTTCTGCTTGGTGTTGCGGGCTTCGCTTTGGAGGGTGTCTTGATGGCTTCGATCTTTGAAGCGGACTACACAGGCGGAGTGCTCCTGCAGACTGCCCTTGTTCTGTCAGGTTGTAAGCATGTGCACTATTCTTATGGCTAAACTGATACTTACATCGAATGACATAAACTTGATTGAGACTGATTGAGATGACCAGTCTGCCTCAGCATGTGCCTGGATAGGCTGTCGAGATCCATCACCACGGAGGATCAAAGCCTTTGAGACAGTCATGTCCGAGACAACGACCATATCGTCTTTCTGCTGCGGCTGATATTTCTCAAGCAAGTACTTACCCAGAGTCAATGCGATATCAGCATAGACAGACGGCGTGCAGAGAGGAATTCCATCAACCTCATGACCTTGCACAAGCGGACTCAAGTCCTTGCGAGCAATATCAGCCTCGACAACAACGTGAGTCTTTTTAGAGTCACCACTCTCCTCAACAACACTATGAATGGTAGTGCTCTCAAGCTTGGACACATTGTTGATGACCAGAGGAGGCTCGCCCTTGCGCAGCGTCCAGTCATGGACGTACTTAATCCAGTACTCTTTAAGATCCCAACTATAAGCTGGAAGATCGATGACTGTGTGTGCGCCAGGAAAGTTACTCTGGTAATCAGCCCAGTTGATATTTGCTCCAGCGTCATAAAAGCTCTTAAGTGCTGCGGATAGCATGTCCCATGGTGCTCGGCTGCGCTGGAGAGACGCGACACAGGTGATCTGTTGACCAAGAGTGGGCTTGACCATACCCGAGACAGCTGGGTGAGGACCAACTTCGAGTACCATTGAGCGATCGTTGATATAGCCGTCGCGGTAAGCAGTGGTTAAAGCGGTGAGCATATTGACTGACTGTCGCGAGTGTCTAGCGAGATACGAAGCATCGAAAGGATTCTCATTGTCGATGACAGTGCCTTCCAAGGGGCATAGAACAGGGATTCTGGGGTCGGAGAAGGTCACCTTGCTGGCTAGCTTCTCCATGTCGGAAATCACTGGCTCCAGCTGAGATGAGTGGAAAGCGTAAGGGACCTTGAGAAGCGTGGTCTTGAAGCTAGCAGCAGTAAGTTGTTCCTTGACCTTGGAGATCTGCTCATTCGGGCCAGCGAGCACTGTCTCGATGGGAGAGTTGATACAAGCAGTCTCGTACTCTTGTCCCTTCAGAGCTTCAGCGATCTCGTCTTGGGATCCTTTCACCACAAGCATGGCATGAGTACCGCGAGTACACTTCTGCTCAAGCAACTGCGCTCGGCCTCCAACAAGGAAGAGCGTATCGGTGTCTGACAGAACCCCAGCGACATTCAGAGCAGCATATTCTCCAAGACTGTGTCCGACAACAGCAGTTGGAGCAATTCCCCAAGAAGCCCAAAGTTTGCTCAACGTGATCTGGAGACAAACACTAGCAAGCTGAACCAGCGAAGGCGCAAATTTGCTCACATCAGGCTCATCAGATTGAATGAAAGGGAGCATAGAAGGGAATCCCAAATTCTGAGCAATCTGGTCAAGTGAAAGAAGCTCATTTCGCACGAACTCATTCTCTTCAAACAGCTGCTTTCCCATTCCAGGGTATTGAGCTCCCTGGCCTGTGAAGGTGAAGACCACCTTGGGTGCAGCCTTGGGTCGCGTAACGCCACTGTTGTTCTGAAGAGCTGTTTCTATCTTGGAGCAGATGTCTTCGGGGGTAGAGCCAGGGATGAGAATACGGTGTTGGTGGTGGATGCGACGTGCTGTGGTTGTGTAGGAGAGCTCGGCGAGGGAGACGTGAGAGTTTGTGCTGAGGAACTTGAGCATTGAGCGCATGTTTCCTTGGAAGGAAACACCACTCTTCGCGGTAATGGCGATGGGGAATTGAACGCGAGAGTCATTACCAGCGATGAGTTGCTTCTTGGGTGGTGCATCCTGGATCAGCAACGCAGAGTTACCTCCCGCAGCACTGAAGTTGTTGACAAAGACACGTCTGGGGTTCGTCTCTGTGCCTTTCTTCCATTCTGTCGGCTCTAAAGCAATGCGGACGTTGCGCTTCTCGAGATCAGTGGGGAAGCGGTGGTTGATCTTGGTCTTGATACCGCAGTGTGGAACGATCATGTCCTTCTTTAGCATTTGAAGGACTTTGATGACACTACAGACACCAGAGGCAGCTTCACCGTGGCCGATATTTCCTTTTGCTGAGCCGATGTAAAGCTTTTGGGCATCTGTACGGGCGACTTTGCCGTCCCCTAGAGGAGGTGCGAAAGTCTCGAGGACACTGGACATTTCGGTGGCATCACCAGCTTGAGTACCTCTGTCATCGCGTTAGTAAGAGCCATTAGTGGGAACTGTGTCGACTTACGTTCCGTGCATCTCAACATAGCTGACTGTATAAGGATCAACAGCAGCCTCATTCAAGATCTTGTTAAAGATAACCCGCTGCGCACCAACATGCGGACGCGTGATCGACTCCGACTCAGCAGAATGGTTCGTATACGCACCAAGAACAACACCCAGGATCGGATCATTCTCAGCAATCGCATCATCAAGCCTCTTGATAATAATAGTCGCAACACCTTCACCTCGACAATATCCATCAGCACCATCGTCAAAGGTCTTGCAGTTACCAGTGCGCGAGAGAAAGTGTCCCCTGTCTAGACCAGCGTGATAATCAGGGTTGGTCAAGACATTGGTACCGCCGGCGATGGCAGTGTCGACGTCGCCTTGCCAGAGAGCGTTACAGGCAAGATGGATACCAGCTAAAGATGATGAGCACGCTGTGTCGACGGCGTAGCTTGGACCGCTGAACTTGAAGAAATAGTTGATGCGGCCGGGAATGAAAGCTCTGTTTCCGCCGGGGATGTAGTACGTGTCAATATTCTGGGCACTGTTCGTTTCCATCCAGTCATTGCTGGTGACGCCATAAAAGATACCAACGCGATCAGGACGAGTGGAGGGGGTAGCATCGGGAACGATACCAGCTTGTTCAATCGCCTCGTAGGCTGTCATGAGAGCTAACCTCTGCGCGGGATCAATCTGAGGAGCTTCTCGTGGGGAGATGTTGAAGAAACGAGCGTCAAACTCGGAAGGGTCATCTAGCCAGCAACCAAATGGCGTAGCGCTCGTGTTCTTTCCTGCGCCGGTTGGGTCGACGTGTGTTTGTTGATCCCAGCGAAGACTTGGAACGGGCTTGTGAACGTCGAGACCTTTGTAGAGAAGATCCCAGTAGGCTTCGTTGTCCCTTGCACCGGGGAACCGACCAGACATGGCGACGATAGCAAGCTTTGGCTTGTTTGTGCCGGCATTAAGAACGCTTGGGGCACTGGTAGGTTGGCTGGGCACAGTGGTTTCCGGGACGAGAGAGCGGAGGGATGTCTTCCTGAGAGCAGTGTAGATCAAATGCTCGGCATTCGAACCAATCGATTGAACACTAAACTTCTGAGATTCAGTAGCCTTAAGAGCCGCTTGAATATCGTCAAAGATTGAACTCCATCGCAGAGGATGAAGAAGAGCTTGAGCGATTGCATCTTCCAAGAGTGTCGCGAAGCTTCGCTCTTCAGGCTTGAAGCCTGTGCTGGAGAGAAGAGGGATCTGTTCCGATGGTGAAACAGCCTTGTTCAGCATCAAGCCATCAACAATACGTCGAGCGTCTCTCTGAGAGTACAGATGCGGCGCATGGTAAGCACCATAGATAGGAATAGCTTTGGACGTGATACTCTTGGAAGCAAGATAATGCGTGAGATCGCTAAGACGCTGAGGCGGACCGCTAACAGTGATGCCATTTGGTACATACGCACTGATATAAGGCATGCTAGTCAAGACGCCGCCATCCTACAAGATTATAACATTAGTATCCAGTTTCTGTTCCAGTGTGCAGTGTCACTTACGTTGGCATCCCAGAACTCCTGGACGGCTTTGGCTGCCTTTTGGCCAGGGACAAGAAGAGCCCAGCTTCTGTTCAAGTCTTGGTTTGGATCGACTCTTCGAGCTGTATCGGTGACGAGAAGACCTGTTCGGAAAGCTGCGACGACTGATGAAACGGCCATGGGGATCAAGTCTGCTGTAAAGCTACTGCAACTGACTGCGGCAGCTGCAAAAGCGCCGGTACAGAGACCAACGACCCTTGTATTCTGGGCATCATACGAAGAGATACCCGCTTGGCTATAGACAACATGAGCCCATATTCTTGATCAATCTTGGAGTTGGTTACTCACCTAATGAATGTACCAAGCTGATATAAAGTCGTCATCGCCATATCAAGCGCAACGCATCGCGGCCCGCTCTGATCCCAAAGAAGAAGATCTTCCTGGCACGTAAACCGCCGAAGATCCTTTCGAATATTATAAGGGATCTTGAAGAGCTCAGAGCGAAGGGCATTGTAACTCTGGTTCAGAAACTCATGAAGAAAGAGATTGTCGCGCTTCTGGAGGAGGTGCTGTAAGTGGGGTTGAACCTCAAAGGTTTGGTCTCCGAAGAGATATAACTTCATCTGAGTTGCCATGAAAAAGGTGTTGAATCTTGTTGATGTTTTGGTTGAAGTCTATGATGTCTTGTCTATGGTTACTTCTCTCTTTACTCTTGATGAGACGGTGCCTCTTTTATCTACCTTCACATCACTCCCATTTCTTCTCTTGACCTTATTTCATCGTCATCTTCTATCAGAGATCATCATTATCTTACTCGGAGTCCGGCAAATCAGACTCTCAATGCTCTGAATGCCGTCATCACGGCCCCCCATTGCCGACGTCAACAAAGAAGTTTCATTCCCGAGACTGAGCCTCATCATACCCTGATAACGCACATCTGACCCAAAACAGACATATTACCACTACTGTCGCACAAGGAATCAGCCCTGTTCCTGTATTAAGGGTTGTAAGACGGCGTCCGAGTCTCGGGAATTAGATCGGTTCAGCTCGGGAACTTCACGGCGACCAAGGACTTCGGACGCCGCTTGATCTCGTCATCTCTCATAAAGCCTGATACTATCACGTTGAACTCTCTCTGTGTTCAGGTCATCGACATACGTGAAAGATGGACAAGACGGATAGAGACGCTGTCATTGAGCATGCTACGCAGGTTAAACACCTCGTGCATGATCCTCACAGCTTCCTCACCGAGTTGGTCGCTCAGCAACAGCAGTATCACTGCGTCGCCTGGCTTTGCCACTTCGACATTCTCTCCAAGATTCCGCAGCCACCAGAATCTATCACCTATTCTGATGTCGCCACCAAGGCCAAAGTCCCGCTATCAAAGCTGCGGTCTGTAGCGCGCATGGCAATGACCACTGGTTTACTCTGCGAGACCAAAAATGGCAAGCTTTCTCATAGTAACCTCTCTGTACAGTTCGTTACCAATGTCCATATGAAGACACAGCTTCTTCATATCTTCAATCAGACTGTTCCTCTCATGGCAGGCTTGATTAAAGCTACGGAGAAATGGGGCGAGACGACTGCGACTAATGAGACGGCTTACAATATTGTTCACAACACTGAGCTGGCGTTCTTTGAGCACTTGAAGACACAACCTGATCTCAATGAGGGCTTTCAGGCCTACATGAAGAGTCGTGCTGTGTCTCATACTGGCTCTAACGTTGAGCATCTGCTGAATGCTTTTGACTGGAAGTCTTTAGGCCAAGCCCAAGTCGTCGATGTAAGTCTCCAGCTCAAATACAGGGAACAAATACTGATGATGGACAGATTGGCGGAAGCAGTGGCTCAACGTCCATCATGCTGGCGACGGCGTTCCCGTTACTCAATCTCGTTATTGAAGACCTCTCAGAACCCATTGAGAACGCCAAGACGCGTATCTCTGATCTACCATCAGACATCAAGTCTCGCATTGAGATCAAGGCATACGACTTCTTCACTCCCCAACCCGTCAAAAACGCTGATGTTTACCTCTTGCGCACCATTCTTCACGACTGGCCCGACGTTGATGCCATCAAGATCCTTCAAGGCATCGTCGCAGCCATGGGTCCGTCCAGTCGCTTGCTGATCATGGACATGGTGCTGCCAAAGCCAGGTTCTGGGTCTCGAACCTTTGAAGCGGCTTTGAGACAGAAGGATCTTACTATGATTCAGTGCTTCAATGCACAGGAGCGTGAAGTTGAGGAGTGGAATGCCTTGCTTACCAAGGCTGATCCGAGATTGAAGATACAGGCAATTGAGAGACCTGCTGGGAGTGAGTTGTCGGTCATTGAGGCTACGCTTGATGAGTCTCCGGGGCAGCCGGCGTGGTTTTAGACGATTTTATAGACTGATCCTAAATGAGGTGTGTCTCGATTCGCCTACTCGTGCTTTTTTGTGTGATCGTGATACTTGTCGTGATGTTCTGGAGATTGAGTGACGGCAGTCAGTTCCAAGGGCTTCTCTCTACAGGATCAATGAGTCTAACATGCTGCTCTACTTACGTCGTCTCCGCTTGTTGGTCAGCGGGAGAAGTGGTGAAGTTATATTTCCATGAGAACTGCCTTGTTTCATCACGCTCCCCTGACATCCCAACGTATCGCGTCGGGATCGCGAGATCACTGGTCAGTCGTGATGTTGAATACATGATGGAGCATCATCAACGTCTTGGTCATTCTCGCGCGTTAAACAAAAGCACTCAATTGACAAACCCAAACTATCTACCGCCATTCATACATATCTAAGACCAGTCTCCATCCTGAAGATCCTCCAACTTCTGTCCCGCTTTAATTTGCTCCTGCACCTCCTTCATAGTCCAATGCCTATACTTATGCCCCTTCGGAAAATTCGTATTGACCAGCGGAACCCTCCCTCCACTAACAACATGTGTCAACGCCTCAGCAAACTTCTCATACGCATATGCCTCCGGATCATGCGACCACACCCACTTCGGATATCTCGATCTAATCAGCGCCGGATTCTTCATGATCGCGTCCCAATCCGTATGCTGCTTGAGCTGCTGGTTAACAAACCCCATTTTCTGTCCACAACTGACTCTCTGAAAGCGCAGTTTGTTGTATACCTTGGTTGCATTGGCGGCTTGGGATTTGCCGCCCAGTTGGAGACATGTTGCGAGGGTCACGCCGTCTTCTATGGCTTGGGTTGCGCCATTGCCGGATGTGGGAAGGAATGCGTGCGCTGCGTCGCCGAGTTGTACGACGCGGCCGCCGGGGGATGTCCATTGTTCGTGGGGATCGCGGAATTTGAGTTGCCAGTTCACGACGGAGCCTTTGGGGGCGGTGCGGATGAAGGCGGCGACTGAGGGGTGAACGGCGTCATTCTTTTCCATTTCGGTAATGACTTCTGCTGGGTCGATATCTGGGATCCAGGATTCACTGGCGGATTCGGCGTGCTGGGGTGTTTGTCAGTGGTTTGCTGGGGGTCAGATAGGGGGTGACTTACGGAATGGATGAAGCTCCAGAAAGCGAGATCGTGAGTCAAACACATCATGTTGTGAGAACCGTTTCTGCAGATGTCAGTATATCCTCTCATCGGCTTCAGTCAACTCACCCAAGCCAGAACTGCCAAATCGGCTTATCACCAGGCTTAAAGTTCCACATCTCCCTAACCTTGGGGTCCTTAAGCGCATGTTCAACAGGATAGCCCGCACGATAAATCGCATTTCCACTCGTCATCAACTGGTCCGGCATACCAGGAACAACAGTATTGCTCTTCGTCCTCAGCCCATCAGCAGCAACAACAACATCCGCCGTTCTCTTCTCCTCATTCTCAAGAACAACACCCCCCGCACAACCTTCAATATCCTCCCAGTACTCAACAACCTTACATCCCCACTCAACATGAATACCCACGCGTTCCGCCTGTTTCAAGAACGCGCGGTACAACTTGATACGAGAATGAGCATTGACAGAGGGGAAACCACGACGGCCGGGTAAATGCTCTGGATCGTTGAACATAGGCGGTGCAGGGCCCCAGATGCGCTCGCCGGTTTGTCTATAGTAAGACATGTCGACGTCGTACTGGTTTTCTTCAATCTCATAACCCATGTCAGGCCAGTGGCGCAGAAGAAGAATAGCGCTGGGTTGGATTTGAACATTATCGCCTGTCCAGATTGGACTGGGACTGCGTTCAATAACGCGAACGTTATGCCCTTTGCGCCAACATTCAAGGGCGCAGGTAATCCCGCCTAGACCGGCGCCTGCGATGAGGACGTTGATACCGGTGGAGGGGTAGCGAAAGACTTGGATATCAATTCCTCGTTTGATGGAGTCATCGAGTCTTTCTTGGGAAAAGGTTGGGTATTCTTGATGACCGCCGTTGAGAGTGTTGTTTGGCTTCTCGTCAACGGGATTGTCAACCACAATGGGGTGAGTGCCGTTTGTCTGTGTGCTTGCCATGTTTTCCAGTTGCATTTTCTTGATCAAGTGTAGAAAGAGGTATATTATTGTCTGGGAAGACTTCGAAAAGGTGAACTTCTTCTGAGATTTTGTGGCGAGTCCTCTATTTGAAGCCAAGTAGACCGGCGATGCTTGGTGTTCTTGGCATTCTATTGTCAACAACGCCACAGTCTCCAGCTGTCTCTGTACAATGTCAGTCCCCGAAATGGATCCCGAAGAAATCCCCATACAGTTTCAATTACTTCGCTATCTCAATTGATTCCCTTGGCGTACGGTGGACGTCAAAGTTGATCCGATTTGGCTCGCGTCTGTAAACCAACATTGACACTCCGACTCCATGACACCATGACTGTGCTTAGTATCTTCAAGGCATCATATCTCATCCACAGGTCGATAGATAATACGACGTCGATATCACGAGAGAATTCGTTCTTTGTTTCGGGGCCCGAATCCCAATTCGGCTACGTCTTTGCGTCTGTGTAACGGCCGTGGCGCTGGGACTCCGTTGTTGTCGACGCCTGGATCGATCCGTACCGTAGCGGCATCTCATCTACGCCTCTTTCTTCACGGGTGCCGAGTTCCGGGGACTCGGGTTGCTAGAATGGTCTTCTACAATATGGCGTGCCGTAGGTGTAGTCAGAAGTAGGTGCTCTGGGGACGTCCGTTCCTTGCGGGCGAGAACCAGCTACAGACGCTGGAGCCCTGGACGGACACTTTACTGGAGAAATACTGTGACAATTCCCAAATATGTATTCTTTTTCCAGATATTCTTCTGCTGTCTGTATGTCTACTCTATCCACTTGGTGTCCGAAGGGATTCTTAATGCGAAGGCTCGACTCGTGTATCCGCGATTTTGTAGACATACTTCACCGCACTAGCCTTTCCGTTCTTCAAGTCCGTCAATCCCTTCTCTAGACCTCCCAAGCCCCCAGGCACGACCTCTTGCGGATGTGCCTTGAACCATCCGTCCTCAAGCCCTCTACTGAAGTATCTCGAAAACGCCCAGGCGAGTGTCTTCAGGTCTTCATGTACACTAGCAACCGTAGTGACTGACTTCTCAATGGTTTTCGGGATATCAGAATAGCTTTGCGCTGGGATAATGAGAGTGATCTTTCCAGTTTGGTGATCTAGGACGTCGCAGATTGTCTGGTAAGATCCCATCTCAGAGACTGCGTCAAAGGCGTACTCTAGCTTTTTGCCTTTGAGACTAGCCTTGATCTCGTGGGCGGCTGCCTCACGTCCCTTTCTGTAGTCAATGACTGCGTCGCCCCTGGATCTGTCAATCATTCTCTCGACATGCTCTTGCGCACGACCAGCGATGCAGATGAGAGGGTGGATGTTGGACTTCTTGGCCAGTTGAACCGCGTATGACCCAACGGCTGATGAAGCTCCCCAAATCACAAGGGGTAACTTTTGGATGTCGGAGATTGGATGCGTCGGGGTTGGAAGATTGAGCTTTGCGTAGAGTGCACTAGCCGCAGTGAATGCAGCAAAGGGTATGGCAGCACCCTCTGCAACCACAAGGTCAGCCAACACCGCACGTATAAGCATACGATACGGTCTGCTTACCTCGAAAAGTAGTGTGTTCAGGTAGGTGAATGGTGGTGTATGCCCAGCTTACACCATACTCTGCATAACTCCCATTAGGCTGCTTTCCCTCGTGCATCGCCGCGACGCGATCGCCAATTCTGAAGTCAGAGACTCCCTCGCCCACTTCACTAACTATTCCAGAGTGATCATCGCCCTGGTTGATGGCGGCCTTGCTTCCCCAGTACTCAGGTCGTTTCCTCCCACAATATCAGTCTGGGTATGAGTGAGAGTCGTTTAGGGTGCTCACCAATCCTTGGGGTTACTACCAGCGTATTCAATCTTGACAACAACTTGTCCAGGTCCCGCTTTTGGAATCGCACTTTCAATGATTTGGACTTTTGGTCCGCGCGATACAATCGCTTCTTTCATTGTGCTGGCCGCTCTGATTTGCGATGAGAGTGCCTGAAGGCGGTTGATAGAGGTGCGATTGCGCAAATGAGAAAGCATTGTGATGACATGATCCTCAATCCATCTTTCTTTGCCAAAGACACCAATAATTAGGCATCAATGAAGCTGCATTCAATGCATTGCGTCCCGTCGTTTCGTGTATCACGACTTAGACGGTCGGAGCTTGAGTGGCTAAAATCCGAACAGCGAATGTCAACAGCGAGAGGCCGAAAGAGGCGTAGCTTCACAGTGTTCGGGAAGCGGCTTTAGTGCCGAGGCGCGAGAATGATGGAGCCAATGGATTTGACGTGAAACGTCTCACGGCATTTACGAGCTTATTCTAGGTGAGGCTGCTTATGTTTTAATTCCCGTGTCGGGTAAATGCAATCTCTGCTACACTCTGATTGTGGTGTCTGCCGTCTTATCTCGCGTTCTCAAGCGGAGCCAGCTTCTGGAGGACCTGCAGCAGTTCAAGCTCAGTTCAAGCTCAGTTCCGCCATTGTCGCTTCTGTCATAGCCACTGGTACCTGAGCGGATTGAAATGAACGATGTGTCTTATAATTGAGATCTAGGACGATGTTAAAGATCGCTTTTACGGGTGAAGCAAGTTTGATAGTGATGTTGTTATGTCTTGTGATATTTCATGGTGTTTTAATGCCAATCACCCTACAACCCCACCCCACCTCAGCCATCTAAGACAGCAATGTTCCTCCCGTAGTCTCAACAACACTACCAGAAGTATTCTTGTTCTTCATCAAGTACAAATACGCCTCCACAACGTCCTCAACCTTTCCAATCTCCCCAGTCGTCATTCTTCCCTTCAAGTGCCCAGTCACATTATCCCAATAACCCATCTCCTTGACGTAGCTCCAGATTTCAGTGTCTGTTGGACCTTGCGCAACAGCATTGACGCGAATCGGCGCAAGATCAACAGCCAAACCACGGATCATACCGCGAAGTCCAGAGAGGTACGAGTACATGATGGACCAGTCCTTGGAAACATGCTCGGTAGCACCACCGGTAGCGACGGTGAATGATGAAGAACCGCTTTCGTTCAAGTGCTTGCGGAGTTGCTGCGCGACAACGAGTGGTGCGAAGAAACGCACGGTACCAGCTTGACGAATAGCATCGAGAGTAAAATCCTCAAGTTTCCCAACAGCGAGTTTATCACCGGCTGTGAAGACAACGTGGTCTAGTTTTCCAGACTTGGCGACCTCGGTGAAAAGGTTCTCAACCTCTGAGGTGAGCGTGTCAGGTGAACCCAAGTTGCAAGGGAAGCCGTGAAGTTGAGCCTTGGCGGATTGGTTGTTTTCTTTGAGGCGCTCAATGGCGCTGGAGATCTTTGTCTGGGACGACGAGGAGATAAAAACAGAGGAGGCGCCGTTTTGAATTGCTGCTTCTGCGACGCCGAAGCCGATTCCTGATGAACCACCGATGACAAGGACGCGTGATCCTGCAAGCTTGGAGACGTACTTTCCGAGTGAAGCCATTTTGATGTGTACGTTTGAAAGAGTGAGGTGAAAGATGAGGTTATTGGTAGAGGGTAAAAGGTGAAGAGGAGAGAGTTGTTTACTGAGCAACGTAGATACGCCTTTTATGTCTTGGGTGGTATGGCTCAAGCAAACATGGCTTACATGGCTTGAGCTAAGTCCTATTGTCAAGGTGTTAGTCCCCGCCCCAAGCCATGGCACTGTTTGATCGACCAACCACTTAAAACGACCCCTCATAATGACAGAATAATCTGTGAATCATGGAGAGGGAAATGTCTCGGAGTCCGGGATTGTTCCTTGCCGATTTTGTGTCTGTGTAACTTGATGCCTGCCCGATGAGTGCCCCGCTGTATGCAGGACGACCAACTTCTCGCGACTGTACTCAAGAGCGAGGCCGAAACAGGGGTCAAATGCCTTCTTTCTCTACACGATCTCGGAGATAAAAAAGGAAACAAAAATAAGGCTGAAGGTAAGAAATGATAGAGCAGTTTGGAACCGTTGAATTCGACACGTGCAAGGGCTCTTTCAATAAGCCGCCACACAATTCGTCAACTAGCTTGATAGTCATAATGGTTGTGAATCACAGAGCCTAGCCTTATCAGGTACATATTAGTCTTGGTATCATAGAGCGTAGGTGCATCTGCCGTAGAATGCTTCCTCTTTTCGGCAACACTGAGGAAACAACAAGCCCTCACGTCAGATGCAGTCCCGATCCAGTAATCCTGGCTCCTGGCGCTATGCAGAGCAGGTAGAAATCAAGGCCTGGACCGGATATCTGCTTCAATATTTATGCATGAGAATCTTGTTAAGTCTCACGATATCCATGCGTTATTCCACTGAAGGTAAGACATGATCATTATTTCATTCCGTCAGGTATGTGTCGGCTTCCGAATTCCAGGCACGCATGCATCCGCAACTGCCAGCCAATCTGTAGACCACAGAGCAGAGACACTGTTTCAGGGTCCGATGTGACTCTGAAACCACGAAAAGATATTGAGAGAGAATATACCTACTCACCTTGTGCCATGTTGTATCGCATGATACAAAATCGCATGGAATATCAAGTGACAAAGCCAAAAGCACATGTAGGCTTACTAGAAGTAATGCATTGCACCTGTGATAGCATGGAAGCTTACATGAGTAGAGTATGGACGTTGTGGCGCCACGCACGACTCGGCGTTCGGGCTGGTAATGGGCCGGCTTCAACTTGCTTCGTGTTGCACCTGATGACGACAGTGAGGCTTAAGGGCTTACTCGATATACCTTCACTCAAAACATCAATGCACTCACTGTGAATGAGGAGAAGATCAGTGACATTGAAGTTGTAGTGATTGGAAATGATAGTTACAGTGTATGGTTAGCGAGTTGCTGAGCTATATATCTAAAGACCTCGTTGGAACCCCAAGAGAATGACGTAGATCAAACAATTCAGCCCTTTATATACAGTTTGCAAAATTCAATGAATGAATCTGTTCATACCAACTCTCCTTGACCCTTCTTAATCTTCTGAATAATCCCCTGCAACTCCTCCCTCATGTTCCTCACAGCAACAACATGCCAATTCAACCCGCCATCATCCCCCCAGCAAAAGAATCAAACGTCTCCATAACCTTCTCCGCCTTTCTCAACTCTCTCAAAACCACAGTCCTCTGCAGTGTAGCTTGGTCCTCATCATCGAGATCCAACATCCCAAGCTGAATCTTCATAGGTCGTAGCTCAACTCCGTCAGTGTAATACCGTGCTGTGACTGCAACTCTATACCAGAATATGACTTTTGATAAGATTGCGCTGTGCAGAATTGCGATATGGGGGTTTCGTGCGCAGTGGCATTTGAGGAGGGGGATGAGGTTTGTTAGGGCGGCTTTGTTGACGGATAGGACTGTGTCAATGGACGGGATTGAACAGCTTTGTTTTGTGGGATTGGGGGATACTTTGCAGATGCTTTGGTCTGTGGTGGAGTTGCAGTGCAGTGATCTCAAAACCTTGAGAGCAATGGCCTCACATTCATGAGGGTGCTTTGCACCTTGCATGACTGTTGGTTCCGGTGCTTTGATCGACAATATCGGCTCAGTCGATAAACTTAAATCAGGTGATACCATACCACTCGACTGAGACGCAGTAGTATCCGACATAAAACCCAAAGACTTCCACGGATCAACCCAAGATATACCGTTCCCATCGTCAAAGTCAACAGTGACGTCGACACTGTGAGACGCCCAACTATCCAACATCTCAAGATCACCAGCCGAGTATGTATTGTAGTCCTCCCACGCATTCGTAAACTGCGTCGTAACACTATTATCCTGTGTATTCTTCCTCAGTCGAGCCCGTTTCCCATGTCGTCGTGAAGCGCTGTAGCAGCACTCTTTCTCCTGCCCGTTGTCCTCGCAGCGCTCGCAGGGGTGAGTCCTGCTGCAGCGGACCTTGGCTGTTGTACAAGCGTCGCAAGCGAGGCGCAGCCGGACGGGCTTTGCGGACCGAGCTTCGGACATTGTTGTGTTTGAGATTTGCGAGTGGTCTTGGCTTGTGGTTTGTAGAGCTTTGGTTTGAGTTGTTGTTTGATACATATATGAAGCACTGTGGTTGTTTTTGCCAAGGGGTTATTGCGAGCCGCGTGAATGGGAGGGTTGGAAAATAGACGCCATCTGTGGTCTAGTCTAAGCCCGTCATGTCGGCGTGGTAGGACGGTAAGCGGCTGGCTGACAACCTTCTGCCTATTACAAAGGATTTATGGCCATTATACTATCTACACTGACCAGTCGTGCTATTGGAAAGCTCCTCTAAAATCCTTTGCTACCGTGTCTATTCCAACAAGCCCAGAACGACCATGGGCCCCAATCCTTTGAGATTCAATTATCCGAGTACTGCCGTTTCACATGCGAAGGGAATAGCATCATGTCAATGGTTTGAGGCTAGTATAGACAATAACAACCAACAGAGGCTTCAAAGTCAAAATGAGCTAGAAGCTACGCCGGTCACCGCCGTCAGCCATATCAAACACACCTTCAACGGGAAAGGCTGCTTGCGTATGCAAGAGCCCCAAAGTACCGGCCGATGGCAACGGAGTCCGGACATGTTCAGGATTCCATCTTACTCCGGACCTCGGCCGCCTAGATACCTACCCGTCTGTAACCAATCGGAACGGCAATCAACTGCATAAGAATTAGATGAGGCATGATAGATCTTCTTTTGTAAGGGATAAGAGGATTACAGCGTGGTCCTTGCGGATCAGCGGAGAATTACTTGGTTACGGTGCCAAGATCTTGGTTTGACAGGAAATACGAGCAAACCGACGAGTCTCTGATTCATGAACTGCTGTGTCGGAATCTTGTGGTGAAAATGATGTCACGTCATTGCATAATCAAGCCACTTTTTATCGTGGAAAAGCCATACCTGAAATACTGTTTCACAACTTAGATACGGCACAAAGGAAGCAATCCGCAGTATCTGTTTTGGCGTGCTTGATTACGCCATGTAAGCTGTGCGACCACTCAAAAATAAAAATAAGATAAGGGCTCTTTGCACTCAGGTCCCAGTGACAGATAATGAGCCTCAATTGAGAAGATGGCATATCTGCGGGGTCAGATCAATGGTGTTGCAACGGGGCTTCGGGGTAAGATGGGAAGTAAAGATCTTACAGAGACGTTTGAGGTGGCCCTGATTGAAGATAGTGGTATTACTTGCTCGTCGGCCGCCGTTTGCTGACCTCAGAGGCTTTTTTTGTATATCCCCAAATGTCGTCCAACCACAATAATCGCTGGAATCTTCTGTCGCTGAGATCTTAAGGCTTTTTTCCCTTTTTTTGCTGCGGCTCACTCAGCCTTGTCTTATCACGTAACACACATGATGCGGAGACGTGTGCCGATCCCAAAGCCGTCAGCAATGACATTTCCTCCCTTGTCAACAACCAACAAGACATAATCTGATTACCTGTTTTGTCATGCAGTTTTCTATTCTCGCTGCTATAATCGCAGCGACGATCGGAAAATACTACGATGTCGTGCGCTCTGAAATACCCGCTACACGATCGTTCTTCTACGTCGGTGGGCGGTACGACGATGATGGTGACGGCGGCCATGTTTTTCGGGACCAGATGTATGTCGAGAAACTCGCCCCTGTAAAGGGAGCTTGGAAAGATACGCCTATTGTTATGATTCACGGTATGGCGCAGACAGGGACTGTAAGTATCTCCGTGAAATTTCGGGAGCCGTGTGTACTGAAACCTTTGCCACGTTAGAATTTCCTCAACAAGCCCGACGGTGGAGTTGGTTGGGCCTCGAGATTTATCGAGCAGGGTTATGAAGTGTACATTGTTGATCAGACTTTTCGGGGGAGATCTGCTTGGATGCCTGGACAAGGCGCTGCTAAGCCAAACACTCTTTCGGCCGAGGCTGTTGAGGTTGCGTTTACTGATTCGAAGACGCATATGCTCTGGCCTCAGGCTATCAACCATACCCAATGGCCTGGCTTAGGAGTTCGTGGCGATCCAGTGTTTGATGCTTTCTACAGCTCTAATGTGGAGTTTGTTGATAATACGACCTATCAACAGACTTCTGTTCAAGCAGCTGGTGCAGCGTTACTGGATAAGATTGGGAAGCCAGCTGTTCTTTTGGGACATAGTCAGGGAAGCTTTATGCCTACGTTGATCGCTGACGTAAGGCCGGAGCTTACGAAAAGTATCGTGCTCTTGGAAGCTGCTGGACCGCCGTTCAAAGATGAGATTTTCAAATTTGGTGGAGAGTTTCCTCGACCATGGGGTCTCTGGGACGTCCCAATCACGTATGATCCTCCTGTCACGGATCCCAAAAAGGACCTTGTTCAAAAGGTTCATGCTCAAAAGGATGATTTGTCTACAGAGTGTATACTCCAGGCTGATGAGCCTGCGCCACGCAAGTTGGTAAACTTGATGGACATTCCTATTCTTATCGTCACCGGGGAGGCATCATACCATATGCCGTATGAGCATTGCACTGCTGCTTATTATCGACAGGCGGGGTGTTTGAAGACGGACCATATTGAGCTGGGGACTATTGGTATTCACGGGAATGGGCATATGCTTTTCATGGAGAAGAACAGCGACGAGATACATGCTGTCGTAGAGAAATGGATACGTAAAACTTAGGTTCAGAATATCATCACAATTTTTCGCGACCGACAAGTCATAACATTATCAATTCTTTGCAAATTGTGTGTGAATCTCATGGTCTGTTTCATTGGCTCCAGTCGTGATCTAGCTTTCCCAAATTCACGATATCCAGTCAACACCAACATAAAGTTACGATACATGTGCCCTGCCCTTATCACTAGCATCACGTTACCGAATATCCAAACCTATTCAACAGTAACTTTCAACGCGTCCCAAGGCAGATTATATGCTTTTCTCTACCTTCGTGCAATATTTTCCAACCATGCCTTACTTCCAATTTCTCTCCCCCTTTCAACCATTTTCCAGGTCAAAATTCCTGCAGCATCATCCGCTGCCGCCAACATGCCACGCAATTACCAATGCGAAATGGAACGACTCTTCAGCCGAGAATCTCGGTATACCATCTGGCGAAAATTATGGTTTTGGCTTGCAGCAAGCCAGAAGGAGCTTGGCATCGTCTACCTCGTCCCCATTCCCAACTCCGAACCCCCGGCATTCACAGAAGAGAGAATCGATGATGATGATCTCGAACAGCTGAGGCACTGTTGTTACGTCTCCAGTCGTGATGTTGCTGTTCCGAATATGCGTCAGCTGAGTCCCGATCACAAATTGGTATGTGGCGTCCTGTCGTTCTTAGATTGTAACGTTTATCTAACTATATTTGTAGGATCTTCGAGCTGTAAGATCGATCATCTTGAACCGTGGGTAACAACTAATCTTTGATGTAGCAATTTCACTTCGTCACTGATATTGATGCCCCACGATCTGAGTACTGGCTCAACATTGGCGTCACCCCCGAGTACATTCTCGAAAACACTGAGCAAATCCTCATGAGGGATGCCCTCGATATCTTGAACACTAAGCTCTCCATGCTTCTCTACCGCCTCCAAAACTTTGCCATGGACCACAAGTCTGTACAATGTCTCATGTATGAGTCTGACCTCGATAAAACCGCCTACGTTACCACGATCGGAGACAGAGGTCAGTAAGCTATTAACGGTTGATTTCTGCAAGATCTAACACTATTTACAGCTGCTGGCTGGGCTAAGAAACTCGTCATACTTTTGAGGGCTTTCCAGACAGCTCGACTTGAGGTGGGATCCGCTGGATCCCAACCAATCACTCAAAGTGAAAAGTATAATATAGAATTTTCCGACAAGCTATCTATGCTGGAGCAGTAAGAGTTTGCTTGCACTTTCAATTGCTGCATAGGCTAATATGCTTTAGCTTTGAGGGTGATCAATCGAAGTGCGAGAGGCTTGATGACCTCATCCGTCAAAAGCTCAGATTCCAGGAATGTCGAGCAGTAAGTGAACTAGGTCCCTCGACTCTATTGATCTCAGCTAACTCCTCCCCAGAGAGACTACCTGGCATAGTAAGACTACCAGTTTTATAGAGCTCGGTCATATGCTGATGCATGATTTAGCCGGCGAACTATCAACGCAAATTTGGGGTTTATTTGTATCTTGCTAGGCAGCGCAGCTGTTTCAGTTGTGAAGGATCTGGACCACTTCGACGATGGTGAGCAGTTGGTGGAAAAAAGAGCGAACCGCAATGGATCGCCTGTCACGGTAAGTTGCCCATCTGTTGTACAATAAGCGTTTCGCTGACTGAGTTTAAAGGACGAAGACCCAAAGTTCAGACAATCCGGGATCCTCAAGGGTGCTGCAGAGGCGCTCATGCGGGTCTCAATTTCGTTCAGGGATCCCGGGGTGTCTAAGACCGAAGGACAGGTAAATGATCAAGTTACGTCTTTGTTCCTTCTTTTTATTGACTTGTATCAGGACGAATACATCATGGCACGGATGTTCAAACAGGCTGTACGAGTCGTCAACGTACTCCAAAGTATCGTTGAAGGTCTTTACTGCGATCCAGAGAACGGACACAACGTCAAATGGTCCGAGATACCATACATGATGATTGATCCTCTCATCAGAAGACTGATGCTCCGCGGCGAGGTTCGACAAGAGTAAGGTGACCCCGATACACATCTTGAATAGCATACTAACAGATATAGCATCCTCTGGCATTTGAACAACATTAGCCTCTCGTTGAAGGATGAGCCGCAAGAAGGGCGAACGGATCGCTTTCTCGAGACGATCACCAGCTACAATTTCTTCAGGAGATATTTTTACGACATGAAGGAAATCGTCTTGTCACTTCAGGATGTATCGGAGAGTGAAAGACGAGTTGATGAAATTTGTGGACGGAATGGTGCTATTGACAGGGTACTTCTGCCTTATCGGCCGTATATTCGGGAGATGACTGCTGGGGAGAGGCAGGCGGCGCAACCTCTGATGATTGAGCCTGCGTAGGGCAAAGAGATGTTCCGGTAGTTCTTTGGTTGGCTGTTGGTGTTTTGGAGTTTGGTCTTTTAAAGAGGCTTTGGGATGTGCTGAATTACTTTTGTGCTGAGATGGGGGCGTTTTGATATGTCTTGGCAGTTCGCGGAGTATACGGCCGATGATTCACAGCCTTGTATAAATCAGATTGGAATAAGGGGCACAAGTTTAGTCTGAAGCAATTGTTTATGGTTCTGGCAGGCAGTCAATTGTGACGTAATCCTATGGTTGATTCTTATTCCGTGATTCTTCAGCTTACACAATCCGCCTTTCTCCCTCCTCAACTTCTCCTCCCAACATCACATGGGTGCTCAACAACACCATAACAACACCTCTTCAGAAATTTATATTGACATCTCTCTATTCTCAATATTCATCAGAATCATTTGTCTTTTGCCAACTTCGGAAAAGAAAGTCCTGTTGCACTGCCATCACGGTCTTCTTTTTGCACGGTATGAGGCTGAGTAGAGATCTTCAACTGAACACCGCTAATGCCCTCTCTCCAGTCAACAATATCCCTCACCAACAGCCATCCCCAGAGCCATACTTTGCATACATCTGCACTACATGCAGCCATCTTGTACACCTGCCTCTGTTTCTCTTCCAGCATCCATCGCGGACGTCACTCCCCTTCCAGCGTTCGATCATTTTCTTTTAAGCAACCGAACTGCTCTCATAGCGCACCGGACCAAAAATCCAGGATTACACTCAACTTAATCGTAAGACAGAAAATGTTCGCTTATCATTGACATCCTATAAACTTCTCTTGCTAACTTGTGCAGACCATATCGCTTCTTCAAACCCTTTGATCCAAGAACTTCATGGAACCGTGCTTCTGAAGTTTCATCAAAAGTGGAATCACGATAGCTGATCGTTGTAAACGATTGATACAAGTTCACTATATCTGGACATTGCTTCTCTGGAGCTTGGTCAAATACCATGGCAAATGAAATGCGGAAACCCTCAGCGGTGAAAAAAGCGAAGCGGACAATGAGGCTCAAAGGGAAAGACCATGACTATGGTGAGACCCAGGAGCCTGATGTTTTCCTGTCTCGAGGAGGACAGCAACTAGAACTAATGGACGAAGAACGACACCTTAGCTTTCCAGCGAAAGCTTCTCCATCAGCCTGGACAAAGAGTAATATCATCGGCACCGATGAATCTATATCTCTATCGCAAACTAAAACAACTGGAGAGAGAACCATCTGGAGCCCAGGGCTAGTTACCGATCTTAATGAGAACGGCAACCCGACAAAAGTTACTGGTCGAAAGGTGGATGAGAGACATCTGGCATTTAAACTGGCTGCCAGAGCTTGCGATGGGGGCAGATTTCTCAATGGCAAGATGAAACAGTTGCTGGGTATACAAAGTGGCACTGAGCTCGCGACGAACGAAAAGGTCAGCTGCGTGTTTGTTGGGATATCACCACTCAACTGCCAGCCCATCTTCATGATGAAGTCGGATACTCAATGTTTCCCTGAGAGCTTTGACGGTGTTTCACTTCAACAGAAGACTGAAGAATCATTACATCTCGACAATACAGCATCTGTCACATTGATTACTGAACCAGAGGGCTATGTCCCTGGCCACCAGATCATCTGGACTGAGAATATGCTGATTCCAGGCAATATCTCATATGTCAAGCGTGCGCTCCACGATCGCCTAGCTGACGATGAGAAGAATCGATTTCTTCAGGTTATGAGGCGAGAACACGGCCTTCTTGAAGCTGGGAGTGGTCCAGCTGGGGTTGCTAAGACCCTACCGTCTAATGAAGCACCAGACCGAAAGCCGTTGCTTCGTCGCGCTATTCAGGGTGGCAAAGATTATACCAATCTGCATTTTATTCTGCGGTGGCCTCCAATGGCCCTGCTGGAAATCCCCCCCGGCATGATCGAAGAAATGCAAGACTTTCTAAACAAGCATCCATCTGATAATGTGCCCTTGAACATTGCACTGGCCGCAACAATCATTTACTTCGATATTGAGGAAACAGAAGATCACCAAAGGGAGGGTTTTCTGGATTCCTTCCACAAAAAGCCATCTCTTGTGAAAAGGGCTCCTCTGGGGGCTCTTATTATATTCTTTCCCCACATGCTAAGGTTCGTGGAAAAAAACCACTTAACAGCATTCATTCATCCATTCCGGTTCACCAATACGCATAACTCCACTCATCATCCCTCCAGAGTCAGTTCCACTCGTAATGACCTAAATCCATCCTCAATGCGCTCCTGGTACTACCAGATAAGGTCTCGTCATCCGCAAGTGTCCGCGGACTTAAGGTTCACTCTGATTCCTGCATCCATGCCGGGAACTACTATGGTATTTCCTCAAGACTGCAAACATGCTCAAAAGCCATCACCTGATCTTTTCAAACTATGTTGCTTGAATGACGTGCGAACTCTTGGGCTTCCCAGTTACTCCCATGATCGAGAGCGCGATTTCAAGTGGGTAGGAGGACCCATGTGGCTCTTTTCAGAAGCAGTTCGGCAAACCCAGATTGCCTACTATCAACTTGATGGTGATCCTTCTATCAACTATTGGAAGGCTGACCGTCTCGGAGGATTCAGAGCTCTTACCGGTCCGGCAAGAATAATTGACTCTGTCTTCCCGGATGTAGGGTCTGATTATTACCAGAAAGAGACCATAACCTCTTGTGTCGAGCGGTGGTTTGGCAATGAGACCTCTTACACTCAGAACTTCCAATTTTGCCACGACAATCCAGAGCTTGAACGAAAGAACATGGCAACCAGGGTAGACGAGCTCATCAGGATTGCCGATCGCTTGGGCATTCCATCCGCTGAACGACGGACGAGTCACAAGACCATGTTACTTGAGTGGGATGGAATGGAGGGCCACTTGAAGTCGCTTCGTGAAGAAGGAAAGCTGAAGCGATTTGCCGCGCCAGAATATCCCACACCTCCAGCCAAGCGAGCAAAGTCTGTCGAGCCAACCTTGAGCTCTAACATGAAAGGGCAGATTCTTCAAATAATCAAAGGCCTTGCAGCTGCATCCTGCGACTGGGACAATCTACTAAAAGATCTCCAAAGCCCTGCCGCAACAGTGAAGGCGATTCAAGAGTCATTCTCCCATGTGCGTTTGTTCATATCCGAGTTAGAGAAGACACTACAGAATGAGAATGATGACAATGGCCAAGGAGATCTGGACCAGGTCATTCGACTGGTCTTTCGAGCTGAGGGGCTTTTCGGGTCGGGAGTAGAAGCAATGGACTACGAGTCAAAATGGGACCGCCATCGTGACAGGCTTGCCCAGCTATTCGGACAGCCAACTGGGAAGGCTATGGAAGCTGTTTTCAGGCTCCGGAATACTCCTGATGCATTTAGTATTATTCTTCCCCAGATTCAGGTTTTGGGAGAATCTCCCTTGATCAAAGACCAAGTCGAGGCCTTCAAGAAGATCGAGGCACTACTGGGACCGCCGCCAACTGTCACCAACATTGGGACAGCGTCGGGGGGGAAAGAGGCACAGGAATGAACGACGCCTCGTCTTCGAAGAATGAGTGTTGGCTTCCAGGTGCAGATACTCGAGTAGTTTGGGATGGGGGTGGCAACCGAAAAGGAATGAAGATTGTTGACGAGGGAGGTTGGGTGAGAGATGATGGGCTGGAACATCGAACAACTACGAGATAAAACGATAGCTCTATGAAAATTGACATTTTAACTAAAGCAGGTTCTTAAACATAATCTAAACGGGATGTTACTGATCTCTCTACAGTCCGGTGTTATTGTGGTAGTAATTTGAATCAAAACTTGTAAAAGTCAGTTACACTGTAGAATTCTGCCTTTATTATAACATAAAACAGTAGCCTTTACTAGACCTTTGTAATAATCTTTAATTATTTACTTGTATTATGTAGTCTACTCTATATCTTCTCTATTTTAACCTCATAAGCTCTTCCTCCCTTTGAAGTCTATGCTCTATTTCATCTTGTGCAGTCCTGCTGACAAGTGTTTGTCTATTGTGACTCCATCTGACTCTCCTCATCGGAGTGGCTGTCATGTCCATGATTATGCAAAACACCTTTACCTTGAGGTTCTCCCTCGTCGTCTACGTCTGCGAGGTACATCCACCAAAAGTATACACCGCAGCATAGGCTGCCTCCAAGGATATTTCCAAACAGCGCAGGTATCATACCTAAATAATTGTTAGTCACGGTCCTTGGGGCTGTGATGCTGTTATCTTACCCTTCCAGATATAAAGTCCAACAGTCAAGCCAGGTGTACCCATCCAGATACCCAAAGGCATAAAGAACATATTGGCAACAACATGGTCGAAACCCAAAGCTACAAAGGCAAAGATCGGAATCCACATTCCAACAACCTTAGACGTCAAGTCCTTTGCTTGTACGCCGAGGAAACATGCTAGGCAAACAAGCCAGTTGCAGCCAATAGCACGAAGGAATATCTGGTGGGCCTCGGGGGTTATTTGTTTCTTTGTTGTGAAGGCGATGATTTCCTCACGGTATGGATCTGAGTCAAAGATACCTCCGTCTATGAATGGTATGGTTAGAAGGCGACTCGGAAGTGGTGTTGGACGGGGTTGCTTACATCCGACGATGATGGCCATGACAAAGAGACAGCCACCGAGATTACCGAAGAAGCAAAGGAACCAATGAAGTAGCATCCTCCATATCGATAGTCTTCCGTTGAGGACAGCAACAAAGGTGAACTAAGAAAGCCATTAGATAAAGCGGTCCCTAAACCTTGATACATGAAGCAACCCACCAGATTCGTTGATGTGAATAGATCAGCACCGGTCAATATTACAGTGACCAACCCCAAAGGAAAGACGATAGCTCCAATCAGCTTGATAAGGCCTGGTGCATTCTCTTGATACCATGGCGCCGTCAAAGCTGTCAATGAAACAGCACATCCAAAGGCAAGAATACATCCACCTGAGATACCAGACAGCAACACCTTATCCGGTCTCGATCTACCCTTCTTGACACCAGCTCGACAAATAAGTTCCGCCGTCTCAGCTGGCGTATAAGCCAAAGGGCTCGCAAGATCAATAGTCGTCTTGGCCATTTCAATGACTCTCAAAGCAAACAAATATTCATACTCACTAAAGAAACTTCAATTTCCTCAGCGGGACTCTCACCGTTCTTATCCTCCCCTGCGGTGAAAAATTACCATCTTGGTCTCGGCATTCCCAACTCTCTAAACCGTCCGTTCCCACCATGCCGAGCAATGTCGAGAAAACTCCGTATGTAATCCACTGTACTAGCTTCTAGAGCCAAGAGTCTAGACCGATTCAAGAAGCATCCTTATCTTTGGGATGTTTCCCAATACGGTTATGGTGGCTTGCGGTGCAAAGTCGGGATACGACACACTTGCAGATGAGGCTCAACGGCATCTTGTTTAGTTTTTTCTATTTCCTTCCAGCCGTAAAAATTCCAAGTTCTCGAAAACTATTGAGGGCAAAGGGGAAGATTCGAGGGATTGAAGATGGATTAAGCTTGTTTCCCCATTTCGGTAATGCATCCCGCACTCTTCTCCACCGCCGATCGAGGTAGAGGTAATTTATGCTTAATAGCTCATAGATAAGAAACCCGTGGAGTTGTAACTTGTTTTGTTAGTCTTGGCCCGGCCAAGTGGATTAAGTTTGTGACAAGACGGAGATGTAATTTGAGAATTTGATTCATAGCGGAGCCTCATCGGAGAGCTGTACGAATATTACGACGCTAACACTGGTGCTCTTGGGCAGCTATCGCTTGGCACTAATGAAGTGGAATCGGGAGAACGGGAGTTGTGAGTCGGGCGATGTCGGCACTCGAACCGGTTTGTGAATTGTTTACCATGACGCTTAGGCTAACAGAGATTTCAGAGTGCAGATCTCTGATCACGACATATGAATCGCTTTTCACCTTACCTACATCTCAACTACTTGTTCTTTTGATCATCTGGCTGTCACATCGAAGCCATAATCCAAGTTGCACATGAAACCTTCTGACCCCTGGTTTTCCGTCTATCCGCAAATCCATAATCTCATGATAAGCTTATGATCTTGCGGGGTCCCCGCGGGGTCCTTCTATCCGAATCTTTCTTCATTCTGGCCTTGTCTCCTGCGCGGTTGCGGCTTGTGCGGCATCATTGGTTGCGGGCTGCGGCGATTATGCTCCGCCATACAGACATGTTCGTGATGTTTTCATATCATCACCTCATTGAAACTGAAATTCTCGAACATCTCATGATCCCAGCAATTCCTCATCCGTGCTTCCGGGACTGTTGACTCCTGGGTATTTTGCCGGATGGATGGCCCCGCTGCAAAATGGAATCATTTTGGCTAGGCATGTAAGTCAGGCGTTGAGCCCCTTGTATTTACGTCTATATGGGTTTATAGTATATTTTCATCGCTGAAGCCGTTCACGCCCATCAATTGGTGCATCATATCTGAACGTCACATCCTTGAATCCCTCGATCCTTGGTTGCGACTCAAGTCAGCCTTTACATCACTGGTTCATCCAGCCGTTGCGTCGAGATCAACCTTGCTTCACAGACCCAGAAGAGCCAGATATTAGTCTGGCCGCAAAAGGTACAGGCCAAGCAAAAGTGTGCGTAGGGTCTTCGGTCACCTCCCCTGTCGTGACGATATCGATGACTGCGACGGCAGTATAGCCTCCGATAGCGGTGAATACATGCCACCTGACAAATGTTAGTTTTGCTTAACCTTATGAGACTGGAGACAACTTACCATCCATGAAGCTCCAAGAGGAACGCAAAGGGCAGACCAACTGCGTGTCTCGCACGGGTCAAGTACCGGCAAGCAAACTCATCAATCAACCAGACGATATACCCAAAGCCAAATGATCCTATGACAGTCAGTTCTGTTCGGCAGACCAAGAATTTATGGTTGACATACCAAGCCCGAGGATAGCCATATTTTGCAATTTCTTCCTGATAACAGGATCCTTGACTTGTTGTGGGATGATCTTCAGCACCCGCGTAGCAATAACATAGATGCTCAAGCCAAACGTGGTGGCATGTAAGAGGAACTCGTCCATGACCATATGGGTGACCATTACAATGGTGAACAGTATTGAGAGAACTGCCCCAATAATCCGAGTCTTTTGAGGACTGGCTTTGAAGCTGAGAAGACGATAGACGAGGGGTGTCGTGAGAAGATGCATTGACAACTCATCAGCTAGCAATCATCAGTAGGCCCTCTTCTCACTGGAGCATAGATACACCTACACATTTGGGTGTGATACTTGAGAGTCATGTGATATCCAGCTGAGCATATCCCCACGCCTATTAGTCCACAGTACGAAGCCAAGCGCGGCCCAGTCGGGAACTTAGGCGACGTCAACAAGCCATAGAGTCCATATGCCACTAGTAACAAGGTCAATTGCATATCCCAGCCAATGGTAACATCACTTACCATAAGTCAAACTACTAAGAGTATTTATAAACTCAGCAATATACCGTGTGATAACATAATCCTAAGATAACACGTTAATTCCATCCCATTCAAGGGAGACCATTGCGGCATTTACCTCTTCACAAAAGCTACAAGAGTCAGTCAATCTTCTCCATTCCGATTGACCTAGTAACTTACTTCAAGTAAGAGGTCTGAGGACCCCAAAACGGTGCTGCCATGGCCGGCCAATTCCGTGAATTGTGATGTTTGTTCTACCTAGCGACGAGGCCTTCACTGGCTTTTGGAGATAAGAATTAAGGCGGTGAAGTGGTGCAGAATGGACTCGAGGATGCCTCGGAAGGAACGGGATGACGTGTGTATGAAAAAAGTCTATGGATCTGAAATGCCCGCGGGCTGCGATGTTTCACAATACGGGCTTTGAGTTATTTCCGGTGATAAGAAATACGAGTTTTTTCATTGGATATAAGGGAAAGCCACTTTAGTTTGATATGCGTGCACTTTGACGTGGCTTGGCATTCACATGAAGCACTGTCATGTCAATTCTCTTGTTCAGTGAATAAGTTGATGATGTTACAACTTGATTAGTAATTATCGTGAAGATTGATCGTATCGCGATAACGTCGCATTCCGTGTGGAGTTCATCCTTGCAGTTATTCGCAACTCGTCTGACTCAGCCCTAAGCAATACTACTCCCCATAGGAGATCTTGTATCAAGGCTGGCAACTCTTGCGTTCAATCTTGTCCAATATTTGTCTTATTTTGTGTCCTGTCAATCTTTCGAAGTGCCTAACCAAGCATAACTACGGCCAAAATGTCTATCGCCCTGCTCAAAAAGTACCTTCCCATATCTCTCGCACTACTCCTCTTTTACGGCAGCGCCTCACGATTTAGCCACGGTGTAACGTCAACTGCATCCTTCTATCAGTATCAAAATGACCGAAGTCCCGATGATGGCTCAACTCTGTCCCGCATGATCCCCATCTTCGATGTTATCGTTGGGGCCGCGATTCTACAGCAAGGACTGTCACGCAAAGTTGCAACATGTTTTGTCGCATCGACTATCAGCAGCGTGGCTTTTCAGCGTTACTTGGCTGGTCTAGATTGTAAAGGGGACTTTCTACAGGTCATCTGGGCGACTGCTGCAGCGATTGCGGCTCTGATTTGAAATGTGTGCCGAAACAGATACTCAGGGCTCTCTGTTCCTCATCAAGAGCAAATTATATCGGTTACACGAGATGAAAGTAGTTTCATCTAGTTAAGGGACTCTCTGAGTAGTCATGACTTGATATATGAGATTGAGTAATTCAGAATCAAGGACGAGGTATAATTATATGCCAGGTGAATCGTGAAGAACAACAAGGCCGCAATCACCTTTACCTCTCGCCAGCAAACCAGTATGAGTTTGACGATAGACCCTACGAGTTGACCGAACTGTGCCCGGGTTTATATTTGTTGCTTGCAGTGCGGGCCAATCCCAACCCAAGCTCGCAACATGTATGGTAGCATCGGCTTAAGTCTGTAGATCTTTGGTTTGACAGGAAGGGCGTAGATCATAACCGAGCTACCGAGGTCGGCGTTAGCTCATTACCCTGTTTGGTATAGCTTATCTTATCTTTACTGGACTATGTAAGAGAACCATTGTCTTTCATCAACTATTAGTTTGTTGTATTAAAGTTGACTTTAACTCTCTAAGCGCTCTTGACTTATCAGACTATTGTCCCTTCATCAATAACTTGATGTGGTCTAGGCTCATACCACGTTCCTCCTTTGGGACGGCGCATGTCAGTCGACATATCTTGCGAACAAGCCAAGCCAGATATCTATCAACACCGTCAAATTATCGGGTAGTTGAGCACACTGTTGATTGCAGTCATTCAAGAGAATATCTCGCTGAAACTGCTAATGGCGATGAAGGCATACCAAAGCTTGCAGTGAAGCAATACATTCCCAAGGATAACCCAATCCCTCAAGCCGGTGATGTGACTATCATCGGTGCTCATGCAAATGGGTTTCCGAAGGTAACAAAGCTTGGATACCCAACTTGATAAGCCTAGCTAACTCGTTAGGAACTCTACGAGCCACTGTGGGATGAGCTTTACGACCAAGCAAAGCGAAAGAATGTTCGGATACGATCGATCTGGATCGCAGATGTTTGGAATCAAGGTCAATCAGGGGTTATTAACGAAAACATACTCGGCAATGACCGTGAGTATAATTCTTATCGTAAGTCAGCGTTAGTATTAACACCTCACAGTCAGTTGGTTTGACCACGCAAGAGACCTAATGAATCTTATCAACCAAAATCAACGAGACATCCCTCATCCTATCGTTGGTATTGGTCATAGTATGGGTGGAACTCAGCTGTGAGTGACCATCACAGACACCGAGACACTTGAAGAATCCTCTAACTGAAGAAAGGGCACAATTGGCACTCTGGCACCCTCGGCTCCTAGACTCGTTAGTACTTATTGACCCGATAATCCAAATACCAAACCCAAGCATTTCCCTAGCCGGTCTTTCTACAAAGAGACGGGATATCTGGCCATCAAGAGAAGATGCTGCTGCAAGGTTCAAGCAGAGTAAATTCTTCCAGTCTTGGGATCCTCGTGTTCTCGACCTTTGGATTGAGCATGGACTTCGAGATATCCCAACTGAGCTTCATACGAGAGAAGAGGGCTCAACTTCAGATGAGCGAGTTACGCTTACGACTTCAAAGCATCAAGAGCTTTTCAGCTTCGTCAGACCAAATTACCTAACAAGAGATTGGGAATCATTCAACGATCAAGATCCAGAGCAGAACCTAAACTGTCCTGGGTATCCCTTCCATCGTCCAGAGCCACCAAAGATCTTTCGCCACTTGCCTGAGGTTCGACCAAGCACGCTATTCGTCTTCGGAAAGCACTCAGAGTTCTCATCACCGGAACGACGACGAGAGAAAATGAGCACAACAGGGACTGGAGTTGGGGGCAGTGGAGGCTCAGCTGTTGGTAAAGTTCAGGAGGAGATTCTTGACTGTGGCCATTTGATACCGATGGAGAAGGTTTCTGAGTGCGCAGGTGCCATCTCGTCATTCGTTGGGAAAGAAATGACACGATGGCGTGATCAGCAAGAATCTTTCAAGAAATACCGTGGAAGCATGTCAAGACGACAGCAAATCACGATTGATAAGCAGTGGGAGAAAAAGGTTAAGCTCGGCGATGTCTACTTAAAGAAGTGAGATTCCCCGCGTCACGTGATCTGCAAGTCTGGCAACTGTACAAGTCAATAGACTTTTGATAGAGCAAAAATAGAATGGATGTGATTTATGATGCAAAAGGGGATAAAATGCAAAAAGAAGAACTTGATGAGACTGGGACTCGAACCCAGGAGGATTGCTCCACCAGGAAATTGGTGTTAAGGTTAACCTTAACCTGGCGCCATAACCAACTCGGCCATCTCACCGGTAATTGGATGCTAATCAAGCAGCCAATTGGAGCTTATAGCCGCAGCGTGCTTAACCTGTAAGTTGAAGATTTCACAAGCTCAGAACGATCACGCATTTGCCACGTCAGGGTTTCTGCTCACGTTTCTTTGGTGTGGAGTGAAGAGGAATTCAAATCTCCTAACATCTGAGTTTGGTCTGGGTAAAGAGGGGTTGTGTAGTCAAGGAGAGGTTTGTCCTATCAAATTATACCCCGTCAATTATCCTTCAGGCACTGACCAATCATGACTATAGTATAAGAAAGTAACTTATTCTCTCCTCTCAACCAAACAATTGTCTCTCTCATATTCTTAACGATTCGATTTCTAAGCTGTCTCTTTCTTGTGAAGCACGCTCTGTATGCAGAAATTGCCCGTCTTCACCTCATAACTTTGTTCACCTCCATAACCTATAAACATGAGGGGAAACGCTATCTTCCCAACACTGACAATCACGCGCCTTAACTGGGTCTCTCTATTTGTTTTTACCCTTAAATACTTCAACATTGCGTTGCCAGTGACTCATTGCCGTGACTTCTGTATCATGTGAAAGCTTACACAGGCCAGAGTACCAGAACTCTCAACATGAGGGCATCATGACCCTCGTGATCATGAGAATAGAGTAGTATAAGACCATAGACTCTTCCACATCCCCGAGGTTCCCTTTTTCTCTTCTATCGTAGATTGAGGTCAAGCAGCTCTGTTGCCTCTTTTGAATCCTGCCCGTCCAAATGATATTGGCTCATGGTGGCTTTTCTTTCTTCTTTTCCCTGATAGCCTATACTTTAGCATGGACTTAAGGATGCACGTATCAAATAAGAAGCTTTTCAACATGAACTTCTCCAATAATGCGTGACCTATCCGCGCTCTTTCTTGAGTTGACACGTAGTAACCTGTTCACGAACTCAAACACTCTGCTACTGACAGCCCCCTCTAACTTTTTTGGATACATACCATCACTTCGGCCAGGGCTATGGGCCTAACGAAATGAACTCAAATTCCCTTCGTCTATAAATTCATGCTCTTCCTACCATTCCGCGTCGCGGAAATCTTTCCTCTTCATCTTCCAGATTTTCCAAGCACACTGCAAGCAAGCACTTCTTTCACTCTTCACTTTCAGTTTCAACTTGCTGCTGTCTTTCAGACCGTGCGCACTGCTTATTCAAGTCTTGGATCATCAGCTTCTTCACTCTTCTTTCTCTTTATTTATCTCTCTATCATACTACTTGTCATCCTCACTCTCTTACTACTCTTCATCACCTCATCATACTTTACAGCTCTGTGTTTTACATCCCGTCACAATGTCTAACACACCTATTTTCAACAGCGACCCACATGAGGTTGCCGAGGATTTTGACGCCAGCTCTCTTTTACCTCCCAGACTGGCATCATCTTCTCGACAAAACACACAAACTTCTATCACACCTTCTGTGTTCACTTCGGTATCTTCAAGCCACACTTCTACTCCATCGTCTAATCAAGGAGAGTCTGATGCTTTAGCTGGAGGCAACACCATTTTGGGCATTTCTTTTGGATCTGTTCCTCCTCCCAACACTCCAGCTGAGAACAATGATGTCGTCTCTCTTCAAAACAAATCGTCGTCTAAATCTGGCTGGACAGGAGAATATTCTGATCCTGGTACTCCCACTTTCAGCATGTCTAAATCTGGTTGGACAGGCGAATACTCTGATCCTGGTACTCCCAATGCGAGCAAGTCTAAGCTTTGCTGGACAGGAGAGTATTCGACCGCCGGTGTTGAGCCTGAACATTTGATCTCAAGACTCAGCACTGTGGCCAACAAGTCAGAGGATGCATCTGGCATGACCCAGAATGGAGAGGAGAAGAAATCTTCTGACGAAAACTCTTGGTCTGAAGGTGATGACAATGCTTTCACTGTCAGAGACATCTCCTCTGAGAACAAAGACGTAGCCAGACTGGCACGTCAGGCTGTCGGGCGAGTAACTCCCCGTTCAGTCATGGATTCTCTAGACGTCAAGAATGTCAAGTCTGGTGTTGTCTCTGTCACCAAGCCAACAGTCCAACCTCAATCTTCTGTTCTTTGCAACATTGAAGATGAGGCTGTTCCTGAGGCTAAAGAGGCTGTGGTGTCTTCTCCCGCTGAGCAAGTTTCTGCCAAAGACATTGAGTTTGTCAAGGGAGAAAAGGCCACTATTATGGGTCGCATTTTTTGCTGCGCGCGCGCTTTGAAAAGTGGCAGCAAACCCAAGCCTCAGATACCAGTCAAACAACCCAAGCACGCCACTCTCTTGCCAGAAAAGTCTTGCCTCAAGCCAGCTGCTTCTACTCTCCTTGACGCCACTGAGGAAGAAAGTCCTATTCAAGCTGTCTCTGCACCCAAGCCCCAAAAAAGCAACAATGTCACTTTCAACCTAGACGAGACAGCCAACAGTGAGAAGTCTAAGCCCAAGCCAAAGCCAAAGTCTAAGTGCAACCTCAGATTCAATAGGGCACGATGCCCCCTCCTCAAAATGAGAATAAACATTCAGGAGGCCAGAGACACTCCCAATGAGGATGCAGAACTTGATGATCTAAATTCACCATTTGCATCACAAGACTTGGAAATACAACGCCGTCTTGCAAAAGCGGCTTGTTACCGAGAGGCAAATGAACGCACTTCAATTATTCGGGGCTCGCTGGACTTTCTCTTGGTTGTCTCTGATAGAGTCGACACTGTTGCTTCTGATCGCATCAGTGCTCTCTTGAGCCGGGTTGCTGATAGGGGTCTTGGGAGCTATACTGGTGAAGAAAGGGATCATGTGAATCCTCATCAGTATGGGAATCAGGTTGATCAGAGCCTGTACCGTTCTAAGGAGACGGCTATGTCTTATTTGAGAAGACGACAGCCTCGCAATGTTATTCGTCTTGGGACTCCTTGGATGAGGGATTTGCAATAATGAGTTTTTTTTTTTTTTTTTCGATGAATATTACTTTTTCGGGGGGGTATGGGATGGGTTTTGCTTGGTCTGGTGTTGGAGTTTGATGAATGGAGTTATTTGAACTTTTGAAGGGCATGGGATGATTGATGATACATGGCAGCGGCACCTCAGATGATGAAAGAGGTTGCAATAACATATATATCCATTTCTTTGATGAAAAGACATTTTTTCTTGTTTCTCAAAATGATCTATCTCGTAAGGTCTCTCAGTGACATGTCACTCCTGGACACCTCCAATCGTCTCCGGTCATGTCTCTCCTCATATTTGGGTTTGTAACAATGAATTGTAACAGTCATGAGATTTATTTGGCTCCAAAACTTTTTTCCCTTTTGTATCAATATGTTGAGCAACAAGTCAGTCTCTTCAATAACTTGCTCGCTCCGTCATTTGAATAAAAAAGCGATGTATTTAAAGCAAATATCTTTGCGGTATTTATTGTACCGAAAACTTTTGTAGACTGGTTCCCGAAGATAATTTCCCATGTACCAAAATAGTAACTCTCCTTTTGTTTAAAACGCCCATATCATAGTCCCCATGGCGCAGATCCCAGATTCGGTATTGAGGCTACCAAGGAAGTTAAAGGGAGAAGGGTCGCTTCAAAGCGAAAGGTTTCCTTTGGGAGTGTCCAACCTCGAAAGAAGCCTGCTGGAAACAAATCCAATAAGCAAAACGGCGACAACAACGAGGCCGTCGATCAAGCGGTGCCTAGTGAGGACGAAGATGAAGATGTCTTTACGTTTGACTACAGCGACGATGATATGCCAACCAAGCGGGAGCCCAAGCGTGAGGGTAGTGATGACGGAGAAGAAATGGACATCAAGGAAGAGGAATCGGAGGATGCGCACCAGTTCTCCCATGAGGAGGATGAGTGATATGGATACAGTATTCAGGAAAATCATCATGGAATGGTCTCTTAACGACTGGCGATGGCATAGGGTTTCAAGCAGAAAGGACGTGCCTCTTTTGGTGCACATGGGAACATTTCTGATCCAGATTCTAGAAGCATTATTAATGCCACAAGAACATTTGCTTTAATCATATTAGAGTTTGTTGCTGTTAAAGAGAAACTGACACGTCGAGAGACTATCGCTTCAGTCCTTCAAAGTGACTCTTTAATTACTTCTGTCGAAGTCGTTAGCCTAGATTGGTGGCCCTGGGGTGCATGCCCCCGTTCTCTGTGCAGTCCTCATCCGCGAGCAACAAGATTGGGCATGGGCTCCTCAAGGTTCGATGCGTGATAAAAACACATTGAGTAACAGTCACGGCGGCTTGAAAACTGCCGTCTCCCTCTAATCTTTATAGAACTCTGCAGTTAACGTCTACTTCCTCTCCCTCCTATCGTGGCCTACGCTCCGAGAATGGTATGTCGACTTGTGGCATGCCCGCACAGAAAGTTCTCTTGGTCGCTAGCGGTCTCAAATTGTTGCTTCTACACGAACCCAAGTCTTGAACGCCCAAGTGAAAGAGCTCGTGAAGCAGCTCGGGAGCGGGCTCAGCCAAAGGAGGGGAGGGCTTAGAGCGTGAATGTCTAAGTAATTAGGCAGATAATTCTTCCGAGTATTCGGGAACTAGGATGCTGATTTGTCCATCTGTTGAGGGGCGTTGGGTATTTCTACATGCCAATGGGAACATGCACATTCGTTTTCCGAGTTATTAGAGGAAGTAGGTATCTGATAGATTTTCCAAGTTTCATTTGCTGTCCGACCACTCCTCGCGGATCATACAAGATGCTGCACTTTCTGGACAAATAAGGATCAGGATAGAATAGGGGTAGTCACGCGCATTGAGTTCCACCACATCATTTTCTGTTCTTGGAACAAATCACATAGTCTCATCCAATACACGGCCGGCTTTATATCCCGCAATTTGACGTAATGCAGCCTGCAGGCAGGTCCAAAACGACATTTTAGCCCGTATGTATATGCCGCAGCTGAAAGAGATCCGGAGCAATAAGCCTACCGCTTTCTTGCGAGTGGTTCATTGAACCATGAGGCTTTGCTCATGACGCTATGTGGTTGGGCACAGGTTTCGGAGGCCGGGCCATCCATCGTCACTTTGGTATTGGAGTTTCTGCTGCGCAAATGTCCTGGAGTCGGGCTTTCTTATTGTACCAAACAGCAAGTACTATTACGCAGTCTCCTAGATTCTTTCTGTCGTTTATCCGCCGCAGCGGTTAGAAGAATAATCATGAGAACTATGGAGGATTATCTGCATACCACGACGTTCTACTAATATGTATGTACCGTTGGCGCCGTCCTCTCCACTGAGAGGCGACCTCATGTCTCACATGTGGTTTGCAATCCTAGGAAAACCGGTCTCCTAAACAACCGCTTCCCCGCTGAAGGTAGCTTTGCCAAGTCCGACCCTTTTTAGAAACCTTTTAATCCCGCCGCCATATATCACACAGGAACCGTAGGCCGTATATACCATCCACAACCCCTCTTTCGGCATAACCCCTCTTTCGGCAAGCAAAATAAAAAAAGCTTCACCAAAACTCATCAACTTCACTTACACAAATATTGGCCAAAATAAATAGCTACTTGGAGGACAATGCCTTTGCTGATTATAGAAATGATTGGAGTTAACGATTGTAGCCCTCTAAGGCTGTGCGGGGTACGCGATGTATGCATACCGTGATATGGAAATAGTGTTAATTCGATCATCAAGTTCTTCACCGCTCTTTTCTGTGTTTTTTGGCCTTTATCTGCGACAACATATGAAAATGCCTAGGTCAAGACTTCGATGGAAATACACAGAGGAAGATATGGCAGAGGCCATATTGGATGTTACTGATAATGGTTTTTCACCTCCTCAAGCCGCTCAGAGACGGGGAGTGCCTCGGAGCACTCTAATCGACAGACTTAACGGCCGCGGGGCCGTGAAAGAGCAGGTCCACCCTTATCGACGCTTGTCCAAGAGCCAAGAGGATAGGCTCGCTTTCTGGATACTCCGTCAGGAGTCTTTGGGCTATGCTCCGTCCCACAGTCAGATCCGCGCTTGCGTCATGGGCCTGCTGAGACAGCAGGGCGAACATCCCGACTTAGGACGCAACTGGGTGAACAAGTTTATCAATCGCCGTGCAGACCTAAAGACCAAGATGGGCAGACGTCAAGAAGCCAAGAGGTTCGACTCTTTCACACCTAGAGCGGTTCATTGGTACTTTGATATCAGGGAGGGCCAATATGGTTGGATCAAGCCTGAAAACACCGTCAACGTTGATGAGGGGGGTATTATGACTGGTTTCGGCAAGCATTCACCTCTATTCCCTGTCAATGCTTGAGTTTTGGCCGACTAACCCTCTGGGTTCAGGTCTAGATAGCCTGGTCGTTGGAAGCGCGGACCCGAAGCGCAAGGCGTTTCTCAAGGGACCACAAACTCGGAATTGGACTTCATTCATCGAAGCTATCACCGCTGACGGCCGCGCTTTAGTTCCTGGCATAATATTCAAGGGGAAACAACTCCAGAAACAGTGGTTTCTTGATGAGTTCAAGCAGATAGCAGACTGGTATTATATAACATCGCCCAACGGGTGGACTGATGACCACATAGGCATTGAATGGCTTGAAAGAGTTTATCTGCCCCAGACTACGCCTGCCGACGACTCTGATGCGAGACTGATCATTTTAGATGGTCATGGAAGCCATGCAACAGTATGTTCACTATTTTCCCCACCTCAAGATCAGTGCTGAGTGATGGAAGGATGAATGGATGGCCACGTGCTTTTTGAACAACGTTTATTGCTGCTATCTACCAGCACACTGCTCTCATGGACTCCAGCCACTGGACAATGGAGTATTTAATGCGTCGAAGGCTGCATATCGACGAGAGTTGGAAAAGTTCGCTTCGTTGACTGATTCCGCTCCAATGGACAAGGTCAATTTCATCAGGGCCTACGCCAAGGCTCGCCGAGTTGGAATGACCAAGAAGAACATACTGTCTGGCTGGAGGGTCACTGGGAACTGGCCAATTTCACGTGCGAAAGCGTTACGGCACCCTGAAATCCAACAAGATGGGCCAAACGGCAACCCAAGAGTGACTCCTGAACCCAGGCCTTATCTTGGCTCGGACGATACGCCACAGACGAGCCGTCAAATTCGTGACCTTGGGTTGAACAAAACACCAAAGACGCGGAGACGGTATAACGTGATAGCCAAGGGCTTTGAAGCTCAACAGCAGACAGTAGCGGCGCATACGCAGAGGATTGCCAGCCTAGAGGAAGAATTGGCTCGGCTGAAAAGAGGGAAGAAGAGGAAGGCGGTGCCGAATCCTAACAAACGTTTTATGACTCTTGGAGAGACTCTAGCTAGTAAAGAGTGCATACCAGAAGGGGCGACTCGTTATATGCCTGTTGGGGTGGAATTTGTCTCTTCAAGCGAGCAAGAGTCAGAATCGGAGGCTGGTTCTGTCATCGAAGTCAGAGAGGAAAACATACCCCACCAACCACCCAGGCGGTCGCGGCGGGTGGCGAAAAAAACCAGAGTACAATAGATAAACCCTATTTATGATTTATGAAACGAAAAATTTCACGGATTTCTATCAATTCGGTCAAGTTCTGTGTAAGTGAAGTTGTTGATTTTTGGTGGTGGCTTTTTTATTTTGCTTGCCGAAAGAGGGGTTATGCCGAAAGAGGGGTTGTGGATGGTATGCAGCCCGGGAATTATACGAGATATTTGCATTAGCTGTCCTACAATGAGCCAGGATGTAACCTTGTTTTTACACCGCAGAGCATACTCAACCAAGGAGTTCTAGCTGAACTGTTAAACGATGTTCTTGTCTCCAGACCAGCGATGTATGAAATTCTCACCTCTACAGTGACTACACGTCTAATTATACGTCTGCAAAATATTAAATGTTTAAGCGATACAGACCCAGAATAGATTCTCCGTAATTGCTGCCTTTTCCTGATATATAGTGTCATTGCTGAATCAGTCGCTCTATCAAGGCTGGTTTCTGGCTTTCTGCCGACGGAACTCGGTGACTTTTTACCTTCGGTCCCGAGCTAGTTTTACACTGCCGATACGAAACCATGTAGAGGTTCTACCTGACTTGCCTCGTCCCCCTAGGGTTTTGGACGAATCTCGTCTAGCCATTGCTTCTAGACAACGTTGTGAACTCCATAATACGACTTTGCAAATATAAAGCGAGGCGAATATCTATAAAAGCTTAGACATTTCCCGTTCATGCTACCTTTCTGACTACCTCACTCATAGCAGTATCTCAAATCTCAGACTGTAACCTATAAAGATGCGTTTCAACATTATCACTTCATCCATTCTTCTCGCTCAGAGCACATGCCTAGCTGCTCCCGCGGACGGCATTGACTCGTCCCAAGGCGTTTCTCTCGTTTCGGGGAACAAGCTCGAGGCTCGTGATACGTACGATTGCAATGGAAGCGGACTTTGCGGGGCGATTACCGTCAAAGATTGCGATGACGCCGTCAACAACAGGCTGATTCGTAACAACGCTGTTAACTATGGCGCACCTGGGTAAGTCGACTCTGATCAAACAACAGGACTATGTAGACCTAACAGCCGCTATCAGGAGCGGGAGACCGCAGACAGGTACATGCCAAGGCTACTGCGGTATCTTCATCCAAGGAAGATCTACCTGTGCTCGCACGGGTAATCAAATTTGGTATGACTATCAGGACATCAGACGGTCAGGTTGCCGAATTTGCGGCACTAAGCATTGGGGAGATGGTTGCATGACGACTATCAACCGTGTCAGTGGCTGCAGTAACTGAAACTTGACGGTTTAAATATCTAGCAGTATCGAATGAAATATCTCATTCTTGAATACAGACCCCATGCTTTGTTCTTCAATTATCTTATATCCTGAGCGCAGTAGGCCTGTCCAATCCATCCAGCGCCGTGGAGCCAGTGAACGTAATCATTGTGCTGTATCTACTGGTCCAGGCCGAAGAACTACTTTTTCCCACCTGTCTAGTCACTGGTAGCCAGCTTTTGTACCCTCACCGGTGACAATTATTGTAAAGCTCGCTAGAAGTATTGATAAGGCACATTAGGTAAGGGTACTCCTCTTCTCTTGATCTTCATAGAACTATGCAGTAAACGTCTACTTCCTCTCCCTTCTCTTGACCATGATCTGCACACCACTCGGCGGAATATTCGCCTCAGCAATCCAATAATTCGGCGGTCTCTTTCCCTCATACTCATCCGCAAATATAATATCATAATTCCTCAACGCATAAGCCAAGATCATCTTCATCTCAAAGTCAATGAGGAACCGTCCCGGGCATGCATGCTTCCCATGTCCAAAGGTCAAGAACTCGGGCGACGTGGTGACAAATGTAACAGGCGGTGACTTTTCGTCGCGGTTAGCTGCTGTTTCGCGAACCCTCGAGAACCGAAATGGATCATATTGAAGACCGTCTTCGTAAAATTCGTTGTCGGTTTGTGCAGGGTGGCCCATGAATGAGATGATTGAACCCTTGGGAACGTGGTGCCCATCTTCTGTCTTGAAGTCATCAATCATGACTTTACGAAACAAAGCGCGTCCGCCGAAAGAACATAGACGAATTGACTCTCTCGCAACACTATCAGCGCGCGTCATAGCTTGAATACCGCTCTTGGTCCAATTAACAGAATCATCAGCCCCAAGAATACGATCCATCTCATCGCGCAGAGTAGCAATCGTATTATACTCCGCATCAGAGCCCAACACGTTCAAAAACAAATTGACAACTTGAATCTGCGTGTTATGAATTGATCCAAAGTTCTGAGCGACGACGCGACGAGCTAATGTCTCCATGTCGTTGACTTCATGCTGGCGTTGGCGAAGAGCGTAGTTGATCATCATTTGGACTTGGTCTTGCGGTTGAGGTTCGTCGGGGTGGTTGTTGATCATGTCGAAGCGCTGTTTGAGGAGAGGGATTATCCATTTCTTCATCTTGTTTACTTTTGTCTTGACGATTTGGCCGAAGAGTATTCCTGTTATGGGCTGTAGGATACGGGGGAGACCGCCTGTGAGACCGGCATTCATAATGAAGAGATCGTTAGTCTCGAGCGCAAGCTGCAGGTATTCCTTATTTCGACCTAATTAATCAGAAATGGTCCAAAGCAATTGATGTGATGGTTGACTTACAGAGTGGAAGTCCAACGGTGAAGCGACTGGCAGCCTGAGCAACGATCATCTTGACAGTCTTGGTAAGATCAATTCTCTTCCAATTCTCCGTATCAGTACCAAACTGCTCATCAAAAACCTCATGAAGCTCGTCCTTCATGTTATTCGCAATAATCTCAATCGCACGATTAAGATCATACTTGACAACAAGTCCCTGCCAAGGATCAACCACGTATTTATCGTGCCCAAGAGACCATCGAACTTGATCGACTTCAGCGAACGCTTGCTCCATATCTAGAACTTCTTCAGGTTGGTTGAGGACGCCTTTCATTTGGCTTTGTGGTAAGTAGACTTCTTTTCTGACGCCGAAGCCTGGAATAACGACGGGTTTGCCTTTCTTTAGGTACTGTGCTTTGTTAGTGGTGGTCATTGAGAGGGGAGGAAGGGTGTACTTCATGGTATGCTTCGTAAAAGAGTGCTTGACAATCTGTGAGATATGCCCATCGTGTACGAAGACTAAAGCGACGAGCGCCCTTTGGTTCTCTTATAAGCGGGATATCCGGTGGATAAGGAACACTAATAAGCTTCTCAGTCACATAAATCGCGATAACCCCAATGACAACAATTGAGGCAATTCCCAGCGGACTCGTCACGCTGGGAAGACGAGCCAACAGGCCCAACTCAGCACGGGACGACATCTTGAGAGAAATGAAGAACGGCCCAACACTCAAGCTGCAGCGAGGGGCCTACTGTATTTAATCCATCGCATGCCACTGGTGCAGGTGACAGCTGTGCATAAGCGCCTAAGCGCGGCACGGGATTCCGTTGCGAGGAGTCCGTTGCCTGATTAAAGACTGAAGGAATGCGCTGAAGAGGCACGGTTATGAGTGAAGATCCTTGTAGATTTGTAGATAGTGGTTTTACTACGCGGTAGTGCTGACGGCTAAGGTATGATGACAAGAACTTGGCGGTTAGGTCAACGACCCAAGAGATTCCAGAGAAGGTGATCATAAATCCAGACTATATCATCACAAAACTAACTCAATTATCATGAGTTAAAGTAACATCTTCTACAGGCCTATTGAATTGCTTGTTGTGTCTGCGTGGTCACATCCCGTCCCTCCTTCGAAGTTTGGGAGACGCCATCTTGTAGTCTGACAGGAACTTATTCGGCCTGTCGACCCAAAGATCCATTGTAAGCACTTGCTCACGCCTGATTCGAGGGTGCCTGGATGCTCGAACCAGTGAATGCCGCGAGCAGAATTTCAGGTGCCACACCTTTTGTAAACGAGTATGAACATCGCTGCGTTTTACCAGCAACGCTTCACAAGTCGGTTGGCTGGAGGTTTGTACGTGACTTATCACACAAACAACAAAGTGGGACAATATACTGTCTGGTAGAACAGGGCGAGATGATTAAGAAGCCACAGAGATTACAGAAACAAGTACAATGGTACATCTTATAAACAAAACACTTATACACAGACGTACCAAGCTCATAACCTCAGTTTCCATCTCCCAAGAGCCTCATTTCACGATCCAGGGTAGCTCCATCTCCACATCCCATAAGGCCAGGGTGTCCCTGAAAACCCACTGAATTTATTAACCCCTCTGCCTCCACGCGCCCATCTCCCTCCACCACCGCATAAAAATTTCCTCTCCAGCACTAAGCTGTCCCCCCCACGGCCATGAATCGTGATACCTGCATCATCTTCAACAAACAAGATTGAGCCCGGTTAGCTCAATCGGTAGAGCGTGAGACTCTTATGAGTACGCGATCTCAAGGTTGCGGGTTCGACCCCCGCATCGGGCTATTCCTATAAAAACAATTTTTTTGCTGATTCTTCATGATGTTCTGTGCGTAGACTTTGTATTGTAGAGAGTGAGTCAGAAGTGTAATTCTTTTTATCGTGAATGCTCGGTTATCTGAGGGTGATACCCCTCCATCGGAAGAGCGGGGCCGAAAAAGGGCGGCTCTTATCAGTTGATCACTCCCTTTCTACATCGTCATCATCTGCAAGACATCCCTCATTGAAACACTCGCTACCTGTGATACGCTCCAACGATAAGAGCAATATTGCAATCATGACGAGCGATAAACCATATAAACCTGCTCTTATTATAGTCGACTTTCAAGAAGACTTCTGCCCGCCTGTGAGTATCTCTTACATTGTTGGTCCATGGTGAGGAATGAGTTGGGAATGGCTTCAAATGAAGCCATGTGGATATTCTGCAGGAATGTTTCGAAGCCAAGACATGAGTATGTTGAAAGCTCGAGCGTGAGTTGCGCGCAATCTGGACATGCACGATGTTGGGGACCATATCTCGGCTTAAAACGCTTGCTATGAGACCATCATGTCGGTATAAATGTACCGAACCACGCCTTCTCACCCATCACTGCCTCTATTCACCTCCCATCTCACTCAAACACAGCTAACATCTCCAGTCCGGCTCCCTCGCCGTCCCTTCAGGCCGCACAATCGCCTCCCCAATAAACCACCTAACAACCCTCCCCTTCCCCCTCATCCTCGCAACAAAAGACTTCCACCCACCCTCCCACATATCCTTCGCCTCAAACCACCCCTCCTCAACACCATACACATCAACCACCGAAATCCAGCACCCTCACGATCCTTCCCGGAGCTACACAACAACCTTATGGCCAACACACTGCGTCCAAGGCACACCGGGGTGTGAGCTTGTACCGGAGCTGGATGTCTCTCGCGTTCATGCTGTTATTGAAAAGGGCCAGGATGAGCACGTGGAAATGTATAGTGCGTTTTATGATCCGTTTAGGGTGAGTGACAGTGGACTCGCGGGAATGTTGAGTGAACAGGGTGTTACCGATGTTTTTGTGGTTGGGTTGGCAGCGGATTTTTGTGTCAAAGCTACGGCGGAAGATGCGTTGCAGGAGGGCTATACGACATGGATTGTAAACGAAGGGACAAAGCCAGTCATGCCTGATAAGTGGGAGGAGTGCAAGAAGGATATGGAGGAGAAGGGTATCAACTTCACGTTCCTTGATGGAGATGCAGTGGCGAGAGTACAGACATATGCATGATTTAACAAAAAAAGGATTAAAATTGAATTGCGAAGTGGTACTTTAACATAACTACCATCTTCAATATTGCCATCTTTTGACGGCTGTATATGTATGTATGGATGCTTTCATCTTTCCAGAATGTCCAATGCAAAAACTCCATGCTGTGTGACCATCCACCCCATCCTTGACCATGTGTGAAGTGTGTCAGCCATGTTCTCGTCTATGTAAACTTTTTATCATCCGCTCGCCTCTACTCCTTCAAATGCAAAGTATTCGTTTATCGCTTTGACCTCTGAATAGCAGCGGCGCTCATCGATGTTGTTGACGCTGAACGCTCCTGAGCGTTGGTCATGGCCAAGGAGACGGGTGTCATGGGAGGAGCGGGGGTGGTGCTGCGAGAGGGAGCGGCACTTCGGTTGTGCTGCATGTGAGCCCGGACGAGATGGCCAGCGGCCAGGGCACTGCAGAGAGAAAGCTCGCCGGCAAGGACAGCTGCACCGATGATGCGGGCGAGACGGCGGGCGTTGTCTCCGGGGTTAGTGGGGTGAGAGCCTCGGACACCAAGGATATCAAGCATGGCGCTCTGAGGCTCGAGGATAGTACCGCCACCGAGAGTTCCGACTTCAAGCGAGGGCATAGAGACAGAGATCTGAAGAGCTCCATTGAGGCTGTAAACGTTAGCATATGTTCGGCTTGATATCTGGGACAAACTTACTTCTTCATGATGGTGATACAGTTGGCGCTCTCAACAACCTGAGCAGGGTCCTGACCGGTGGCCAGGAAAATAGCAGCGACGATGTTGGCAGCATGAGCGTTGAAACCACCCACTGAACCAGCCATAGCAGAACCAATCAAATTCTTAGCAACGTTAAGCTCAACGAGAGAGTCGACATCGCTCTTGAGAACGCTGCGAACAACCTCACCAGGGATGATGGCCTCAGCCACAACACCCTTACCACGTCCGTCGATCCAGTTGAGGGCCGCGGCCTTCTTATCCGTACAGTAGTTACCAGAGACAGAGATGATCTGCATGTCGTCGAACCCTCCATCGTTGGCCATGACACTGAGAGCATGCTCGACACCCTTGGAAATCATGTTCATACCCATAGCGTCACCGGTAGTGGTCTTGAATCGAATATACAGGTTGGTACCAGCAAGAGCGGTCTTCATGGACTGGAGACGGGCAAAGCGACTGGTAGAGTTGAAAGCCTTCTTCATCATATCCTGACCATCCTCAGAGTCAAGCCAGAGCTTGGCAGCACCAGCGCGCTCAAGTGTCTCGAAAGCAACACAAGGACCACGAGTCATACCATCGGCAGTGAGAACAGTAATAGCACCGCCACCAGAGTTGATGGCCTTGCAACCTCGACTAGCACTGGCAACCAAGACACCCTCAGTGGTAGCCATGGGGATGAAGTAGCTCTGTCCATCGATGACGAGAGGACCAGCAACACCGACAGGAAGAGGCATGTATCCAATGACGTTCTCACAGCATGCGCCGAAGACGCGCTCCCAGTTATAGTTCTCGTAAGGTAGCTTGGATCGGTCGAGCGAGTGGGTAACGTCAGTGGTGGCCTTGTTGCGGGCGATGATGCTTCGTCGAATCTTAACAGCGCGGGTGAAGTCACCGAGGGTCTTTTCAAGAGCGTAACCAGGAATCTTGCCACGCATAGAGAGAGAAATAATCTCTTCGTCAGTCATCTCGCGGACGCGCTTCTCGGCCAAAAGCTTCTCAAGTTCTTCGTTGCTTCGGTTGGGCATGTTCGCAGGACGAGCCTTGGTCATGTGAAGACCCTCGGCTTCGTCGTCAGTAATAGCAGGAGTGCTGGGCTCGGTTCGCATAGGAGTAGGAGGAACGTATTCGCCGAGGGGAAGAGTAGCGGAGCCGGTGTCGTTAAACTGCTGCGCACGGGCGAGCTCATTTCGGTCGATGCTGTGCTCGGGAACATTGGGGTCCTTAATTCCCCAGCGGGCGACATTGAAGAGGTAGCCGTTAAGAGCGACACTGAGAGCAAGGGCAATGACAATCCACTTGGACAGAACGGGGTCCTCAAGAGACTTGAGAATACCGCCAACCATGCGGCCGCCGACACCGTAGCCCTGGAAGTGGTGGTGGAAAGCATCGTTGTAGGCAGGGCTGTTGGCGGCAGAACCCAGGGCGTAGTGGATCGAAGGATACTCGAGCTCGTACTTGATGGGAGTCAAGACAGTGACCAAGGTAGGTCGGTTGTTGGCTTTGGCAGTAGCGAGGATCGCATCCAGGCCGTTGGAGGCAACCTTGAAGGGGTCGACAGACAGAGGAGCGACAACGCCGCCCAGGCTGCTCGCCCAGGTTCGGATGGTGGACATAGAGCTGGGGTTGCGGAACGGGATCGAGCAGATGTTAACAATGTTGACAAAGATGAAGCCGAGGATCATCAGAACCTTGAACTTGGGAATGCTGCTGCTCTTGCGGCCGAACAGAGAGGTGTCGCCCTTGACGCGGGTCAAGGCATCATCGTCTTTGGCGACGTTCTCGGCAACACGGCGACTAACACCATCATCCTCCAGAGCCATGCGCATATCGACATGGCGCTTGATACGGTTGATCTCAAGCTTTATGCTGAGAATAGCGGTGTAGAAGGTGAAGAGGAGGATGAAGTCGAAGAACAGGGTCCAGGCGGCCAAGAAACAGAACTGCTGAAGACCACCCTGAACACCAGAAGCAGCACCAATGACGAGTATGACGATCTCAATAGCGTAATCGCGGATGATCTCGAAACCCTTCTCCTTGATCGCGGCTTGAACGGCGTATTGGATCATGTTCTGCATGGAGCGCTCAGGAGATCGCTTGCCAGATTTGGAGTTCTGAGCCTGGATTCGTCGGTGCTCAATGGCGTGGGACATGACAGCGCGGGTCAGGACAATGTTCTTCTCGAAGCCAATGGTGACAACCAAGAAGGGGAGACCCTCAGACAGAAGAATGACGCTGATGGGAACACCTAGCTTGGTGGTGACGACAAGACCAAAGAGGAAGGCGAAGACGGAGGAGAACAGAGTGCAGATACCAAGCCAGAACTTGGAACCCATCTTGCGCATAGAGAGGAAGAGGGAAACAAATGTCAGATGCATGGCGATGTAGCCAAGAAGCATGATGACAATATCAAGAGTCTCGGCGTTCTTGAGAAGGTCGAGGAACTCGGTCCAAGCATTGCTAACCCACTGGACAACACTGTTGCGGGTGTTGACCTTGGCAGCCTTCATGATCCATGTTTTCTTCTCGCGTCCGTGCTTGGTCTCAATCTCGACGGCATCTTCGTTGGGAATCTCCTGGGCAGCAGCAAGGAACTCGGGGCCCTCAGAGTAAGGAAGAGCGTAGGCGAGGATACTGTCCTGAGAGTAGGCGGTGAACGGGTTCTGGGTAGAGGGAAGAGACGTAATAGACAAGTTCTGAGGGATAGGCACGTGGTGAGAGCGAGGAGCAGTGCTGGAGGATTCGGCGGAGAGGCTGTCGGGGAAGACAAGAGTCAGGAGGGCAAGGTGGTCGGCATCCGAGCCAGCATCGGCGACGGCGTCCTGCTCGACGGCCTTCCAGTTCCAAGCAGTCTCAGGTCCTGCGCGTAGGACTCGGCTACCTTCAACGAGGGTAGACCAATCGGCCTTACCAAGAGTGGCGCTCTCAACATCAGCGTTGAACAAGCTCTCCTGGAGAAGACCGACGTATGAAGTGCTCGCAAGGACGGCGACAACGACGACGGTATGGATCGGGTGAGAGCACGCGAGTCGAGAGAGGAACTGAGCGATGGGCGTGAGTCGCTTGGAAGCCCATGACGGCGTAGTTTTTTCGGTGACGGGAGCCTCGCCGCGGAAGCGCTTCGGCAGAAGAATCGAAGCCATGATGTCGGATTCGATTCGAGGATTGAAAGCGTTATTCGTCGATGTCGTTTACCACATTGATTTTGGTCTAAGCGCAGGTGTAAGTCCGGGGAAGGAGAAAAGATCTGGAGAAAAGGCGGGTATTTGAAGTAGCCATTGGCAACACCACAACAAAGAAATGGGTGCAACGATGGAGTAGATGACGAGTATGGGTGACGCTTAGGCAGATAAAATGTATTACTTACATTCCCTGAGTGACAGTCCTATTACTTCCAACTATTCGAGGCGGATGACCCAAAAACGCGGTGGGAGGTGGAGGGGCAAGGCGTTGAGGCCTAGCTGAGCTGGGGACAGCCACAGAAGAAAAAAAAGGGACGAATCAAAGGAGGCGACAACCACCAACTCGACAAGGCAACAGAGAAAGGAATGTTCTCTGATGTGAGAAGGGAAGCGATTACGACGGGAGGGGGATAGAAAAAAGAGAAGGAAGAAAAAAGAGGTAAAAGGGGGTCAAGAGGGTGTGGAGGGAGATTGAGATTGATGGGATGGTCCAAGAAGCGGGAAATGATGGAGACCGGAACAAAGTGGAGGGATATTCAAACTGTCGGTCGGAGGGTCGTAGGATCATAGGCAGTCTAGGCGGGAAACGACTATTCTGTTAGGGGACTCAACGTTTAACAAACGACCTAACGTAAAGATTAATACCGGTACAGTAAAGCCGAGACCTAATCTTGTTGTGGAGAAGGCCCTTGATCTCTTTCTTCCAAGGTAAAATGGCGGCGTTATCAATGAAATTACAGAGTAGAGCAGAATAAAAAAGATCAAAATGCCATCACCGATTCTCGAAATCAGAGTCTGACTGGCCAATTGAACTGCAAGTGCATGCGACAAACCAATCGGACTGCTTGTGTCATCACGGTACATTACCACAAGCTGCAAGATTCCGCGCTGAGCATAAGATTTGCGGATGGCTTGATGCACCGCTGGGAGAGGCCGCTGTTAGTGGCTTGCAGACACTGGTGTGGCGTATCGACCGCGTGGGCTACAGGGAAGACCTTGACTCCTTTCAGGGCGATCATAATGCAAGTATTTGACCTCCAAAAAGTCAGTTGACTTCTAGAAGAATACAGCTTCTCAAGATATTGTTCTCAGCACGGGCTTGA